GAGGAGCTTCTCTTGCCGGCTACCTTCTCTGGCCAATTAATACCCGTTTTAGGCCGATTTCTACGATTTATTCACCCCGCAAAAGAAGTCTGGTGGAGACTACCCGTTGATCACGTGCCCTGATCCCAGACCAATTAATTTGTCTGAGTCAGCCCCCACACACCCGGAACTTCGTACACACACAGAGCGCACAGTCGCCTGGGGTGAGCCCTGTCCTTTTGCGTTTTACATAACAACAACAAGACTACGTGCTGGGTGTCCACAGTGTCTTGAGACCGCGGAGCTGCAATGGATGAGCGGGCGGAGCTCCAGAATTTCTCGGGGAACAGCGAGTCCAACACCGACCCCGACCTGTACGGAGCGCGGGAAGACTGGTACGGGACCACCACCAACCCGGAAGTGAACAACGCGAAAAACAAGCCCTACGACGGCAAGTCGGTGAAGGAGATGCTCAGAGAGCTGACGCTGGACGATCTGATGAAGAAAGACCAGGACAATATCTTGGAGAAGGACAGTGACATGATGTGGTTTCACGGGAAGATCACCCGTGATCTAGCCTCGCACGTTTTAAACCAAGCGGGCATGATCGAGGGACAGTTCCTGGTGAGAGAAAGCGTGACCGCCCCCGGGGACTTCGTGCTGTCCACGGTAAACAAGGGACAAGTTTTCCACTTCCAGATCCAGAGCCCGGGAAACCTACAGTTCAGCATAGACGATGGACCAGCCTTCCAGGGGCTCGACCAGTTTATCCAGCACTACCGGAAAGGAAAGCACGGCCTGCCCACCAAGTTAGTGGAGCCGTGCAAAGGGAACCCCCTCCCGCGGACGCCAGGCGCTATGGCCCCGACACCCTGCTGCATCTGGCTGCGGCCGAGGGCGACGTCATGTCCGTACAGGCAATCCTGGGTCACTCCCTTTGCCCTGAAATTAATGCCAGGTTAGTAGGTTCACCCCCAATGGAGTGAAGTATTGTTTTGGGGCGTGTCTGTCTGTGTGTTTATGTGTGTGTTTCTGCGTTACACTCTCTGTATGTCCCACCAGGGGGCGCTTATAATTACAATTAAGGGTGTGAAGTCTGCCATCCTCGGTGTCTTTATATAGTAGTTGACAGTTTGCAAAAACAAACAAGTAAACACTAAATTATTGTAAGCCATTTGATTTACTTCATTGCAAAAGCAGAACACTTCCTTTCTCAAAGGATTCCCCCGGGTGTCACCTCAGATGAGGAAATGCTTTTTTCAGGGGTGCAAAATTAATGATCAACAGCCTACCAATTCCATTCCACACCCACTTTGGTCAAAACAAAATATTTGATTCCCTAAATGATAGTATTATTCACATAATGTTACACAAATGTACATAAACATTTCTATTCTATAATATAAAAATGGTGTAGAAATTATAATATGTTGATTTAATTATACTATTACATAACCAAAGCATGACTGTTTCTTGTTCTTTTCTGGGCTGGTATCAGATACTTATGATTAGTTGTTGGTATGTTCACCAGTTAATTAGTCATTTTGTACATAGTCTGGACATTTTTAGTCTGTCTCCCATTACATTACTTTGAATATGTAACTGGCCACACCAATGTAATAGAATGCTTTTTTTCACCATGTCACTTCTTATTTTTCCTAAAAAAAAAATGAGAACCAACAAATTAAATTGGTGTCACCGTGACCTTACATTACTTTGAATGTAATGGTGACTATTAAATAGCCTGGGTGCCATCCGATTTGTTTTTCGGGGTAGCTATTACAAATCGGATGGCACCCAGGCTAACTATTAAACTCTTCATGTTGATCTGTTAAACCCAGGAACAGCAGCGGGCGAGCGGCGCTTCACGAGGCGGCGTTCTTGGGTCACGATGAGGTGGTGATGGACCTGATCCAGGCGGGCGCACACGTCAAGTGTCGGGACGGGAACGGAGCCACCGCCTTACAGGTGGGAGCTAATCTCCAAGCAGATCCCTTTCGGTGGCAAAAAGACAGTATCAAATTGGCCAGGCAGTATCCATTAGCCAGTCTCTGAGAGAAGGTCGCTGGCCACCGACGGTGGGATTAGTGACAAAAAAAAAACCAGCCATACATACAAAGCTAACGATCATTCCCCCACAACCTCTGCTTGGAGAGTAGGTGGGAGCAGTCCGTTTCGTATAAGGCCATGTTGATTTGTTTACATATGGATGACATTTCTTCTGTTTCCCCAAAAAAAGTTTTAGACCATCATATATTTTTTATATAAGTTCTCATGAAGGCTTGCTTATCAACAGCCACTTCGATAATGAGCCTGGGTACCATCCCAATTTTCGCTCCATAACTTTTTGTGAGCGTTGCGGAGCGAAAATCCAGATGGTACCCAGGCTAGCCACGTCAGGGATTAACTACTAGTAGTAGAGATCTTGAGGTCACCCCGTGTCTGCTATAGCTACTAACACAACACTGGTATCTGTACATGTGGCAGATAGCTTGATACATGACTATATAAAACACTTGGGATACTACAGAAATGTATATCACAGATGCTGCACAGTATGGAACTACATTCATATAAGTTATTAAGTCAAGTATGTCAAGTCAAAAATTTTAATTGACCTGCGGCACTGCTGACCAGAGTTGTGGGGTTGTGTGGCATAGCGGCAGAGTGCTCGACTCGGAACCAAGAGGTCCTGGGTCCAAGTCCTGACATGCCACCGATCTTGTGCCCTTGGGAAAGGCACTTTACATTGACTTTCCTCACTTAACTTAGGTGAAAATAAGTATTGTGTTGTCCCCTGTGTTGGAGGCAGCATTAATATAAGTTGAAAAACTTGAGTGTGCCGTCACCACGTCTTGTGATTACATATTGGAATAAAAAAAAATTGTTCTGTTTCAGCTGGCGTGTGCAGGGAACAGGACCAACACCTGCCGTATCCTAATCCAGCAGGCTGGGGCTGAGCCCCAGGACCAGTGCACCACCACCGGGTACGTGCCGCTACACGAGGCCGCAGCACGCGGGCATGTGGAATGTGTCAAGGTAAGAGCGCATCGTCTAACCCTCGGAAGACGGGGAACAGCAGACGATAAACCGGACAGTGAGTGATTACAAGAAAAGCTTGTTAGAAGTTAACAGTAGTTCTCTATGTATTAATTGCCTGTTCTTATACCAAATGTTTCTTCTGTTCTTACAATTAGCCCTCAGGCATGAATTTGCAATAAAACATTTCAATTATAATCTTATGTTTATTATACGAAAGATTGTAGAACTACTTACTTCAACATGCCTGTCTGACAAGATACATGACTTAGTATATCTGCATGATATTATTGTCTATATTACATGTCTCCTGTTACTGTATTGTAGTGAGTATACTTGATTGTAAAAGCAATTAGCCTTCGGGCATGATTTTGCAAAAATAAAGTTATTATTAATAAAGCACACAATTTGCCAACTAAATGCCAATAAGAGTCATGATTTAATACCTTAATATTCCTGTGTTTAAAGCTCCTACTCCAGCTGAATGCGCCCTGTCACCCCAGAAACCACAACAACGAGACACCCATGGATCTGGCCAGGCGCTACGGCCATGCAGAAGTTGTAGAGATATTAGGTAAGGGGACTGGGAAAAAGTACATGTATATCAGGGGTTTTCCTTACCTGAGATTTTACTCCATCATATCTGTAAGCCCATGCTTATATATAGGCCTAGGAAAAAAATGTTGTGTTTCCTGTTTCTGTTCTGAAAAATTAGGGTCGGAAACAGGAAACACAACTTTTTTCCCTTAACCTTTTGCAAGCCTTTTGCCGCATGCCATATTAGACTTGCCAATTTTGTCCAGCAAAATCATGGAAGTCAACTATGTAGGAAATATAGCTATACCATTTTGTTTATTTTGCATACTGCATTTCATAGAATTTATGACATTAAAATGTGGGAGATACAGTGTATGTAGGAGACACCTTTGTAGCGTTCGTCCAACCAGCTTGTTGAATGTTTAACAGTTTTTCTTGTTGTTTTCACTCCCTTGCACCAGCACTTTGAGGGACAATTCCGTTGAACAAGTACAAGCTTTTGTCCTCTTTGTTTTTACTTGAATGTGTGAATGTTAACTGTAACGTTACTTCATGTAGAATCTACACAATGTGTTGTACCTTCCCTTCCCTTCTCTCTCTACTTCTGACAGGACATCTGGCAGTCTAAGTAAACAACAGGTAGGACTCAGGACTTTATTTTCACTCCACACTAAGTCTTCTGCTCACCTTCTCTCCTCCACAACACTTGTGGATCAAATGCTTCTGCTGCACTGACTCTCTCCAGTCTCCCTGACGGCCCCCCTCTCACCAGTGCTTAATGTGTCTCCCCTTTTTACCTAAATCCCCTTCCCCCACATTAATGCTTCTTCCCCTCCACACTCATAGTTAAGTCCCCACCTTTCCTTTCTACTGTGTAGATAGTGTCACACTCTAGTACAATTTGTGTAAGTCAGAGTGATGGGAAACTTGTGGTTTCTTTCCGACAGAGAGTTACAAGCCCCTCATACCGATGACATCCACCAAGGAATGGTTGCACTCCGACATGGATAGAAAGGTGGGTATTATACTGGTGGTAACATGTCGGCCTCCTAGCAGCTTCCCTTCAAGCTGCAGCAGTACCATAAAAAAATGTTAGGAGGTCTATCATCCAACCCGCCCTTCCTTTTTCCAAGACCTAACCACATACCAAATACCATAAACTTTATTCATAACTTCTTGAGCTATGCTCTCCACATTAATGTACAGAAAACAAATACTGTAATTCACTTCATGTTCACGGTAGCAAAAGTTCACGATCGAAGAAAAATGGACATGTTCACGGAACTATATGTTCACTGTGGTGACAGGTGCAGGAAAAAGAAAGTCCAGGAATTATTTGTTAACTAATGATGAAGTTCACGGTACAGAAGTGACAGTGAAAACAGTGAACATAACTAGTACTGTACAGTGAAAAAATCAGGAATTACAGTACACATGTACCTTGTGTGTCAATTAAAGCTCTGAAGTTATTCTTCCCAGGGGGCTACTGAGGCTCTGAAGAAGTTCAGCAACAAGGATGGCTGTTTCCTGATCCGAGTCAGTAAGAAGACTGCTGGGGCGTATGTGCTGACAATGTCCGCAACCAAAACAACATACAACTTTGAAATCAAGCAGAAGGTAGGCATAATGGCAGCACACTTTGAAGGCTGTTTAGAATTAGTTTTTCCTTTCGTCTGTCACCTTCCTCAGGGTAATTCTGACTGGTTCACATCGTACTGCAGCACAGGTGTCGCATTGTAGGTACGTTTGGGAATGCATCTATAGCAGCGACACCTGTGCTGTGCAATGTGAACCAGTCAGAATTGCCCTGAGGAAGGTGACAGACGGTCACTGAAATTTCAGCTGTGAATAAAACACTTGTTTATGTAAAAAGAGTCTCTTTACTCAGTAACTTACCAACCTGATGAAACTTAATTCCCGACTGTCCCTGACTGTTTTCTCCAGGATAACCAGTGGTACTACATAGATGACGGGCCCCTGCTGGATTCGTTAGAGCACCTTGTGGAGTACTACCGGGGTCGGGCGGACGGTCTGCCGGGGAAGCTGGTCACCCCCATCTCTGCCCAGGACGTGCTGGACCCGTCCCCACACCACCTCCCTGTGGCCAGGAGAGACAGCGACTACACCAGACGATGGTCCATGTAGGCACTCTCACTCACTCACTCACTCACTCACTCACTCACTCACTCACTCACTCACTCACTCACTCACTCACTCACTCACTCACTCACTCACTCACTCACTCACTCACTCACTCACTCACTCACTCACTCACTCACTCACTCTCTCACTCACTCACTCACTCACACACCTAATGATGGTCCATGCTGTGTAGGCACTCACTCAAACACCAGACGATGGTCCATGTACGCACTCTCACTCACTCACTCACTCACTCACTCACTCACTCACTCACTCACTCACTCACTCACTCTCTCACTCACTCACTCACTCACTCACTCACTCTCACTCACTCACTCACTCACTCACTCACTCACTCACTCACTCACTCACTCACTCACTCTCACTCACTCAGTCACTCACTCAGTCACTCACTCACACACATACTCACTCTCTCACTCACACCAGATGATGGTCCATGTAGGCACCCTGGACTTCCTTTTACTCAGCTGTAGTTGTGTGTGTGCATGTGCCTGCACAATAACAGCATTAGATATGAGTGTAGTTAGGCATGATTAGCTTGATTAAATCATGGACAAAGATAATTAAAAACCTCCATTAGCACTTCATCATGTAAGTCTTGAAAGGTTTGTGATGGTTTTATTTTTTTTGCAGTACACCACAATTTCATTTCACACTGAATGAAACACTAAGTACTGTCCCACACCTGCAAACTTAGAACACAGCAACAACCATCTTTCCCCTTCTGTGGAATCAAGTCACTGCAAAAATGAATGAATGAAAAATACTGTGTAACAGTATTCTGTGAGGTTGCACTACAACATTTAATGTAACTGTTGTGATGACTGTTCCTTCCAGTGGTGATCCTGACATGCCACCACCTGGTCCCCTGCCTCCCAAACCTGTCAAGTGGCCCTCCAGCCAGCCTCCTGGGCCAGGTAAGCTGCTTAAAGTGCACATGTAGCTTTATGACTAACAAATGCATAGGAGGCGTGAAGTTACAATATGACATGATACTTTGTTCTTTGGAAGATATGGCTGAGAAAAATTAATTCCCAAACAGTCATGCCTTCAAATATTGGAGTTATCAACCAATAACTGAAGTGTCCAAAAACTCATGTTTTCCAAGAACTATCATGGAGTGGAATTTGTTGCCAACAAGCACAGTTGGGGCATGATCACTAGAAAGCTTAAGACAACTCCTGCAATTAAATGTGCAAAGATTGGTTGTAACAAGTCATTCAGAGTAATATAGCTTGCTTCCGCCGTGCCATGTGCCTACGAAGCTGGTGTCTTTTGTCGAAGGGGGTGATACCGGCTATGTCAATACAGATACAGAATGAGAGACATTATAGGATACATTGTAACTGACTGTTTAAAGTTAAAACTTTTGGTCCAACACAACTTCACTGGGTCAGTCTACTGAAGAAGACCAAAGTGACTGGTCGAAAGCTCTAGGTGAGAGAATTTTTTTGTGTTGGACCAAAAGTTTTAACATCAAACATGTAACTACCAACACAGATGAACTTTCATGATAGTAACTGACTGTTGATGACCTCTAGATGTGGAAGCTCACATTGACCTGAAGATGACCACGGGCTGCAGCATGGACGAGGAGCCGCCACCACAGGAAGCACCGCCCCCTCCTGGCCCGCGCAGGGAACTGCAGCCTAAAAAGGTCAGATGAGCTGTTTTCATATAATATAGATAAGTTACCGATCAAAGATACTGATGCTAACTAGAGAGGTAACATTTGCAGAGCAAATGCATAATGTTTACCCTCACATAATCTGCTCTGTTAATTCTAACTCAAACACATTCATATAATGATAACAGGAGTTAAAATCCCTCCTGCTAAAAAAATCAAAACATGATGTAACCCAACACTAGTTACCATGGTGACAGACATCTGGTTCAGGTCATTGACCTTATTGGTTTGGAGAAGAATAATAAATGAATAGAATAATCTTTAGAGTGAGATGTGTCAAAGGCTAGGTGTACATGTAACAAGTCGTTCAGTGTAATGTAGCCAGCTGCTGCAGTGCTTCATGCCAATTACAAGTTATGCCAAGGAGCAGTTACACACACACACACATGTATACCAGCTATACAGATACAGACACAGAAGTGTGTTTATGTTAATGCTGCTTGGTGGTTTGTCTCCATGACAGAAGCCGGTGCCGATCCCGAGTGATGCTTCACCACCACCCCTGCAGCCCAAACCCCGCCCGCCCGCTTGCTCGGAGGAGGGTCCTGACAAGACACAGAAACTCATTCCCAGGGAGTCCCTACAGCTGGGCCGCGAGCTGGGACAGGGAGAGTTTGGTTCTGTACTGATGGGTGTATGGACAAATCCTGACGGCAGGGAGGTAAGGTTACAGTGGGACAGGGAAAGTTTGGTTCTGTCTAACTGATGGGTGCATGGACAAATCCTGATAGCAGGCAGGTAATGCTACATTGGGACAGGGAGAGTTTGGTTCTGTACTGATGGGTGTATGGACAAATCCCGATGGCAGGGAGGTAAGGTTACGGTGGAGAGAATGTTATCTGTTTAAGCCCAAGTTTGAGTCGCCATCTTACCACTAGTGTCCAATGCAGCCAGCTGTAATAATATTGGCTTTCATAAACTTTGTGGTAAAATGATTGCAGTTTTTGAAACATTTTTATGCTCTTTTTATGGCAAAATTTTAGCTGTTTTTTTAAGTGCTCTCTTTATGGTAAAATGATTGCTGGTTTTGAAACATTTTTTTTTGTTCTCTGCACTGTTCCTTGGACTGTCTGTAGATCTGATTCAAAACCATCTTTTACTTCTGCCCAGTTGTGCACTATAGTTACACTGGGCTGTGGTGCCCTCTAGCAATCTGCTACAGAACTGCAACTACATTATACCTGTAGGTGTGACTGTGTTGTGTTGCCATGTCAGATTCCAGTGGCCCTGAAGACTCTGCAAGGAGAACACTGTCCTTGGTGCTGAACACCATCGACAAACATATTAACATGCCTGTCCTTGGTGCTGAACACCATCCACACACAGATTAACATGCCTGTCCTTGGTGCTGAACACCATCCACACGCAGACAAACATGCCTGTCCTTGGTGCTGAACACCATCCACACACAGATTAACATGCCTGTTCTTGGTGCTGAACACCATCCACACACAGATTAACATGCCTGTCCTTGGCGCTGAACACCATCCACACACAGATTAACATGCCTGTTCTTGGTGCTGAACACCATCCACACACAGATTAACATGCCTGTCCTTGGTGCTGAACACCATCCACACACAGATTGACATGCCTGTCCTTGGCGCTGAACACCATCCACACACAGATTAACACGCCTGTCCTTGGTGCTGAACACCATCCACACTTAGATTAACATGCCTGTCCTTGGTGCTGAACACTGTGAACACACAGGGAAACACACTTGTCTTTCTTGCCATGTCAGATTCCAGTGGCGCTGAAGACCCTGCGAGGAGAACACATCCAACACGGTGAGCAGGAGTTCCTGCGGGAGGCCAGGGTCATGATGGGGCTGGACCACTTCTGTATCGTGCAGCTCATCGGAGTCTGTCTGGGGCCGCCCATGATGATGGTTGGTTTGTAGTCAGAAGTGTCTGTCTTTGATTTTCTATAGAATTAACTACTATACAAATAAAATAAATGGTATCCACCTTATACAATAGTGTTTTGGTGCATCCACTAAACATACCTGTCCTTGGTGCTGAACACCATCCACACACAACGTTCATTGGTGCTGAACACCATCCACACACAGGTAAACATACCTGTCCTTGGTGCTGAACACCATCCACACACAGGTAAACATACCTGTCCTTACTGCTGAACACCATCCACACAGTGTACCTTTCTTTGGTGCTGAACACCATCCACACACACAACATACCTGTCCTTGGTGCTGAACACCATATCCACACACAGATTAGCATGTCTCTCCTTGGTGCTGAACACCATCTACACACACAACATACTTGTCCATGGTGCTGAACACCATCCACACACAACACACCTGTCCTTGGTGCTGAACACCATCCACACAACATGCCTGTCCTTGGTGCTGAACACCATCCACACACAGGTAAACATGCCTTGTCTTCGGTGCTGAACACCATCCACACATGTCTGTCCTTGGTGCTGAATACTATACACACACAACATACCTGTCCTTGGTTCTGAACACCATCCACACATAGTTAACACACCTGTCCTTGGTGCTGAACACTGTCAACACACAGGAAAACACACTTGTCTTTCAGGTACTATGGCTAAAAGCTAAGAACTGTTTCATATGATATCTTTGTATCCTATCAAACAGTGTTTCATTGTGGTCACTGTTCTTGTATTACAGGTGCAGGAGTTAGTGTCTATGGGGTCAGTGCTGGACTATCTGCTGGACTATCCACAGAAAGTGTCCCTGCCTGACCTGAAGCTGTGGTCAGCTCAGATTGCCAGTGGTATGATGTATCTGGAGGAGAAGAGATTTGTCCACCGTGATCTGGCAGCTCGTAACATTCTGCTGGCCTCCAAAGATCAAGTATGTTATCACTTAGCATGAAAGTTCATCTGAGGTGGTAAAATACATTGAAGAAAATTAAACTGTTCTCCAACTCAAAAACGAAATTAACTCACTAGAAATTTTTGACTGAATCGCTGTGGATGCGTAACTTTTAGTCACGTGTGACGTCAGCACTGGGTCAAAGTTCATAGGAAGTTGGTACTGCCCCCGTCATGGTTGAACCAATGTCTATTGGGCTTTCTGCCCTTTTGACCAGATTGTGTAGCAAGATATAGTAAGATTTGTCAATCTTTTCAACACATCTTCAATGTGTAACTCTTGATCTGTTTATTTTTTATGTAGTTGAAGATCAGTGATTTTGGCCTGTCCCGGGCAGTTGGTGCAGGGAGTGACTACTACAAGGCCTCTGCTGGAGGAAGGTGGCCTGTCAAATGGTAGGCTTATTCACATTTATTAGATTTTAGGCCACACCAGTTTCCTTTATTTTCTGGTATTTTTAGCAAAGATTTAGCAAGAGTGTTTGCTGCTGCCAGAGGCTCTTGTTTTTTACATGTACATACAAGCTGTGTAAGACTGGACCTTCATTCTGCAGGTATGCTCCTGAGTCTATCAACTATGGGACCTTCTCCCATGCCAGCGATGTGTGGAGCTATGGGGTGACGTTATGGGAGATGTTTTCTTATGGACAGCAACCCTACGGTGACATGACAGGGGCTCAGGTCAGCAGTCGTTGAAACACTCCCTATTTACACTCCCACTCCCTAAATACTCCCTCCCTTTAACACAGAGGGGTGATAAAGGCATCCAGTGCAGTTTTTAAGGCTTGGAAACCCAATTTTTCAAAGCCAATGTTGAGGTCATTATCTACATACGGAATTGAAACCAAGCTATGGCAATGTACATTGACCCTCATAGAGCAAAAATTGCGAAAATTCTGACAGAAAATGGTTACTGGAAGGGCTATGGGCTGAAGTACCACCCAGAAAATAAATGACTCATCTTGGGCATTTAGTCACACTACACTTATCAAATTCTTTTATGTGAAACAAAAATGTGCGATATAATATGACATGTTGTATTGTGTAATTGTACTGTATATGTCTGTAATTGTTTCCCTGCACATTAAGCCAGTTATGACCGATGTGACCTGGGCTTAATTTTTACTTTCTTATTTACAAATAAAGTCTGATTTTACTACTGCCTTTACAGGTTATCCAGTTCATAGAAGAGGAAGGAAAGCGACTGTCCAAGCCGGACAAGTGTCCAGAGAAGGTGTACCAGATCATGTTGAGGTGCTGGTCCTACGAGCCAAGCCAGCGTCCGACTTTCCAGATGCTGAACACCATCTTCAGTGCAGACCCAGAGTACGGCACCCACCAAATCAGACACAAATAGAGAATCATTCTTACCAAGTTGTGTGAAAGTCAAACTGCCAAGAACAGAGATAAGGCCACACCAATTTAATTTGTTGGTTCTTGGATTTGCCTCTCATTTTTTTCTGATTTGCGAAAAAAGATTCTAAACAAACTAAAAATGCTCATGTTTGCCCCCAACAGATAAGGAAAAACCTTTTCTTTCCACTTGCTACAATTTTTCCATCCACCTATGCAGTGGTTTGATTAAAAGTTCAATATTCATTGTTGAATTAACCCAGCCGTTTGTGTTGACTTCATGGCTCTTATCATAGCACTTGGGGCTATAATAGGATACCCCTGTTGCTTATTTTTTATGAAAAAATCTGAGAACCAACAAATTAAATTGGTGTGGCCTAAATGCACTGTGTATCAAATTGCAACCTCAGACCTCTGTATAGTGTTTAAATCTGTTGTCAATAATCATGCAAATAAGGCTGAAAGTACTAGTAACAAATCTATGTAAAGTGAAGGTCTCCACTACCCAAATTTTTGTCTTTTCAAGACCTAGCCACATACCAAATCCATCAATAGCTTCCTAAGTTATGCTGACCAATGAATTCATGGAGGTAAATATTACTATTTACTCTTAACATTCTCCTTACCATATTGGTAATGTTAAAAGCATCATGTAATGTTAGTTGTGTTGGTGATTTGACAAAGCATATCTTATTGAATCTTTTTTGATTTTGTTTTATCCTTCCAAGAACAATTTAACACATAGCATTTCTCAGGTCTTCAATTTCAAACCTTTAATGTCTTGTATACTTCAAGTGGATCTCGTTTCTTCTACACATTCTTGCAATATTCTTCAAATCAAAGGAAAGATTTTTTAGGAATTAGCAAATGATAGTATTTCATGAAGAAGTATTTCATAGACAGGGCTGTGTGCATGTGATATGAGTTGATGGGGCTTATTCATGCTAGTGATATTAGTAGTGTTTTAGATGTAAAGGTGTATACATGGAATAGGACAACTGGGCTTTACCATTTCCTTGCATACCTTTATACTGAGGTTGTTTATTAGCATGTCTATCAAAACACATGCCTATTATTACAGTCCTTATATTAATATGGAAATGGACTTATCAGGGTTAATATCAGTATTACTTTGTCTTGTTGAATATGATTTGAAAATATTTTATGACCAAGTATACAGCATAATGTTATATATACAGAATATATATTATATATATATGATTTATTTACATGTATATGAAAATGGAACATTTATTATATACTATTGTTTTTTGGCATTTGGTGGCCTTTATCAACTTTATTAGAAGTCGCCTATTGTATCCCAAGAAGAATACATTTAGTCGAATCACTGATCTAAATCAACATACAACTTCATTGTGACGTCTTTTATTATCATGATCTATTCCTGTGGTGGTCACAAATTAATAAAAATGATAACCTACTTTATAATCATGTTCTCTGTTCTTTTTGTGGTCTGTATCGAAACTTGATTTCTACTGTGGAATATTAAAAAAAAACATCAATCTGGCAGACATAAATTAAAAGCCTTGCATGATTTTCATTCTTTCAAAATAGGTTAAGTTTATATATAAGTGTTAAAAGTATAACAATAATACAACAAAGGGGAGTATACTAGTATTCAGTTTCTGGCTTTAAATGCCTTTTACTACCACCAATCAAGTAATGCTTCATGAACACATCAGCAGAACGTACTGCGCCTGTGCAAAACCCTGATTTTTCATGGTTTTGCTTAACATTGCAGCAGAATTTTGCCAACGATATCTTTTTCGACATAACATTTGGAAACGCGAATACATCCTTATATGAGACATTCTTCCACAGTGCTATGCACAATACATTACTGCTTTCGTGCAGGTACAGTACATTCTGCCGACATGCTTGCTTCAAGCACATGTCTTATACTACTGAAAAAGACCTTCAGAATGAGTGGTCAGTGTTTTCCCTGCATGGCGTCCAGGGCTTTTCCCTTGGAGTGTCCTACGCGGAGTTTCAGCCGCTCCACAAGAGACATCCTGGTGACCACAGGACTGTCTACATCCTCCATCACTTTGGAGCTACAAGGAGATGCAGGTCTGACTTCAGCAACAACACTTGGTGCACAAGCTGCCGATACATCTCTGGTATCATCAAATACAGATGCTTTTGTAACGCAGCTATCCTGGATGGAAACTGGCCTAGGCATTGGAGCCTTTCTCGATTGCAAAGAGTCTGAGTCATTACCAGCTTGTAGTGTCTTCTTTCTATCGTTGTCTGCTGTAGTCTTGCTTGAGTGAAGCCCTCCTCCCTTCATCTGCTTGGCTTTGCCTGCATTAACAGGCTGTGGCAGTTCAACAAACCCACTTGTGGCCTTGTTTCGCACTGGAGCGATTTCAGTCTCAACAGACTGCTTCTTTCTTACATTGTCTGCTGTAGTCTTGCTTGGATGAAGCCCTCCTCCCATCACTTGCTTGGTTTTGCCTGCAACAGGCTGTGGGAATTCAACAGGTCCATTTGTGGCCTTGTTTAGCACTGGAGTGATTTCAGTCTCAACCGACTGCTTCTTTCTAACATTGTCTTCTGTAGTCTTGCTTGAGTGAAACCCTTCCCCCTTCACTTGCTTGGTTTTTCCCACAACAGGCTGTGGGAATTCAACAGGGCCACTTGTGGCCTTATTTAGCACTGGAGCGATCTCAGTCTCAACCAACTGCTTTTTTCCAACATTATTTGCTGTAGCCTTGCTTGAGTGAAGCCCTTTTCCCTTCACCTGCTTGGTTTTTCCTACAACAGGCTGTGGGAATTCAACAGGGCCATTTGTGGCCTTGTTCAGCACTGGAGTGATGTCAGTCTCAACCGACTGCTTCTTTCTATCATTATCTGCTGTAGTCTTGCTTGAGTGAAGCCCTTCCCCCTTCACTTGCTTGGTTTTGCCTGAAACAGGCTGTGGCAGTTCAACAGGGCAGCCTGTGGCCTTGTTTAGCTCTGGAACAATTTCAGTCTCAACCGACTGCTTCTTCCTAACATTATCTGTGGTAGTCTTGCTTGAGTGAAGCCTTTTCTCCTTCACTTGCTTGGTTTTGCCTGCAACAGGCAGTGGGAATTCAAGAGGGCCACTTGTGGCCTTGTTCAGCACTGGAACAGTTATAGTCTCAACCGAATGCTCATCTCTAAAAACTTGTTCTAAACTTCCTTGGGGTTTTACAATTGGCCCACCTGTCCTGTCATTCTGTGCGAGCTTCTTGCGCCCGTCCTGGTTTGATGTCTCTTTGGATGCAGCTGTATGATCTGTGTTTAGAGTCATAGGCTGAAGCACATCCTTGAAGGATGATCTTTCCTCTACCCTAGGCTCCCTCCTCTTTCCTCTCAACTTTAACCTCTCCATGAGAGGCAACATCACAAGTGTTGAGGCCGGAGACTCCATGTCGTTTTGCGCGTTCAGATCTGGACCCATCATTGATATTTTGCCGTGTTTAGTTGTGTTACTTGACTGAGGTGTGTTAGTAGTGAAACTAGTATCTCCATCTGTGTTCGACATAAAGGAAAAATCATTTATCCCCAGGGAGAAATTTGGGTCTGTTTGGCTGAAGACAGGTGGGTGAGAATGTGGAACTTTTTCAGAAGACACAGCAAACTGTGATGTAACAACTGCATCCTCATTCAGTTTACCAGGCAAAGCCTTCTCCTTGCAGCCTCTTGTAGTTGATTTAGCAGACTCTCCCTGGTCTAGTGACAATGTATTACTATCACATTTGTCTAGCGATAACTTTGAGAAGTCAAGAGCTAGACTGTTATCGAGTACACAGGGTGCAGCAGGCCTTTTTGCTTGTTCTTCTTCTTGTGTGTCACCCTGCTGTTGAGAGTCTGTATCTGTCATCTCATCAGTGCACTTCTGTTTGGCCTTTGATTTTGCTCCTAGAATATATAAAAGAAGTTAATCAGTGTATTTAATCAGAGTTGTTATAGTTTTTCCATCTATCAATGCAGTATGACTAAAAGTTTGAAATTCATTGTTTGAATTACAAACCAGCCTGGTATGTTGACTTCATGGCTCCTATCATATAGCATTTGGGGGTGTCATAAGACACCTAGGTCTGTTTTTATTTTTATTTTTTTCGCCCTGTCGTTTCATTTTTTCTGAAAAAAAATCCGAGAACCTAAGTTGTGGCAACACAACTCCCCACCTTTCTTCCTGCTTTGTTTGAGAGCTTTCCTCTCCCTGAACTCCTGTACAAGCTGTGGGAAGGCTGATGAGAAGAGATCTTCTGGTTCTATGGTTGTAACATAACTCCCTTCTGTGATAACGTCGTCAGGCTTGTACCACTGCACCTCCAGACAGGGTACGCCGTTACGTGTGCGGGTTTTCACCACACTGAAACATGAGAGTGAAAAGTTAATGCATGCCTGTAGCTTCGGAACACACACACACCAAGGTCCACTTTTATCTAAAGGTCCAAAACTTTTCTTAATAAAAGTGGACTGATTTTTATCACCAGCAGGACTGGAATCCTATTTGTCTCTGATTTTTCCTTTGAAATCCTCTAAAAATGCAGGAAATGCCATTTCAGAAGGTGGAATTTAAAAAATTTTCCAGGGGAGCATGCCCCCAGACCCCCTAGGAAGCTCGTGCCTCCAGTGCTCACTAGTCCCTCAGACAGTAGGAAGAACCCCCCGAAACAAAATCCTGGCTATGGGTATGTAAACATTCAATCTAAGCATCCCCAGCTTGCATTTTTAGGTACAATAGGTAGAGAATGATTGAATGTTCATTATTAGAAGATACCTAACATCAGAGAATAGAGATTTTCTGAATCTACAGAATCTTTGATGTCAGGGCATCTTTCATTCAGTGTTCTGTAATATTGCAGAATGTCAAAATTTTGTTCTGCAATTCAGAAATACCTTCAGCAAATATACACTAAATCCTGATGTAAAAATTGTATGTTGGCAAACATTTTACATGCAATTTGACAAACATATGAGTCAGTTAAAAGTAAACACAAAAGTCTTAAACAATTGAACTCCTACTAGGCCTAGCCTGATTTTGCAAATATGCAGGCTGCTTATTTTTTTTGCAGACTGCAGGTGGGTATTTATAAAACTGGAGACAGTGGCCGCACCTGTGAGGTGACAGTGACAGTCTGTTCTCCTTCTGATCAGGACTCTGTTTGTGACACATCTCCCAGTAGGTGACGAGAGGCAGGACTTTCTCCAGGGTGTACTCTTCAGGCCACTCCAGTAACCTCAGGTTCAGATCCTATAAACAGTCAAAATCATTGCATGAAAGTTCATCTGTATTGGGGGTACAGTGTACTTAATAAAATTATGTGTTTTGTGTGATAAGCAAATGCTATAAATAAGTTTAATAAATTTGAATGGAAATGATTCTCACAAAAAGTTAATGACGTGAAAATTGGTGGTCTTCAAAGATTATTAATTATCTGCAAAAAAATGCTTTACTTATATACACAGGTCATACAATGTGGTACATACATTATTGAGGATGTGATGAAATGTAACTGAATGAAATATAATCTCTGACCTGCAATACAGGCATCCTTGGCCTCTTCCATTCCAACTTTAGGGAGGGACAGGTGTCTTTTGTGACCAGGAACTCGTTGATAATCTAGAAAAATGGCAAGCAGTGGTAAAAATCCTTTTTTTAAGTGTTATGTAATATTGCAGAATGTCAAACTTTTGTTCCGGAATTCAGAAATACTTTCTGACACACTTATAAGTCTTGATTAGATACATACTTTTGTATCAGGAAAAGCTGGATTTGTCAGTGCTTTTCTGTAAAATAAAGGAGAAGCAAACAATTGGGTGAAAAATATTAACTATAATTTTAGGACACACAAATAACATCATATGTTGGTCTTTGGAATGTTTCATCTTGTAGTGATTACACTTGTGCCGATTTTCCTGCAATAATGTTATTAAAAAATTGTGGTCTTTAGCTTATATAATATATGAAGTTAGAATAGATAAAAGAACAATGACCTGTGCAACCAAATTATAAACACACAACTCTATGCTACCTCTTAGGGTCCTTGACAAAGAGTTAACTACTTAACTACCATTACCTCATCACAGTAACTTCAATAGAAGTGTTCCTGGCCCTCTTCTGGCTTCCCTTTAGCTGACTGGTCATCCCACACTGAGCGTCTGTATGATCAGATGCTTCAGATCTCCACACTTTAAATCTGGAGGAGAGCAAAGAAATCTTACAATCTCTACCAACCTGACTTGACATCATTGAAACAGTAAATCTTGAATATTACCTAATGGAATTTCAAAGACAAATTGTGTATAATCTAGAGCTACAATTGAATTGAAAGAATAAAGATATAGACCCTGGTATGGTATTAGTATAGCCGGTATAACCGCCCCTTGTCATAACACACCAGCTTTGCAGGCACACGGCGCTGCTGCAGCTAACTTTGGACAGAAATTTTTTCCACCTTTTCATGTCATGTTGACTGATATGGGGTCAAGATAACTGGGGTCCATCTGTGTGCATGTGTATGTAGTGATTTTCCCACTTTCCCACAAGAACTTACCGCTCCAGTACGTTACAGGCGCCAAGAGCAGTCATGACTTTCACAGCGAGTTCTTTGCCCACACCAGGCACCCCTTTGGGACAGTAGTCACAGCCCAACAGCAGGGCCAGGCCTACCAACTTGTTACGATCCAACAGGAGCTTTTCCTCTATGTCTGTCATCTTGTAACAGTCAACATGAGGATCCTGAAAGACGTACAACAGTCAGAATGTCAACAGTCAGATTTGAAGCTGGCTTCAATGTCAAGTTCAATAGTTCCAAATCATTACCAATACTGCAGTTTGAAGTTCTTTTAACGACGGCATACGTGGAATATGTTGACAATGTTGACAATAAACATACACTAGTACATATTGGGATTGTGCATTTAATCTATTTACGTTACTGTTTTTATTTCACCCCCAACGGTATTGATTTTAGCTTGACTGTCTTCTTTATGGGCTTCTTATTAACTACTGGCATCTGAAAGGGATGAAGTCTAACATATCTTCTTCAAATCTTAAGACATTTTACACTACTAGTAGTAGTCAGTGTTGCTTTGCTGACTGCCTGTTCAAGATGTGATGAAAAAGTTCAACTTCTGGAATTCATTGTCGAGTGGCAGATCCCTAAGAAGAAGAAGAAGAAGATCCTTAAATAACCGCCCACCTTTTTGTCCAAGGTGAGGTTCCTGTAGACAGTCCTGGCACCGTACAGGAAGGCATCCCCGTCATCAGTCAGACATCCATCCACCAACTTACCACACAGAAGAGTTGCTTTATATACATGTGGTTTGTTCCAATTTTATCATTGTATCATTTGTGTGTAGCTAATTTTGTGACAGTGATCTGTTTTATCAGTTTTATACATTGTTGCCTAAGTCAGTTCATAACTAGAAAGTTAACATAATGCATATGTTTTCCTATATATGCATGTGTCTGCTCTGTTGATTCTTACTCAAACACATTCACATATATGGTGACAGGTGTCTAAATCCTTCCTACTATAAAATTGCAACATTATGCAACCCAACACCAGTTACCATGGTGACAGGCAGTCTGGTTCAGGTGACATTGACCAGGTCAGTGTTTGGAATGGAAGAGCAAAAACCATATATGTTTTCCTTTGGTAAACAATTATGAACTCTACTGTTAAATGGTGACTTGAAATTTCAATGGTGACAAAGTTTGAAAGAATGTCTCAACTCACATTCTCCCTGTTCAGTAGTGCACAGAAGGCCTCGGCCTCTCCTTTGCTCTGCACATGGGGGATTCCCAGTCCATCCAGCAGGAGGAGACACTGGAAGTAGATAAGTAGATATCTTCTGAAAAATATGTCTATATATCTACGTATACTCTTCTAAATATGTTAAGTTTTTGTATATATGCAAAAGTTTAACGCCAGAGGCTTATGCCTCAAGCACGGTCATACAATGTACATATATAGGGTTCAGCTTTTTAGTTTTAGTCATTATTTGAACTTCATTGACACTACTTCTTTCTAAAAAGAATCTTTTCTGTGTCGGTATACTAGTAGCCAGTATAACCGCCCTTTGGTGTAACACACCAGCTTTGCAGGCATGCGGCACGACAGCAGCTAGCTGTATCACACTGAACAATTTGTTACACTCAATCTTTCTGTACCTCTTTCAGTACAGCCTTGAAGTGAGATCTCTTCAATTTCTTTGGTTTTCCCAGGCCTTTCCTCTGTCCGTCTGTACCGGCCCTGCTGCCCCCAAACCGATCCTGGCTGCGTTTCATCATGGTTTCATACTTCAGCTCTGGAGGATCACCGTCCACCACAAATATCAAGCTGACGCCCATTCTGGTCAGATGAGACACTCGGAAGAAAAGGTTCCTGAAAATAAACAAGAGGGACAATTGTGTTGAGCAACAATTAACTTGATATGATTCAGAGTTGTTGTTTTTTTTCATGTTTACAGAAGGAAAGCATATGGTTTTTGCTCTGTTTCCTCTTCTTCTCCAAACCAAAAAGGTCAATGACCTGAACCAGACGTTAGGTTTCTTTATGTTGCAATTTCATAGCAGGAGGGATTTAGACTGCAGACTGTTACCAAATCTGACCACTCCTTTCCTGCCACCACTCTTACTGCATTAGAATACCTACAGACACACAAGCAAACACACACACACGGGGGTAAAAAAAATTATCAGATCAAAAATTCTGCAAACCTGAGATGCGGCCTGGTGACCACACCAGTCATAGCCTTCATGGCAGTGGCCTCACACACCCACATACTCAGGTCCACCGCCAGGGTCTGCCCTTGTAGGGCCTCCAGCGGGCAGTGGGTCTTCACGGGGGCAAGGATCGTCCAAAGCTGCTGAACCCCCATGGCTGAAAAAAAATTATTATGTGTTGTCGACGCAAGAAAATTATTTATTCAGAAATCTTTCAAATTGGGCTGTTAAAAAAAATTGGAGGTGGGTTGAAGAGCTTGGATTTTCTACTTTCTGACTCCCTTTATCAGAGGGCCTTGACGAATAATTCAATTTGACCCCCTTTCATTTCATTTGCCCCTTAAAAATTTCATCCAAGTGACTTGACAACAACAACTTGACCCCCTATTCATCCAAATCCAGGGTTTTCTTCTGGTAAACCCCCCTCAATCCAAATCCAACAAAATCCACATCCACTAACCCCCTTATTAAAATCCGACCTCTTCAACCCCCCCTCCTCAGTTAGTATTTTTTTGAACGGCCCATTTTCAGAAATCTTCCAAGTTTCATAACGTCGCTGACCGTTTGAATCTGTTGTTGTTTACGCAATGTGGTAATAAACAGCACTCATAATTTACCTACAAGACAAAGGATAACTTAATGTAGTCATATAGTGCTGTTTAACCTTATTATTTACTTGTTTACGGGTTACTTACCTCCTAAAGTTGTTTACCTCCTACAGTAGTAGACGGGACGAAATCAAAATTCCCGGAAACCCAGCATGCAGTGCGCACCTTTGGTCTCCCATAGCAGTTTGTCCCCAGTATGCAGTGACGTCAGACCGTAACTTGGGCAGTATGCAACTGAAATGTTATGGCTTTTAATTTTGATTTTAATGCACGCATGTTTTAGAACCGTGATGTAACGCCTTTCGGCGTAACACACCAGCTTCGCAGGCACGCGGCGCGGCGGCAGCTGGCTACATTACCCCGATGGACTTGTTACACCTAACCCTTGAACATCTAAATCTAGGCATTGTTTAAGGCTATCTAATGATATTATACCCCTACTGTACTTGGTGACAGCGAGTTCCACTCTGCGATAGTTCTAGGAAAGAATGAATTCTTCAACACCTCAATCCTTAGTTGATAACTCTGGTACTTGAAGGCATGGCTATTATAATGATAATGTTATACGTTTAATATTAAGATTGATAACTTTTATGACTTTTATGTAACTTAACATTACGTCCGTAATCTTTTAACGTAGCCTACACTGCACTGAAAATGTTAGTTACGGTGCGACAGGTGTCTGTGGCCAATTGTTTTCTTCGTGGCTCAGACGTCACAGGTCAAAGTTCACAAACTTGTGGCAAGTAGTCCTGAGCAGAGTGTTCTACGTTGTCCGAGCAGTACTCCGTACTCCAAGCATTATGGCAGGTAAGGCGTCGTTTACCAGTGGAAACACTTTTCGAAAGGCTCTCTCTAGACTACTGTTTGTTGAATCACGGTCAAGCTTCACTGTGTGACTTGCACAAAATGCCAAACTTGTGTCACTGTGGCTAGTACGAACTGAATGTGCTGTAGTGGGCGTGGCGTTACTGACTACTGAGGGGGAATCAACAAAGACTACAGTATGGCCCTCAGACAGTCCATGCAGTTATGTGAAACATGAACTCAGGAGAACGATGTTAAAATATCACATTAAAATTAAACATAATGTCCTTGGGCAGACGAACGTGAACAACGTGACCCGGAAGTATTTAAGTTTTAAACTTTAATCCATCGAGCGATCGCTTCTGTTTGGGCCGTTTGGACGATTTATTGTTTTAAGCTACGTCGGGGGGAAATACTAATATTGTGTCTTAGGGTTATCGATCTAGAATAAGCTATTAAGTGAAGTTCACATTTGGATCTTTATATGATACACTTTTAGTTCCATTCTATAAGAGATCTTCATTTGTGTTTCATGCAGTATCAGTCCTAATCAACTTTTCGACATTCCAAAGGTCAGCATTCTTTAAGTGCGGTTCCGTGTGTGCGCATAGTCACTACACTGATATTATCTGTAGTGGCATCGTGTTGACATCAGACCAAGGACATTCTACAAACGTCAATTCTACAAATGTCATTGATCAGACTTAAAGATCAGATCTCTCGAGATCATCCCAGGAAGGATGCCTACTAAAGTCTATCGTACGTGTTGATAGCCATACAAACATGTACATATCATTGATTACGATAATGTAAACAGTGGAAGGCACATCAGGCCGTGCAGAGAGTGAATTCCCGGCTAAACTTGTAACAGGTGTGTCCCAAGGAGATCGCCACCGTCTCTAGTTTAAACAGGAGAGCCCTCGGCCGAGGTCGACTGTCATGGGCCTCACGGAGTCGTCTTCAGTACACCCGCCCACCAAGGCCAATATATAAAAATTCATATTTCTTATGAAACTTCACAAATCATGTATCATTAGTAGTTCTATATCTGTATCTGTATCGGTATAGCCGGTATAACCGCCCTTCGGCGTAACACACCAGCTTCGCAGGCACGCGGCGCGGCGGCAGCTAGCTATATCACACCGACGACTTGTTACACTTAATCTTTGCACATTTGATTGCAGGAGTTGTTTAAAGCTTTCTAGTGATGATGCCCCAAATGTGCTCGTACATCTATGACTGCTCAAGAAGCGAGAAGAAGTTGAACATGTTATAAATAGTAGATCACATTAAGTGTAATTGCTGTATCATTTTCCTTGTCTATTCATGTCCTGCACTTAGCTTGTTAGAGCACAAACGTACAATAAAGGTCTTTCATTCAATAAGCACATGCTGTGAAATTAGGGGCTATGCAAGTTCGGAAAGATCGGTTAGGCTGTCATTAGATCTGGAAAACACAATGTCTTGCCCTTGGGATGTTTACGTGAGTCATGCTAAGCCATGCATGGTAAAGCGGGGTCAAGGCTAGGGTAACCTGTCGGACTACTCTACATCTTGTCACAGTATGTAACCTTATAGTTCCGGACAGTTACTGATCTCTTGGTCGCCTCATCTATAATGCTATATCATTGACCAATCCATATTTTGCTTTATTCCTTTACTTTGGTCAGCTTTGTACCACCCATCCCCCCACATAACTTTTAACCTCTATCTTCAATCTAAAACTTCACTTCCTCCGTTCTTATTGTATCTGTATCTGTATCTGTATCTGTACGTCTCCAGATCTGAAGGCAGTAATTGAAGCACAGAACAAGAGGTTTATGGACTTCTACAAGGCTAACGACATGAAAGGTCTGGCTAGCCTGTACACAGAGGACTGCAAGCTCATGCCGACAGGCAGTGACACCATGCATGGCCGAGACGGTGAGGACTGTGTCAAATTATGGAACTATTGATGGCTGCTAGCTGCACTCTGAGAAGCTGTAATCATGAGAAAACTATGAAAATTAGAAGAATAGAATAAATTGTTCTTTTTCTGTCTTTCTGAACGTTCTTGTCCGTGTGTGCGTGTTTGTGTGTGTGCGTGTTTGTGTAGGTGTGTTTGTGAATGCGCGAACGTAACGTTTGTACGTTTGCGTGCGTGTGCTCTGATGATCGCATACGTACGTATACCGAGAGGGCCATCAAATTAACAACATGATTTTATTCTCTTGCTAACTGCAGGCCCAGAGAAGGCGTTTTCTGGCGCCTGGGCCGGCGGTGTGAAGGCGGTGGAGTTGAAAGTAGAGGAAGTCGGACCGATGGGTAGCGACGTCATCTACGAGCGGAGCACCTACACCATGAAGACAGAGGACGGCACTGTGGCTGACGAGGGCAAGTAAGTAACATGTTTTATATCCTTGCTGTGTATCTGACCAGTTAGATCATACTGAGTGGATACAATAACTATACATGAGATAGAAATATCATAGACTTTCTGAAATTGTGGTTACGTTGAAAATATCGACTTTTCTTCTTGATGTTTTACAGGTACATCGTGATTTGGAAGAAAGTTGATGGAGAGTGGTTCATGCACATCGACATCTTTAACTCAAGCAAAGCCTGAAGATTCTACATCTACAGTCGCATAAAAAGGAGATAGAAGATGGTCAAAACATATCGCGTATATCTAATCGGGAATCTTATAGAATAGCACAGAATTGTTTGTCAACGTACCAAGTACCGGTCTTGCTTAGACATCTTGATTCATCTATTGCTTCAATAAATGGTGTTATACCATTTAGGTTACGATTCTGGCTTCATTTCACAACATAAGAAAGAAAATGCAGTAAAATACAGTGGTATGTGAGACTATATCTACGTCTAGCATTATACTATATTCTACAACATGCATGGTACTAGTTTTACTGGGTTTGACTTCTTTTTAGGCAGTGGAAGACGAATTTACCCACTTCTTCTATAATATGTGGGTTCTTTGATTTTAGTAGTAAAAATGTTTTTTTTTGTGGTAGGGAACGGTGGGGAAGTAAGGGGGCATTTTGGACACGACCATTTCAGCCCCCTAAACACGATTGATTCACTGAATGACGAAACTGTACCGTCTAAAACTGTATAATCCGTGAAGCAAATACTTTACACTGTCCTAAGATCCTGTCACACAGCAGATGCTTTAAGAGAAATGTTTTAAGTTCAACATTATGATATTAATGTGCAAAAAATATTAACTTTATGACTTAAATGTATATAGCTTTATTGTCATGACTTGATGATATATAATTTTACATTTCGTCCGTAGCCCCTTAACGTACGCTACACCGACAATGTTAGTTACAGTGGGACAGGTGTCTTTAATTAAAGCCACTTGTTCTGTTTGAACAAACCTCGAAGTGCAGACGTCACAGGTCCAAGTTCACAAACTTTTGGCAAGTAGCCGTGAGCAGATTGTTCCACGTTGTCAGCAGTACTCCGTTTACTCCAAACATTATGGCAGGTAAGGCGTCGTTTATCTGTGAAAACACTGTTGGAAGACTCTATCTTGACTCTTTTACGGTCAAGCTCAATGTGACTTGCACGAAATTGCCGCACTAGTGCCTACTAGTGGTTACTACTGACTATAGCCAGTACAGTGGGCGTGGAAGTGGGGAGGCAATCAACAAAGACAGTGGTTTTAAACGCATCATGGGCACGACGTGTGTGGCAACAGTGTGCTCTGCCGCATGCAGTTATGTGTTAAACATTAACTCAGGAGAACTGGGTTAAGAGGGGCAGACCAAGTCCTTGAGCAAACGAACTTGAACGTGACCCGGAAGTATTAAACGTGTATATAACCCATCGCTTCTTCTATTTAGGCCTTTCGGACGATTTAAGCTACGTCGGGGTGAAATTGTGTCAAAGGGTATACTCATCGATCTAGAAGAAGTTTGGATCTGTATTTAACACAGTTTTAGTTCAATTGTCTTTAGACTTGTATCAGTCCTAAACGACATTTTGACATTCCAAAGTTCAGCATTCTTAGTGCGTTTTCGGAACCTCCTTGGTGCATCACTGTGGGTACGGGGAGTGTTATCTGCCCACCAAGGCCAATAAGCACATGCTGAGGGATTTTGTTGGTCCGATACAATTAGAAAGACCGGTTGGACTCATTAAATTATGATTATTTGTATGTCTTGCCCGTGGGATGTTTACTTGAGTCATCAGGCTAAGCTATGCATGGTAAAGCGGGGTCAAGGCTAGTGTAACTCTACAACTTGTCACAGTACTAAACTTTATAGACCCGGGGAACTACCGATCGCTTGGTCGCCTCATCTATAATGCTATATCCTTGACCATGTTCCAATCCATTATTTACTTTATTTATTTCTGAAGTTTACTTTGCCCCCCACACACACACACACATGAAAATGAAAGACAACATTCATCAGTTAACGTTAATTGATAGTTTTAACTTCTATCTCCGTCAGTCAACGGAAATCGTAATACGACCTCGAGGGCCAATACTGAGAACTAGATCTAGTACTTCACTATATATCTCCGATCTTATTGTATCCTACGTGTAAACCTCGTCTCCAGATCTGAAGTCTGTGACAAAAGCAAAGAACCAGAAGTTTATGGCCCTCTACAAGGCTAACGACATGAAAGGTCTGGCTAAGCTGTACACGGAGGACTGCAAGCTCATGCCGCCTGGGAGTGACACCCTACATGGCCGAGACGGTGAGGATTGTGTCAAATTATTAGCTATTGATGACTACTAGCTGCAGTCGGGTGTACTGAGAATACTATATTTATCAAAATTAAAGAACAGAATACATGTCTCTTTCTGTCTCTATCCTTGTCGTATGTGTGTGTTTACGTGTGTGTGTGTGTGTGTGTGTGTGTGTGTGTGTGTGTGTGTGTGTGTGTGTGTGTGCGCGTGTGTGTGTGTGTATGTGCGCGCATTTGCACGTTTGCGTGCGTGTGAGATTTGATGATCGCATATATACGTATACGGCGGAATGCCATCAAATTAAAAAGATGTATTTCCTAAATGCAGGGGCAGAGAAGGCGTTTACTGGCGCCTGGGCCGGCGGCGTGCGGGATGTGGAGTCAAAAACAGAGGAAGTCGGACCGATGGGTAGTGACGTCTTCTACGAACGGGGAACCAGTATAATGAAGACAGAGGACGGCACTGTGGCTGACGAGGGCAAGTAAGTCAGCGTATTTTATGCTCGCTGCACGTATATGCATCTGACCAGTTATAATCTTTCATACTGAGTGGATAGAACAACTGTAAATGAGATGTTATATACAGACTTTCTGAAATTGTAGTTATGTGGAAAGTATCGACTTTTCTTCTTGATGTTTCACAGGTACATCGTGATTTGGAAGAAAGTTGATGGAGAGTGGTTCATGCACATCGACATCTTTAACTCAAGCAAAGCCTGAAGATTCTACATCTACAGTCGCAAAAAAAGAAGAAGACTTAACATATGGTCACGGATGAACATAACATCAAGAACATGTAATCGGAAATCTTAATAGAATAGCACAGAATTTTTGTTAACACATTAAATAGCAGTCTTGCTTGGACACCCATATTGATTGATTATTTGTTACGTACGATAAAGACGTCATGCCAATTAAGTTTGTGGTTCTACCTTAATTTTATTGACATGTTATACTCTATTAGTATCACAACGGACAACGGAAATACCCAATCATAAAAAAAATGTTAAGGGGTCATTATTTTATAATCCATAAGATTCTAACACAAATGCTATTGTTTTTACATACATATTCAAGAAAAATGGTTTAAGCTGAACGCTATGAAAAAAAGAGATTAATGTTATAATTTTAACCTTATGATTTGAAATGTTATAACCTAAATGCACGTTTTATAACATTACTGTTAAGACTTGTATGATATACGTCAGAAACCCTTTTAACGTAGCCTACACTGGAAATATTAGTGACGATGCGACAGGTACTTTTTAAAGTTCCTATTGGAACCAAAGTAAACTCACGCCCCGAGGTTCAGACGTCAAAGGTAAAGAGGTCAAAGCTACACATCTTGTTCGACAAGTAGTCGTCAGAAGATTGTTACACGTCGTCGCTGGCACTGCAACGAATATACCCAGCATTATGGAAGGTAAGGAGTCGTTTACAAAGAATATTAAAAGGTCATTTCGTGACTACTGGGCCTTGAACTTTGTATACTGTCAAGCTCAATGCGACTTGAACGAAGGGCCAGTACGCTTTTTAGAAGAGTATCGCATAGCTGGTAAATCTACTGGGTGTGACTCCATTATAAACATGAGGGCCCTCAGGCGCTTTTATATCATGCGAGGTAGAATCTGACTCTACATGGGAACTGACGTCACACCCAGTACTTGTCTATCGTGGCCATCTCGGATCCGTTGTCAGTACTGGGAGGGTTGTCCGCCCACCAAGGCCAATAAGCACATGCTGTGGAATTCTGTTGGTCTATACAATTAAGAAAGATCGGTTGGACTGTCATTAAATTATGGTTATTAGTATGCAGTCTTGCTATTTAAGTCATGCATAGTAAAGCGGGGTCAAGGGTAGTGTAACTCTACAACTTGTCACAGTACGAAACTTTATAGGTCCGGGCAACTACCGATCGCTTGGTCACCTCATCTACAGTGTTCTATCCGTGACCAATCCATTATGTGCTTTATTCATTTCTGAAGTTTGCCCCCCCCCACACACACACACATGAAAATGAAAGACAACATTCATCCGTTAACGTTAATTGATAGTTTTAACCTCTGTCTCCGTCAGTCAACGGAAACCGTAATATACGCGAGGGCCAATACTGAGAACTAGATGTAGTACTTCACTATCTCCGATCTTATTGTATCTGTACGTGTAAACCTCGTCTCCAGATGTGGATCTGAAGACTCTGAAGAAAGAGATACAAGCAAGGAACCAGAAGTTTACGGCCCTCTACAAGGCTAACGACATGAAAGGTCTGGCTAAGCTGTACACGGAGAACTGCAAGGTCATGCCGCCTGGAAGTGACACTGAGTACGGCCGAGACGGTGAGGATTATGTATGTCAAGTTATTGAGCTAGCTTCACCCTGGTGTAATGAGAATACTATAAATTATATATCAAATTAGAAGAACAGAATACATGTTTCTTTCTGTCTCTCTGTCCTTGTCGTATGTGTGTGTGTACGTGTGTGTACTTGTAGGTGTCTTTGCGTATACGCGCGCATTTGCACGTTTGCGTGCGTGTGTGCTTTGATATAATCACATACATACGTATACGGCGGAGCGCCAACAGCAGGATGTATTTCCTAACTGCAGGGGTAGAGAAGGCGTATTCTGGTACCTGGGCCGGTGGTGTGCGGGATGTGGAGTCAAAAACAGAGGAAGTCGGACCGATGGGTAGTGACGTCTTCTACGAACGGGGCACCGGCACCATAAAGACAGAGGACGGCACTGTGGCTGACGAGGGCAAGTAAGTAACATGTTTTATATCCTTAATGTGCATCTGACCAGTTAGATCATACTGAGTGGATACAATAACTATACATGAGAATGAAATATCATAGACTTTCTGAAATTGTGGTTACGTTGAAAATATCACCTTTTCTTCTTGATGTTTTACAGGTACGTCCTGATTTGGAAGAAAGTTGATGGAGAGTGGTTCATACACATCGACATCTTTAACTCAAACAAAGCCTGAAGATTCTACATCTACAGTCACAAAAAAAGAAGAAGACTTAACGTATGGTCACGGATGAACATAACAGAACATGTAATCAGAAATCTTATAGAATAGCACAGAATTTTTTGTTAACACATTAAATAGCAGTCTTGCTTGGACACCCATATTGATTGATTATTTGTTACGTACGATAACAATTACGTTTGTGGTTCTACCTTAATTTTATTGACATGTTATACTCTATTTGTATCACAACACGATTTGCGGACAACGGAAATACCCAATCATAAAAAAATGTCAAGGGGTCATTATTTTATCATCCATAAGATTCTATCACAAATGCTATTGTTTTTTACATTATGTTACATATTCAAGAAAAATGGTTTAAGCTGAACGCTATGAAAAAAAAGAGATTAATGTTATAATTTTAACCTTATGATTTGAAATGTTATAACCTAAATGCACGTTTTATAACATTACTGTTAAGACGGGATATAGAAAGTTTATTGCAAATACGTGCCCGAGGGCTAATTGCAGTTACAAACAGCATAAGACAGAAAATACAATGGTATGTGGGACTATATCTACGTCTAGCATAATACTATATTCTACAACATACATGGTACTAGAAACCCTTTAAACGTAGCCTACACTGACAACATTAGTGACGATGCGACAGGTACTTTTTACAGTTACTATTTGCACCAAAGTAAACTCACGCCCCGAGGTTCAGACGTCAAAGGTAAAGAGGTCAAAGCTACACATCTTGTTCGACAAGTAGTCGTCAGAAGATTGTTACATGTCGTCGCTGGCACTGCAACGAATATACCCATCATTATGGCAGGTAAGGCGTCGTTTATCTGTACAAAGAATATTAAAAGAACATTTCGTGACTGCTGGGCCTTGAACTTTGTATACTGTCAAGCCCAATGCGACTTGCACGAAGTGGTAGTACTCGTTTTAAGAGTATCGTATAGCTAGTAATCTACTGGGTGTGTCTCCATTATAAACATGAGGGCCCTCAGGCGCTTTTATATCATGCGAGGTAGAATCTGACTCTACATGGGTACTGGGGTCACACCCAGTACTTGTCTATCGTGGCCATCTCGGATCCGTTGTCAGTACTGGGAGTGTTGTCCGCCCACCAAGGCCAATAAGCACATGCTGTGGAATTCTGTCGGTCTATACAATTAGAAAGATCGGCTGGACTGTCATTAAATTATGGTTATTAGTATGCAGTCTTGCTAACTCATGCATGGTAAAGCGGGGTCAAGGCTAGTGTAACTCTACAACTTGTCACAGTACTAAACTTTATAGGTTCGGACAACTACCGATCGCTTGGTCGCCTCATGTATAGTGTTCTATCCGTGACCAATCCATTATGTGCTTTATTCATTTCTGAAGTTTACTCCCCCCCCACCACACACATGAAAATGAAAGACAACATTCATCCGTTAACGTTAATTGATAGTTTTGACTTCTGTATCCGTCAGTCAACGGAAATCGTAATACGAGGGCTAATACTGAGAACTAGATCTAGTACTTCTCTACATCAGATCAAGGACCAGATCTTATTGTATCTGTACGTGTAAACCTCGTCTCCAGATGTGGATCTGAAGACTCTGAAGAAAGAAATAGAAGCAAGGAACCAAACGTTCATGGCCCTCTACAAGGCGAAGGACATGAAAGGTCTGGCTACTAAGCTGTATACGGAGGACTGCAAGGTCATGGCGCCTGGCAGTGACACTGAGAACAAACGAGACGGTAAGAATTATGTATGTCAAGTTATGGAGCTAGCTGCACCCTAGAAGAACGGAATAGGTCTCTCTATCCTAGTGTGTGTGTGTGTGTGTGTGTGTGTGTGTGTGTGTGTGTGTGTGTGTGTGTGTGTGTGTGCGCGTGTCTTTTGCGTGCGTGTGTGATTTGATGATCGCTTTAATACATGTACATGTACATGTACGTATGCCCGGAGTGCCATCAAATTAACAAGACGTCTTTTGCTAACGACAGGGGCAGAGAAGGCGTTTATTGGCGCCTGGGCCGGCGGCGTGCGGGCGGTGGAGTTAAAAACAGATGAAGTCGGCCCTATGGGTAGTGACGTCGTCTACGAACGGGGCACCAGTACAATGAAGGCAGAAGACGGCACTGTGGCTGACGAGGGCAAGTAAGTAACATGTTTTATATCCTCGCTGTGTATCTGACCAGTTATTCTTTCATACTGAGTGGATAGAACAACTACACATGAGATGTTATGTAGAGACTTTCTGAAATTGTAGTTATGTTGAAAATTTCGACTTTTCTTCTTGATGTTTCACAGGTACATCGTGATTTGGAAGAAAGTTGATGGAGAATGGTTCATGCACATCGACATCTTTAACTCAAGCCTGCCGATTCATCACCAACAGTCACAAAAAAGGAGCTAGAACATGGTCACGGAAAACATAAAATTGCGAATATCTAATGGGAAATCTTATAGAATAGCACAGAATTGTTTGTCAACGTACCACGTACCGGTCTAGCTTATCAATATTGAGTCATCCATTGCTTCAATAAATGGTGTTATACCATCTAGGTTTACGATTCTGGCTTAGTTGTTATTGACACGGCCCTTTCTAACAACCAGAAATATTATACAGAATTATCCTTGTCTAAGTCTTGCTGAGGCATCAATAATTTTGATTGAGTTTCCGCTACAATAAACTGCGTTACGCCAATTAAGTTTGCAATTGTGGCTTAATTCTTATTGTCATGTCCCATGCCCCACAACAAGGTTTGCAGATAGACAAAAAAGGTGCAAAGCATTCAAACTGCAAATACACGAAGTATATATGTTTTAAGGTAAAACTTTTGATCCAACACAAAGAATTCTCTCACCTAGAGCTTTCGACCAGTCACTCTGGTCCTCCTCAGTAGACTGACCCAGTAAAGCTTGTCACGTGGCGTCTTTTTAGTGTGACGTCAACACTGGGTCAAAGGTATCTGGTAGATATTTGGTATCTGGTTTTAACTTTAAACATGTAACTACCAAACTTTCATGATACGAAGTATGGTTTACTGCGACTGTGGTCTGATTTTCATCGACACAGATTTCAGGGATTGCGTCATGAGCCCCCACAGGACCCCCTGGCTGTGCAGGCAGGAGCCGCCGCAGTTGCCGAGGTACCGGCCGTTCAGGAGCGCTGATCCGCAGGCCCGGAACCACCAGCCTCCCTTCCCGCGGTGCTGGGAGCAGCTCCCCCGCAACACGTCGTTGTCCTTGTCGATGGTGGAGAAGCTCATCCCGTTGTTGATGGTCATGGAGTCCCCGGCGTTACCTTGGTAACCGGACACCTCCAGTCTGTAATTCTGCTCCGCATTGCCAACCCTGCAGAGACCAATCATGAAACTTGTACCAACCTACCTGAAGTTAGCCTTCGATTGGGCATTCGATTCGCAGCCTTCGATTGAGCCTTCGATTCGACTTAGTATGCACTATTTCATAGAAGCCTCGAGACTTCTACGAAATAGTGCATACCAAGTCGATAGAAGTCTCGAGGCGTCTATGAAATAGTGCATACCAAGTCCAATCGAAGGCTGCGAATCGAAGGCCCAATGGAAGGCTAACTTCAGGTTGGTAAACTTGTCGTCAGTAATGGCCCGGTTTTAAAATATGTACAGGACTAAGGAGCATGTCTGGAGATGGTTTGGCGACGCTTGCAAGTACCATGCTAGGTAGAACTAGTACAAAGCAATTTAGCCTCTTGTGCAGGCCTCCGGGCGGGTGGGAGATTTGATACTGCGTTTTGTAGAATTTTGAACGCGTTCTTTTGCCGGTCACCCTACAACCAGCCGCGTCCAGAGGTGTGTACCCGCCACTGACCTTCGAAATTCTCTTGGCGACTGGTTGTAGGATGGCCGGCAAAAGAACGCGTTAAAAATTCTACAAAACGCAGTATCTACCAAAAGGCCTGCAAAGGAGGCTAAAAGCAATTTTTCTTAAGTTTTTTTAAGCTTGGGAATCGCAGAAGCACACACAAACACAGACACAGATATGGTATAATGTATGGAACACTCGGAAGTCTAAGTCTAAGTATCCATACCTGAAGGTGTTGTACTCTGCAAAGCGTTTTTCTCCTCCCCAACTCTCGAGATCGATCCTTAATTTGTAGTTCTGCTGTGTCGTCAGGAAGTGAAGGACGTCGTTCCCGAGCCAGTACTCCCCGTCCTTGTTCCCGAACCCCTGTCTGTACTCCTCCCAGGTCCGGTTGAAGGGAACCGACCCGTCCTGTCGCCGCTGGAACACAGTCCAACCGCCCCCTGTACGATATGGCACAAGAAAAGAAGATACATCTACATACAGAATATTAGCCTGTGTTTGTGGAGAAGACGAATGAGGTTTGGCAACCAAATAGATTTGGACTCCAGGTAAACAGATTCTAGCCGTGTTATTGCAACGTATCGATTGAAAATAAGAAACCTATTCCAAAAATTTTCGAAAATCATGTTGTGTTGCTTGAGTAACTGTTATTTGGCATATCTTATTACCAGGATGTCTAACCTTCACCGACGTATAAAAGCCCCACATTTGTACACGTAAGAAATGGAAATAAAGCCACATCAACATTTTTTGTTTCAACATATAATCACTAGACGTGGTGACGGCACACTCAAGTTTTTTTAACCTATTTTAATGCCGCCACCAACACAGGGGATAAGACAATACTCATTTTTACCTGAGCGAAGTGAGGAAAGTCGTGTAAAGTGCCTTTCCCAAGCGCACAAGTTCGGTGGCATGTCAGGACTCGAACCCGGGACCTCTTGGTTCCGAGTCAAGAACTCTGCCGCTACGTCACACGACCCCACACAGGGGTTGACCCCACATCAACACAAAAATACGCGACCTGACCTGACCTGACGTGTCCATGTCACAGTAGACTTCCATCTGTATGGGGACCGGACTCACGCTGTAAACCCCGCTTACTGTGGTGCCGGACCGGAAAAGGGTTGAACAATCTGTGGAGGAATCGAGTAACAATCTTTCCGACTCTGTAAAATGTTCTTTGCTTTAAGTGACGTCCTTTGTTAAACTGTGTTAGTTTCCTTTGCATTATCTTTGTATTGAACAATTCATTTTCAATTACTATATTAGTTATGATATTCATTCATATGTAGTAGCTTTAATGATAGTTTTTCCGTTCATTCCCAGCTTGCACGATTCTTCCGTTTAGTTTGAGTTAGTTTGAATAGTTTTATCAGGTTGGTAAGTCACTGAGTAAAGAGACTATTTTTACACAACCAAGTCTTTTATTCAGCCGACGTTTCGGTGACCGTCTGTCACCTTCCTCAGGGCAATTCTGACTGAGCTGGTTCACATTGCACTGCAGCACAGGTGTCACTGCTATTGATGCATTCCCAAACGTACAATATTTACATATCTACACATATGCGGGGTTAAAGGGAAATATATCTACAATGCGGTCCCAAACGTACGGGAGTTGGATATACACATAATTGTGGTCAGTTATTAAACAAAAGCAGTTACCTTCTATCTCATACCCTTCCGGGTCCGCGTCGTCAGTCTGTCCCTCCTCCCCATCAGTACTAGTCCTGGTGTCCGCCCTTTCCGCAGACGCCTGCACCAGGGAGTAGATTCCCTCTGTGTTGCGGCGGATCTGTTTGAAGTTTTCCTTTTCCTGGAGCAGCACCTTAGTAAGGCTGGAGTAGACCTTGGGGGGGGGGGGGGACACAGCCGGAAGCGGTAACAGATGAATATATTACCAAAATCCGTCACAAAAAGTACATAGAATATATTACCAAAATCCGTCACAAAAAGTACATACACACGTTTCATATAATGTGACTGACAATGAAATTGTACATTCACGCTAATCATCGAAGCGCAAAAATAGGTGGATCCGGGATTTGGCTCACGTCCGTCAATGGCGCCACTAGAATGTAAGTCGTATAGCGCTTTCTATACTACTGACCTGGACTTGGTCTTTCTGGAATTGTTTCTCTATGGCCTCCAGTCTGTTCTCTGTTCTTGTGAGGCGAGTCGTCAAGTCGTCCACGGCAGTTTTCAGGTCCTGTAAACAGTATGATAGCCGTGCATTAATAGCGTTATCATATATCTAACGTTAACATTAATAATTTTACATGATGCGATGTCATAAAAATGATGTGATTATATTTTCGTGTACTTAAGTGATGATTATGGCTAGCAAGGAGACGTAGACCAATCAGGAGGCTCCGGTTATCTCAAACTCAAAAGTGGTCGGTTATTAGAATGGCCAACCACTTTTTGGACCGCGTGCAATTATACAGGGGAGAATACACTATAAACAGTAGTGTGAAGACTTGTAGTATTTATCTATTTAAAACGTATTGTAGTTTATTTTAAACAATTTATTAAAAAAAACACAATTAAAAAGATATAAATGAAATTTAAATGGACAAATACTAAACTGACGCCATTTCTAAAAGTGTCCAAGCCATGCATTTGTAAAGAATGATTGTCAAGTCTCTAAGACAAACCTGTAAGAAGAAAACGATGTGAGTTAATCTTTATAATATCTTAAAGACATGCCTGTAAGAAGATGACTGCACCCTTCCCTCCCGGGCACGCCTCCGGGTCTGTTCTCGGCACCACCACGGTGTGCGCGCATTGCTCCAGCCCGTCCCGCCAGATGTGAACAGTCCCACCTGAGGTCGCATTACCCCCATCCGCGGCAGAATCACCTTGCGCCACGCACAGGTTGATGCAGAATACAGCAAAAAGTAACGCAGTTGTCTTCATAGTGTTCACTCCTTGACAAGACCGCGGTAAATGTGAGATCTGTCCCACATAGACCCCACATCCGGGAAGCCGGTGTTCTGAAATATATGGTCCGGCTGAAATAATCGGTCCGGGGCGTGGCCTAAAATGTACGAAGGCCCACACGCACATATCTCAATCAAGGCGATCGCGCGATTGTAACGCAGTTCAGTACATGTAACGATAAACAGGGTTCTGTAAAGTAAGCATTAACGTAAGATTGTACAATATCGCACATAACTTAACTTATAAAAACCGTAGCGTAAGCATGAAAGAGACCATTCCTTTGCAACTAGAATGTTAACCCCCTCTGATTTCTAAGCTTACAAAACAGTAAGTCTCTGCAATGACCCTCGAGCTCTTTGGTCCGCTAAAATTAAAACAGTTCTAAAACAATTCTAGATGTGGCAGACTGTTCCCACTTTTCAAAACAAATCAGAACAAGAAATGATTAAATGATTAAGCCTGACATAATTGGTCCGCCCTTCTGTTGCCCTATCTTATAAAACTTCTTCAGAACGCCTGAAATAAACGGTCCGCCCTCCTGAAAATCGCAATGTTGCCTATAATATCTTATGAAACTGCTTGTTCTACTATATCATGGTCGAGGTAAACTTGTCTCGTACAATCAACGTCGTTGTTCTTGACACTGAGCCTTAATCTCTTAGATATTAAGGGCGGACCGATTATTTCAGCCGGACCAATTATTTCAGAACGCCTGAAATAAACGGTCCGCCCTCCTGAAAATCGCAATGTTGGCCTATAATATCTTTGAAACTGCTTGTTCTACTATATCATGGCCGAGGTAAACTTGTCTCGTACAACCAACGTCTTTGTTCTTGACATTGACCCCTAATCTCTTGGATACTAGGGGCGGACCGTTTATTTCAGGCGTTCTGAAATAATTGGTCCGGCTGAAATAAACGGTCCGCCCCTAATATCTAAGAGATTAAGGCTCATTGTCAAGAACAACGACGTTGATTGTACGAGACAAGTTTACCTCGACCATGATATAGTAGAAAAAACAGTTTCATAAGATATTATAGGGCAACATTGCGATTTTCAGGAGGCCGGACCGTTTATTCAGTCGTTCTGAAATAATTGGTCCGGCTGAAATAAACGGTCCGCCCCTAGTATCTAAGAGATTAGGCTCATTGTCAAGAACAACGACGTTGATTGTACGAGACAAGTTTACCTCGACCATGATATTGTAGAAAAAACAGTTTCATAAGATATTATAGGGCAACATTGCGATTTTCAGGAGGGCGGACCGTTTATTTCAGGCGTTCTGAAATAATTGGTCCGGCTGAAATAAACGGTCCGCCCCTAGTATTCAAGAGATTAGGGGTCAATGTCAAGAACAAAGACGTTGATTGCACGAGACATGTTTACCTCGACCATGATATAGTAGAACAAGCAGTTTCATAAGATATTATAGGGCAACATTGCGATTTTCAGGAGGGCGGACCGTTTATTTCAGGCGTTCTGAAATAATTGGTCCGGCTGAAATAAACGGTCCGCCCCTAGTATTCAAGAGATTAGGGGTCAATGTCAAGAACAAAGACGTTGATTGCACGAGACATGTTTACCTCGACCATGATATAGTAGAACAAGCAGTTTCAAAAGATATTATAGGCGTTCTGAAAAATTTACAGATCAAGGAAAGAACAAGTTTAATATAAGACAGATCAGAAACTGTAATACTAATCTTCCCTCTTGAAGTTAGTAAAAGTCAAGCTAATCGTGTGTTGTATAAAAATAACGTGTCGCAGCGTGTAGTGATAAGCTTTTGATCCTGTGGGCCTTCGTACTTTTTGAGCCACGCCCACTTCCTGTTCCCACGCTCCATATATGGTACCCGGACCGATTATTTCAGCCGGACCATATATTTCAGAACACCGGCCCCTCGTCTGTTTCCGTTGACAGGTCAGGCCACACAAGCTGCGTTTGAATGGCATTGTTCTATGGACGCGCAGATTCGTTCGGTGTGACATAGCTAGCTGCCGCCGCGCCGCGTGCCTGCGAAGCTGATCATGATGCGTTACGCCGAAGGGCGGTTATACCGGCTATACTGATACAGATTCGAATATTGTACAGTAAGGCCACAGCAAGTAAATTTTATAGATGACATCCCTCGCAGACTCCAAATCTAATGCGACAGGGCGGAAAAAAAACGACGGGCAAAAATTCTTTTATTTTGAAACTGTTAGGTCATAAGTTTCTGAATAGAACTTCAGAGTTGTGAAACTTGCCATAAATTTTATTTTCGATTTCGTCAACCCATGGTTGATCAACTCAATAAGTGTTCAGAACTTAGCAGTTTACAAGTATGCCATAGAGGTCTTCGTTCTTTGACCTACTAAACTGTGTATATCTCTCAAGCTCAGATAAAACTAAACACGTAACATGTAAGGTAATCATACAGACTGGAGGAACGACAATTCTGGAACCGGAAGGCTTAAAATACAGCAGGCAAACTTCCACTGACGATACAGATATGGACGATACATTTTTTGGCGGTACCACAGGGGCGGAGCCTTTCCATTGATTTCCACACATTCCCTTCTAGTGACATCACTGTTTACATAAATATATTGTACATTGACTTGAACAGTAAATTAACAGAGCAGCTAAATATCCTGTTGTATCTTTAGTTATCTTTGTATGTACATGTTCTTTTCATAGAACAATCATAAAAAGGGGTTGAGTTGCTTTCTGTCTTGTTATCAGAATAATCTATGTTGCAGATATAACAAGAAAAATAGCATTCTTCCCCTTTAACACCATATCACATGAAGAACATTCAAGAAATGGAGAAAAGGGATTTTTTAATACATTTACTTATCTAAACTAAATGCACTACTAATGAAAAGGTGTTCATGTCTCATCATGCATATTCTTACTCAAAAACAATTTAAGGAGGTACTAGTAAATTGCACACATGCAAATATGGCACAATTAACATTTTCAAATATGCCTTATGTAATTAAAACAGGATCTAATACCTAGTATTAAGGGGATAGCATACAATAATAGCCATGTCACTTGCAACCATGTGCATCTGCATGGCTCCATAAGAAGTGGTAGTAGTCTGAAGAAAAAATCTTTAAAAAAATGTTAACTTGGTTTTCTTTTAGCTGAGCTGAACTATGCATGACAGAAATAAGAATAGAATGATGTTGAGAAGTTTTTTTCCAGTATGCTCTATGACAGAAGAAAGTATATTATAAAAGGGTACAGAAACTGTGATCTTTAACTTGATACATCCTGGTTATAATCCAGACCTTTATCATACCTATCATAATACTGTTGTTATTAACAAAACCCTAAGCAACTAAGTACTAATGTATTAGATTATTTTCATACACATCAATTTACAATTCACTTCAATAGGTCACTGTTAGAGGTAATTTTGCATATAAGAAATCTGTCTTTCAAGTTATAGTGGAAATAGAAATGCCGACACCATGTGGCATTCCCCACTACACAATGTCCAATCAATTCTTTGTGAGATTTGAGTCGTTTTTTTTCTTGCTATGTTAAGACTGTGCGCACCTATGGAAAATAAGTATGATACAGCATGGTGACTGAATTTTTCATTTATTTTCGAAGGGATTCAACTTAGCATTAGGAGTGGAAAGGTTTTTGTTTTAATGCAGCCAAAACATTATTGTGCCACAAAAAAAATTACAGTAAATATTTAAAGTGATATCTTAACAATAGTTAATATACTTAAATAATAGTCTTTGGTCAAGAAGACTTGGAATGAGAGACACTAAAACCTGGCTGACCACAGCTACTAGTTTGGACACTGGTTACAACCTCACCAACAGTTGTGCAGAATTTCCCTACCAGCATGTCTGAAACAAGAGTCTATAGTAGCCACAGCAGAATTATCTCCAGCCAAAGATTTTTCCTGTCATCATAGGAAAGTTGTGCTCACCTACTGGGGAGTTTTGACCCATTACTAATCTCAGCATGAACGTTCATCTGTGTTGGTACAAGTCATTGTGAAATAAAGACTGAGCTTTAACTTCCAACACTTAGACTACAGAAATGGGACTTGCCCTAAATTTTCGGTTGACTTCATCAATGTTATTCAGGGAATAGACCGGTCTACTCTTGGAACTGACATCAGAGACACGTAACTGTAGTAGTGGGTCATACGTGTCAGATAACTTGTGTCGCCCCCCGCGTAGACGGGTCCATTATGTGAACAAGATAGATGGAGCCAACCAAAAATTTGGGGTAAGTCCCATTTCTGTAGTCTCAAATGTTGGAAGTTAAAGCTCAGTCTTTAATACTAATCTTGTTTATGTTAGACACCCCAATTTGTAACTGGTAACTTGATCAGGCATGACCCTTGCCAGTTGTTGGCAACAACATCCCCTCAAATATCAGAGATGCAGATGCCAGGGGGAAAACCGTGAGGTACAGTGGGTCGTGTTCAGTCGCTCTTGGAGGTTTTACTCCCTTTGCCTTCCGTCACGTTGATGGGCAGCCAGTCCCCGTCGTCCCACCCCTTCTCCCAGTCCGGACTGGACGGCTCCTCCGGTTCTACCTGGTCGTTCCACATGGCGTCCCAGCTATCCGCAGTTTTACCCTTTGCCTTCGGCGGCGAACGTTTTGACTTCGGAGAGGTTTTCGTGGCCTTGGTGTTGTTCGCGGCCTGCTTGTCGTCCAGCCACTGCCAGGCGTCCGCCGCGCTGTCAGCCTCGCCGTTGTTTGCGGTGGTGGTGGGGTTGGAGTCCCAGCCCCAGTCGGAGTTCCACTCAGGACTGCTAGGGGGCGTTTCTCTGTGCAAGTGGAGAAGTGGTGTGTCTGACTGGTCAGGGTCCATTTTCCTGGGGAGAGAACTCAGGCAGGTTAACTTTCTGTCTACTGAGGTTGACCTTTCACACCCAAACTTGCATTGTACACAGGGTTAAGCAGTATGTCTCTGGGACCCATGGGCAACCAGCTATTTACACATTTTAGGTCACATATAAGCATAATTGTCTAGAGGGATTATTATGTTTACCGAAGGAAAACATATTGTTTTTGCTCAGTTTCTTCTTCTTCTTCCTCTTCTTCTTCTCCAAACAGTGACCTCAATGACCTGAAGTCCTGAACCAATGTTGTGTCTGTTACCATGGTAACTAGTGTTGGGTTACATCATGTTGCATACATCATGTTGCAGACTCCTGTCACCGTAATATGAATGTGTTTGAGTAAGAATTAAAGGAGCAGACCATATGCGAAGGTAAACATTATGCATTTGCCTTGCAAATATTACCTTTCTAGTTTATTTTGGACCTGTAACTAATCCATTTTTCTGGTACAGAACCGGTACTGTATTAACTGGCTATGTGAGACCAACTAGCAGAAAGAAACTCACCTTTGTGCTTCCCTCTTCTGTCGTTCTTGTGGGTCTCCCAGCAGAGTTGTGCCTTCAGATGGTCCCCCGTCATCAGCCATGTGGGGCTGGTCTGTGAACATGGACTGTAGGTCCTTCCAGCCTTTCTGACTCACTGTAGACACCTGTAACACAAGGTACCTAGTCTTCATTGGGTCTCAGTTCACATACATGAAGAATGGCCCGTTCTGGCTAAGGCCTAGGAAAAAATATGTTGCGTTTCCTGTTTCGGTCCTGAAAAAATTAGGGTCGGTAGGAAGGGATTATTATTTTTTCCTTACTAGTATCTTTTTTTTTTTAAGACTTTAGTGATATCTATATAGGGGTCCAGCTTCTACAATACAGTTAACAAAGTAAAACTTAAATGAGGACAATTTTATTTTATTTTCAATGTCAATGTTAGAAAACCAACATTGTATGACATTTTATCACTCAGGTGTAAGATCATGGAGCTAGAAAAGGTTGATCAGCTCAAAAAATGTCCCTTGCAGGGGTCCACCCCCCAAAAAAGTCTAGGGTTGGCAGTTTTTCTAGGGTCAGTCGGGAAATGGGAAACACAACATTTTTTTTCCTAGGCCTAAGCAGCGCAGTGGTGTAGTGGTTAGCAGTCCTGCTTCTGCAACACATCTTCACCCTTTTTGAGGACAGACACACCTTGAGCATGTTAAAGAACCCACTACACAAGAGTAGGAGTATGCCCTGAATAAAGCAGTAAGTACTCTGACCAACTCACCATCTCTTAACCCATGAAGCAGTATAAGGTGTATGTGATACGACAAAGAAACACAAATTTTATCATTACATTATGCTGGATTAGCCTACTGTTAAATTGAGTGCACAACAAAAAGTTCTACAAGCTTACTCTACTGTGTCAGTGGTTTAAAAAGAACTCATACAAAACAAAACAAAAACTGTGTGTGGTGTACCTTAGTTGCTAACTGTGTGACTGAGGAGCCCATATCACCCAGCAATCTCCCTTCTCTTGCCTGAAATCATAAGACATGTTTGGTACAACACCTACCGTTATGTAGACCAGACATAAACACGTATGTGGAGAGGAGCATGCGTGTGTTCATGTGCACACACATACTCCTAAATCCAGTGAACGTAACACAAACAAATGGAAAGAAACAAAGAAATGGAAACACAACAAAAGTGATGATACAAAAGAAATCACAAACAAAATAAAGATGCCTCAGCCTTCTGTCTGGGGTACCTTTTCCTCAGCGGTTTTCCAAGACTCTTGTACAGTTGAGCCAAGTTTGACCGCCTGTGGAGCAGTAACAGTTCTGAACTGATGCACGGCATTTCTAACTTTAGTGCGACCCAGTGATCATTTACTTGTCTTTTAAAAATTCACTTGTATGTAATTGTGATTGTAAATTCTGCGTTGTGTAGTTTTAACACAAGTATACAATTCAGCGCCCTTGGTGGTACTGCCATGTACTTTTCATGATGAATCAATAAACAAATGTTAATTATTATTATGAATATGAATGCCTCAAAAATATTAAGTCAATTTTTTTAATAAAGACAAATCTTCTTGGAGAAATAGAGGAGTCCAGGCAAGCAGCCCAACAATAAGATGATGACAATTTACAAGAATAAAATTAAATAATGACAGGACAATGTTAGGAAGAAACAGAGTAAAGAAAAATACAAGGGACATTTGACTGTTCATCATTACCTTTTCACTGGCTGTGGCACTTAACTTCACCGCCTGGTGAGGTGACAAAATCAGAATCAAACAAAAGAAAAACTTAATGATGTACATGACCATGCAATTACAATAAAATGTGACAAAAACGACAAAAAAATTTACAGAAAAGTATGATTCAATAAACAGTGGTGTGTTGGCATTCAACTGATTATAACATAAGTATTGTCTGCCATGTCTGTGACATCAGAAGTTCTGATCTAAAAGGTTGAAGGAGACTGACTGTACTAGTACATGTACTTACGCTTTCTTTCGCTTGTTCTGCTAGTTTGCCAGCATTTAGGGAGATTGAGCTCCAGGTCTGTAAAAAAAGAGAGGAACACACACTATCAAACTGTGCCTTACCCTGTGCATACCACGTACATGTATGGTACTACTACAGGATTTGTTGACATTTAAACAGGCTTGAATCCAAAACACTGACATCCTGATGACTAAAATTAGATATTCATGAAGTCTACACACACGTAATGCTTGTTGCCAACATACTTTGCTGACTTTTAGACTTATATTTTAGTTTTGATGTCAGCTTTTAAAAGATACCATTTTTATCTTACCCTTTTGTTAGGGTATACCGACTTAATTTCATAGATGACATCCGCATGCGCATTGATTTTCACACACAAAAAATCACCTCATCTTCATTCTTCTGAAAAACATGTGTAAGCCGGCTTAATGCAGGCACCGTGGAGGACGCTGATCTGGGTACCGTCCTCTGTAGTCTATGGTAGCTAGCGACAATAGGGAGCCGGTGGTAACTACGGAGGACGGCACCCAGGCTACCGAAGCTCCATGAACCTTGAGAACTCAGTACAGTGCCGACTCATAAATGCCTCAAAAGGCCAGCATGTGCCAGCTTGTCATAAAAGTTGATATGTACTACTGCAATTTACAAGACCAGCTTTGGTTTAGCTGCATTTTTGTCATCCATAAAATTAAGTCAGTGTGGAATAATAAACTACACATTTTTTGGTTATAACTGAATAAGAACATACTGATGTGAGTGAAGAAAGAGCTCCTGCCCATGCATCGGAGTCACTGCTGGACTTCGTGACTGGGTGGGAACCAAAACCAACATAGCGGCCGCCTTGACTGGGGGGCAAATCCCTGAAAAAAGCCCAAGATAGGATGGATGGATGCATAAATGAATGAATACATGTGGTAATCAATTTTTCGAGTTAATCGACCTTTTCTAACTCCATGATCTGACACCTGAGTGATGAAACTTTGTACAATCAGTTTTCCAACATTTTTTCCAAGGCCTTAGAAGAGAAGCTTACATCTGACTAGAAATTTGCAGTCGCCCCCTCCCCCTCAGATTGTTTTCCAGGACCTGATGATATCCCAGTGCAGCATTATCTTTTTAACCAGCAAATGGTCTCAAAATTACTCACTCTGGTCTATTCATATTCTCCAGCTGTTTCCTACGGAAGAAATCTTCTTTTCTGGAAGAGATTTCATCCCTGTGTAAAAACAGAATGATGATTAGACTTGTACAATAATGATTAGGGTAAAATGAGGAAGAACATCAATGAGACCTGAGAAGAACTTCAATATGAGCAGGCGGTAAGCGGCAGAAATACATTTTCTCAGTATTCTACAACATTGCAGAGTGTCAAAATATTGTTCTGCGATTCGGAAATACTTTCTGCAAAGTACACATTTACAAGTTTGGACGTATACAAAATGGCATGTTGAAAAACATTTTACGTGCAATTTAAAAAAAAAGTAAAAACCATTAACCGATTTTTTCCAAGCCTGATTTTTTCAGTTAGCTTAATTTTTTTTCCTACAATATTGAAAATGTCTCTGCAATATGCAGACTGCAGATGGATATTTCTAACACTGGACCTTAAGATTTACTCACATGGAAACACTTGAGAACTGCCCACCAGACTGGTAGGACGATGAACTATTACTTGTATTAGAACCAGCAGAACCTGCAGAGTAACAAAGATTAAACAGAACACTCAAAACTTTAACTCTTCCATGCTGGGACTACAATCAGAATATCCATACTGATGTCTGTCATTACTAGTGCTGTATACCTAACCCCACATCTAGGTTCAGTTTTGGATTCAAGGCCAGAGGTTTACGTCTAGGTCCGGACTTGTAAGTCTGGACAACATTTGAATTAATCAAAACAACATTTGAATCCATCTTACAACCCAGGTAAAGAAATTTCCTACCAAAGTTTTGTGTGTTTGATGTCTGTGTCCTCCTGGTTGGCTGGTAGGGGACATAGTTTTTGGCTGAGGAGGTTTGTTCAGACCAGGTTTTCCCTTCTGCCTCTGTGGAAATCTGCAAACAGATAAAACATAATTTACAAACATTTCAATAGCCAGAAGCCCTTCGCCCGTAGACCTAAATTACCGCTGTGGTGGAGTTGAGCCAGCCAAACTCCCCCGTAGCGGTAATTTAGACCAACGGGCAAAGGGCTCTTGCGGCCCGGAAAAAGGAGTTTGGCTTCAAGGGTAGACCTAACCAAGTACAAGTAAGTACAAATGTACAAGAAACAATTTTTCCCATGCCGTACCTTATCTCTGTACAAGGCTGCAGCTTTACTGTTGTACTTTTCAGAAAGACTCCAGTTGGGGTCGTAGTCAGACTGAGACTTGAAGAACTCCCTGGCCGAGTTGTTCCCTCCAACCTTCATCTTCTCAAGTTCAGCGTCTTTCCACTTGTCCATCGTTACCGAGCGAACAAAACTGCCATGGAAACAACAACAAGGTGTTTGTTTAGGATACAGGAGTTTTCTTTTACACTTGTAACCAAGATTTCTGACCTAAGTGCTGATGTGCTAAGTGCTGGTGTCTATCAGACACCTTCCTCAGAGCTTCTGACTGGAGTACTGCATCTCACTGTTATTTGTAGCCGATGTGGGTGCGACTTTTGCGGCAAGAACACAATCCCAAATAAGGTTTATCACTGGGGTCGACTTCCTTATCCAGACATATATTGGTGAGTAGCAGAACTCCAGTCATATCAGAAGCTCTGAGGAAGGTGTCTGATAGACAACAAAACGTCAGCAAGGTTAACTATCTTGGTTGTATAAAAGAAAACCCATAAATTCTATACTTCACTAATTATTATAACCTGATGAAACTATTTTTGGAATGTATTTGTTTATTTATTTATCCATGAATGCTTTTCATTGAGGAGGCTAGGATCTAACAAAGACAGATTAATCATATGGTTTATATTTATGAAGAGTTATCATAAAGACTTCATATACAACATGTTCACACATGTAGAAAATGGCAAATTCATTATGTAAAAAAGTAGGTGGTTTGACTAAATACTGAAAAAGAAAATACTACTAAGAAATTGCATCATGTATGTATCCTCTTGGAGAGTACACGTAGTGTGTTTTGATGTGTACTAGTATTTCATTATCAACATGTTGTTACTTTATTTAGTTTGTCTCTCACTCTTAGTTTGACCCAAATCAGGTACACTTACACTGAAGTTAAAGTGGAAAGATTGAATAGAAAATAGATACGGAATCTATAAGTATAAAATAACATACCTTAAGTGCACTCCCAATCCTCTGTGCTTGCCGGAACACTCTAGACAGATCCAGATGCCATAGGACACACTCACCCACTGCGGGTTGTGGGTTCCACATTCAAAACAGTTCTGGAATAGAAAGTAACAAGGAAAACTGTAGCACATGTATCAGATACTTTTCTTTGAAACTTTTGAAAATTTTATTTCAAATACCACATAGCAGACTAAAGTCTGAATTGCGTCAGTATATACAAACCTTTGTGCTCGTTTTGTAATAAACAAAATATGGGTATTTACAGTTTAAAATTCTCCTCAACAGTAAATTCTTAATTTTTATATACAACACATTGACATATCTTAATGATTAAAAATTAATTACCTACTAAAACTCGTAGCTTAAGGTAGATTGATAAAAAGATTAGTGCAGGGTAAACATCAGATATGAAGATTCAAAATGCAGAAATGTCAAATATTACAACTTGCCAGGAATTTCCCCATCCCTAGATAATAGATTCCATTCCAATGTCACAACAAAGTCATGCTTACGTCAAGCAAGGCTGGTGTGCCTTAAGTTTTAGATTAGGTACACCAGCGCATCTATTCCTCATAATGAAATTCGAGCCCTACTATGGAATTATTTGACCTAATTTTGTTCTTTTAATATTAGACACGTCAATCAAAATGGTAGGATGGTCATCATGTCTGTCCTTCAGTTATCAGTAGCAACAACATGCCAACTATAGCTATATTACAACTAGAGGCACTGGGGAACACCCAAGGTGACCCTACTGATCATTATATGTGGGAATATGTTCGACAGAAAGTCAAAAGGATGAGGGTAGGACGTAGGAGAGATTTTTTATTAGAAACAAAGAAAGTCATCATCAGATGATCATTTTATGTAGGAATACACATACTACACAGATCTGAGTTATTTTTTTAATGCTCTAAGATTAACCATTGTCACTTACATTATTTCCTGATTTTGGACGTAAGTCCTTCAGAACTCTGCGTGTCCGAGGGCTGGCCATCCTGTGTAGAGCTGAGCTATCTGTGGAGAACTGGAAATACAACCATGTACGTCTAACAGTCAGTGCCATGAGAATGTGAAAAATATCTTTATAGATGCCATGTTCTGCAATTCTGGGAGGTATTACGTCACCCAACATCTGCTTGAAAATAAAATCTCATGATGTCCCATTTTCACTGCACGTAAGGAGGTTTAAAATCAAGCACTTTACAAAACTATCAATCTAGTAAACTATCAATCTAGCTTGAGTCCTATGCGTTGCATGGGTACAAATATACAGGTAACGTAGCGGTGGGATTAGCGATAAACTTTGCTGTTTGACAGCGTTTAAAGTTCCACGTAGCACCAAGCCGGTATGGGGGAGGGGGGCACAAGCACAGGTTTCACCGATTCAGCAGGCAAAAACCTTTACTTACCTGGACCAGCTGAGATGGGAACGGTAGTTCGTCACGATCTTATACTGAACAGGAGGAATACAAGATCTAATTCACGACAAGGACAGAAATACTTGAAATCAGGGTAAGTCCACACGTCAAGATTAGTCGCTAGATTTTGACACACCGGCCCGGAAGTGGGGCTACCCTGCTCTGACTGAGCCTCCTGCTCTTGATGTGGAAACTCCGCGGAGTCGGATTTTTCAGGCAGAACAGCGACATCTAGCGAAATATTTAAAAACTCTCATCTCCGCGGAGTTTTTCCCTCCACGTCTACCGAGATGAAAATAAAGCTTTGACTTTGCAAATCTGTTTTTTTGTTGTTGTTTTTTTTCGGAGAGGATGGTTGCTTCTTTTCTATAACTTCCACTGAACAGCTTTTCTTTCAAGACTATCAAGACTATGCATACCAAATGTTGTAACACACACCAAATATGGTCATATACAGTTTCCAGCACATTTTGCTCAAGCCCCAAAGTCCCAAATTATACAATTTAAAGGAGTCTGTGCCAAAAGTGTGAATTTCTGTTGGTATATACCTTCTGTTGGTATATACCTTCTGTTGGTATATACCTTCTGTTGGTATATACCTTCTGTTGGTATATACCTTCTGTTGGTATATACCTTCTGTTGGTATATACCTTCTGTTGGTATATACCTTCTGTTGGTATATACAAACATACCAATTTTCATTCAAAATGAAGAATTTGAATCAACTTGACAGAAGATGGCGAAGAAGAAGAAGAAGGTGAAGAAACTTGACGAAAAACAATATATTTCATCCATACTATAGTGGGGAGTGAAATCAGACTGTTAAAAAAATAAATTACTTCATGAGCTACATTGTACGCTACGAAATACTTTTTGTTTGTTTATTTATTTATTTATTCGCATATAATCAAAGAGAACAACAATAAAATGAACATATTACAGTAAAATAGGGTATGCAGGGGAAAGATAAAAAGCCATAATGGCTTATCCGTGATCTTCCCCCGACTAAATTAATTGACAACTGTAATAATGGTAACAAATCAAATGATAATAATAAATACTAATTTCTAACTTTTGTAATTAGAACATAGATGATTTAAGATAAAGTTGGAGGTCATATTTAAAACCTCCATGCAACCGAAATAAAGTCGCAGCTCAAATTAGACATAGACCATATTGTCACATAATGTGGATATGGGGAAATTACCATCATTAGGTCAATCCCTTCGGATCCTATCGGCGCCAGTGTTTGATAGGACGGACATCAGCAAGGGAAATTAGCCGAGAGATGGAAAAATACTTAGCACGGGTCGACATGCGTCTGTTCTTGTGTTCCTGTTGTGTTCGGAAAGTAATGCATTAGTCAGGGGAAATCGGAGACTTGTTGACGTCTTGGTAACCATTATTCACCAGTTTCCCATTCCCATGAGGCATTGCTCCTGGGTGGGTGCGGGGGGGTATCTGTTGTATAGCACAGAAAGGACTTTAGGTGAATTTCTTCTTTACTTGAGTTTTCCCAACTACAAATCATGTAAATGGTTTATTCGCAAATTCGCACAAAACTAAGACAACATTGCAGCCTGATAGTACGCAGTTTCAGGGAATGCACAATTGTACAAAATATCATCAATATTTACAAAGATAACCAAACTGAATAACAATAATATATACGAACAGTCATAACCTTCCCCCGAACACCAACCAAAGGTTTGCTGCCGTTCGGGAGCAGTCTGACTAAGCCACGCCTACCTTTCTGTATGAGTTCAATTTGTGAGTCAAATTTGAGTCAAATTGATCACCGAACACCACTGACCTACTCCAGCCAACCAACCATGGCCGAACCTCTCGTCCACACCAAATATTCTAAACATTTTGAAACATTCGGGTGGCTCAGCCGAACAGTAGCCGACCTTGCCGAACACCAGCCAACCACCGTGAGCCGACCTTGCTTCCAACCTACTCCCAACCATAGTTGTGGGAAAGCTCGGCATTGGTTGGGAGGTCATCTTCAGCTATGTGTGACAGGGGCTTTAACCTCCTTCTTACATTCTCTTAACGGATTGGTCGAGATTGTGTTTTTGTAAACCGTGCAGCTAATGTCCGTTAGAACAGCACAGATGGCTTTCTTCAAACCCCCTGAGACTGATAATACATTGTCTGTCGTGTAGAAGAAGGTATGACCTGTGGTGTACTATGTGGGCCTTACATTAACTTTTTACCCTCATTTACTTAAAAGCTGTACGGGTGTGGTGCTTTCCCTGATCTCAGTTTGATAACGTCCGTTCTGGGAATGTTCCTGTGTTCAGCAGTCCCTCAAAGGCGATAAAAACGCAATCGGCCCCAAGGCGCCTCAGACAAATGACACCTGTCACTTAAAGTGGGGTCGTGTGGCGTAGCGGTAGGAACCAAGAGGTCCCGGGTTCGAACCCCACCTTGTCACCGATCTTTTGCCCTTGGGAAAGTCACTTAACACGACTTTCCTCACTTCACTCAGGTAAAAATGAGTGACCGTGAGCATTAAAACTTGTAGATGTGGCGTGGCCTGTTGCTGACTAGTGCCATGTTTCAAAGACAATTTCACGCTTTCAAAGACAATTTCTGCGCGGCAAAATAAAAATATTGTGGATGATATTGGCATTTTCTCCCAAACTTCAGTCAACCTAGGTTGGTTGGTGGTCTGAGGAAGGTTCTGAATGTGTGACAGGGACTTTACCGACATATATAGGACGGATGGAACGTTGAGATGTAGCTTGTAGGTTAGGTAAGTTCACACAACGTTCAGTCAGCACGTAAACATCTCTGTAGGCGAGTTTTACATTGTCAGTCACTGATCCAGCACTGCGCGATGCCGACTTTATTCACAAACAGGATCATAAGATGTTTAGTGCCGTAAATTTATCTCCAGCGGAGGCCAATGAAGCAGCGCGGAACTGGCTGGAGTGGATTGGCGACAAGCTATGATGGTGATGATCATCTTTCGTGTCTCTAACATTGTATTATTATACGGTATACGTTGATGAAGGTTAGACATCCAGGTACCAATAGGAAATTAAAAAAGCGTTACACATATGAAACGTCCGGAAATTATCTCCGTAATTTATCCAGTAGTAGAGTTTGAATATCCTATGATAGTATGAGCATTTTACAGTTATGTATCCGTGTGTGCAGGTAGAGAAAGGGCGTTGTTACATCGAGCGAGGCGTAAGCCGACTTAACTGTGCCACATATAACCTTACAAACACAAAGATCATTTGGTAAAAGATTTATGCATTTTTGGTTTGACATGTTTTCAGAAGTACCACCCTAAACTTTTACTGTCGGGTGCTAAAAGTCGTCCTACTCTGACATGTTTTGTACACACGATGACTCAGATCTAGTCTAATTTGCTTCTCCGGTTATAAATTTAGAGCTATAATGGGCTTTCTCGGAGGAAATCCGCCTTGTGTCCGTCGTCGGAGGTAATTTGATTCCGTTGCTGTTCCCGGGGACTCTCTATTTCATAAATTGGCCACGCCTCCGCGAAGTTAATCCACCTGAGCTTTGCCAGTCGCCCTACTTAAAGAATTGCCAGACGTTGGGAGCGTTTAATGCCATTATCTGGCTTACAGTACTCCGAGAAAGGCGGCGACGGCTCGAGTCTTCTGCCCACAGGCACCCTACAGAATCTCCACAACTCTCACCAGGGAAGGACCAGTCAGTCATCAGGTTTGTTGTTCTGTTCTTTTCCCTTCTGTTTGCTGTCTCTGCGTACAGCACCTGTCACACATCAAACCGTATATGGCCTCCTTAACTCCCCTCAATAACCAGTGCATTGGCCAAGTGTGTAGAGTGTGTTCGCCTTGAATTTGGTAGGTCGTGAGTTCGATCCCCGGCCGAGTCCTACCAAAGACTTTAAAAATGGTACATACTGCTTTCTCTGCTTAGCACTCAGCATTTGGGAAAGAGTATGGGAGTAAAACGCACACCACTACCAGTGTACTAGCCCCCTGCTGTAGTGATTGACGTGTGTGGCCCAGGGCAAATGAACGAAGATGGGCGCCGCCCTATGCGTCACTGACGCGGGAAGGCTCTCTCTTTAACCCCCCCCCCCCCAACCATGGTTAGGAGTAAGTCGCGGGAGCAAGATCGGTTGGAGTTCGGCTATAGGTCGGCTACTGTTCTGCTGCGCCAGCTGAATGACTCAAAATGTTTTAAAGATTCGGGTGAAGACGGCAGGTTCGACCATGTTTGGCTGGTGCTCGGGAGTGGGTGGCAGTCAAAGGTTGCCTGGCGTTAAAGTTACGGTTTCTGAAATAAACTGTGTGTGTCCCCGCCTCGGCCAGCCTACTATAAATGCTACATTTACAGGTGGCCTGGCTTACGGTTTGACTCCTAAAATAAACAGCCAGTGTTGATGACAACCTGAAATATGGATGGGCAAACGGGCTTCTAGCACTAGGCAACCTGGAAAGAAATATTTCGAACACAAAAAAAATTCGGAAAAAAAAAAACATATTTGACTGGCGCAGCCGAACAGTAGCCGACCTGGCCAAACACCAGCCAACCCACCCGACCTACTCCTAACCATGGTTGTGGGGCGTTCGGCTAGTGTTCGGGAGGCCATATTCGTAAATGTGTGACGTTAGGTTCTTACTTATTCATTTTTTAGGACGCCTTGATGTTGCACAGTCCACAAGATTTGTTTTTCATTTTCATTATTCCACAGAGGAAGCCTTTAAAACATCATCAACCAACTGATGGCTTAGATACACCTACACTGTATACCGTGCACAAGTACATCTAACCGTACTTTATCTGACCAAATCACCAATGGACGTACGTAGGTGTCGGCGCCTACAGAGAGCAGACCACGATTTTGTAAAGCACACTACAGACTGCTCTTGAAACAAAAGGAAAAGACAGCTGCCAATTTTTGCCTGTAAATTGTCAACTTGACGATCGAAAGCGCACAAGCTGTTGCCGATAAAAGATACTGAAATCTATTCTTGTAAAAGCAACATGGAGTCTGCTACGCTAGATCTTCTAAACGAATGGATGAAGGCCCATAATTTCACCAACAAGTCAGCGATAACGGAGAGAATTATAGTCCACAGAATGATGGAGTACGATTTGTTCTCCACGCCGACTCTGGTGGCGGTAACGGCTGTGTGCAGCTTACTGTTTCTGGTAGGAGTGCCAGGTAACTTGTGCACGGTGTTAGTGATTGCTAGAAGCACGGAGATGCGGACCACCACCAACTACTACCTGGCCAGTCTTGCCTGCGCGGACCTGCTGACTTTCTTCATCCTGCCGTTGGAGTTGTACCGGCTGTGGTGTTACTGGGACTGGGAGCTGGGAGACGCGGTGTGCCGGGGGATGTACTTCCTGCGGGAGACCTTCACCGCCGCCTCCATCCTGCACATCAGCGGCTTCACGGTGGAGCGGTACATCGCCATTTGTCACCCTCTCCAGGCCAAGCGGCTGCTGCGGCGCGGGCGGGTGAAGGTGCTGATCGCTGCCGCCTGGGTTCTCGCCGTCGTCCCCGCCAGTCCGGCCCTGCTCATCTTCGGGGTAACTCGGATCCAAACGCCGCGGGGGTTCGTCATACCAGGTGCGTCACGTTTCTTTTATTATCATTGTTGTAATTTCTCTCTAGTGCATTGTACTTTGTAGCCTGGAATCCATCCTTGAACGCTTTATCTCCGCTCCGTTCCTCCGCTCTGCAGAGATAAAGCGATCACGGATGGATTCCAGGCTATGTACTTTGTACATCCGTGCATTTATCCCCCGGGGAATGAACATACAATAAAGTTTCATTATCTTTACACAAGGAAAACATATTGTTTTTGCTCTCTTTCCTCTTCTTCTTCTCCAAACCAATAAGGTCAAGCACGTTATACAAGAACCGTTCTGATAGAACGTCCTTGATAATGTCAATGATCTGAACCAGACGCCTGTCACCATAGTAACTAGTGTTGGGTTACATCATGTTACATCATGTTGCAATTTTATAGCAGGAGGGATTTAGACTGCTGCCATCATATATATGAATGTGTTTGAATAGGAATTAGCAGCTAGTGCAGGTAAACATTATGTATTTGCTTGTAAATGTTACCTTAAGTTTCTAGTTCTACTCAATTCCACTTTACTTCTCGTTAAAGGCAACCTATTCAATTTCAGAGCTGCATAACAGAAGATATTCTGGATGAAGAAATTTGTCTCTTACTGCCACTTTTTTGGGCACATTTACGTCTTTTTGTCATAAACTTCACTCTACCTTAACAGCTGTAAAAGAAATGTCGTTGGTATTTCAGAGATAAAAAGTGTCGTGTAGAGATGTGTAGAATCATACATGTGTAATTTTTACCATAACCAGAAGAGTTTCAGAATATTTTTTATCAAATGGCCCTCGTACCCCTTACTAATTTTATTTTCTTATTAGATATTGACCAAAATGCCGGCGATTGCCTATACCCCACACAGGAATGCAGGAGTGCGGGGTGGTGAATAAGGAGCTAGGTTCTGTCATGTCATTGGTGTCCACAAGCTTCTTCTTCGTTCCCATGATCCTCCTGAGTCTGTTGTACGGACTGATGGCCTGGGCTCTGACGGACCGAGGGCACAGCCGCTTCTACCGAGGGTCGACCGAGCAGACCGAGGGATCCAGGCGGCAGGATAACAACCGGAGAAAGGTCATCAGAATGTTGGGTAGGTCATCCGTAAAATTTACTTGTTTTAGCCTAAGCATCTGAAAAGTTGTTACGGTAGCTCCTTGCGGCCGCAGCATATCTTTGTCCTACAGAGTATTTTAGACTACTCAGAGGTACCTGAAACATTACGCTATCTCCTACATACTAGCTTCATTGATATTTTGACAAATGCAGTCTATGTGGAGGTGGGCATAATAAAATAGCTTTATGGAAATAAGGTTATCTTTTCCGTTATTGATAAAATAATATTTCTATAAAGTTGTGTTAGTACATGACGCATGTTCTCCCTTCCAGCGGTGATTGTACTGACGTTTGTGATACTGTGGCTGCCCCACCACGTGTCACGAGTGACGTTCAACCACGTGCGCACCTGGACGACGCAGCTGTACCAGGTGCACAACATCGTGACGCTGCTGTCCTTCGTGCTGTTCTACCTCAGCTCAGCTGTCAACCCCATCATCTACAACATGATGTCACAGCGCTTCCGGTATGCGCTCAAGCACTTCCTGTGCGGGAGAGACTGGCTGCGCGGCGCCCAGCTCAGCTCCAAGTCGTCTTTCCGAACGAGATTGTCGGCAATCTCCAGGGGACAGAGCGGTAGTGATGGGGGTGGGGAGGAGGAGAAGGCTAGGGACGAACCACAAATGATTGCTATGGTGGAGATAATCGGGGATAATGCAGACCAATGCGATTTGTAATTGTTACACCTTGAACGTTGAACTTTAACTTTATTTGCTTTTGGCCTCAAATGGGCTATGGCAAGAGGAATTAAGGCAAAAGCAGTTCATGGCACCCCCTCCAAACAATGGGTAGCAGTATATCCCAGGCTCCAGAGAATCAGTGAAACATGTAAGACGATCTCTCACTAACCTTTTCGCCCTATGGATTCCTATAGTTAAGGACCCTAAGGACTTCGACGCGGTAAATATTTTAGAAGGGTTCATTTTACAAATACGGAAAAGAATATGTTTAAATTGATCGTAATATGCTTTAAATTGAATCCGCACCTTAGGCGTCGCCAAAAATTGTCGAATCGCCGAGGCTTGGCTTTGTAAAAGAATAGCTGTGCATTGTGTGTGTGTGTGTGTGTGTGTGTGTGTCTGTGTGTCTTTCTCCGTGTGCCTCTGTGTGTACATATGTACATATAATATTGTAAAACCCGTATGGTTAGATGTAGAAAGATATCAAATATGGAAGTAGAATTATCATTATCAGTACATGACGTTGTACTTTGTTACAAACTTCATATGAATTTTGTTATATTATTGATATCTATACTCTTATGGGAAGTACACGGATTGTAAATATAAGAATGGTACTTAAAATGCAGACTCTGTAATATTGTTTGAAAATGAATGTATTCTATCTTAGTAGTTTAATGTTATAATGTTGTATCATTGTGTGTATTATGAGTACCTTTTTAATGTAAATTTTCATTGGTGAATAAAGGCCACATTCTACTTCCTTTTTATAATAAAACTATTTCTCTTCACACATCTTTCAACACCTTTAACAGATTTTTCGTCAAATCTTGTGACCATTGCAGTATGATGATTTTAATGCAAAGAAAATGTTTAATGCATTGATATTTCCATATTTCATGGAGGTAATAAAAGCAACATGTGGGTGTGAAAATGAACCTAGTTCATCATACTTGCATAGTCTACCAGCTCCCACATCTACACCCACATCTACAGACAAAAAAATTGGGCAAGTCCACTTCAATTCCACACTGCTGGCAGCTTGGGGAATTCTACATTCATATTTTTACTTGATTTTCATAACGAAACCACTTCTCTACACACGTTACATCTAACATATTTAACAGATGTTTCGTCAAATCTTGTGACCATTGCAGTTTGATGATTTTTTTAGGGAATAAGGTGATATTTTAAAACTGTATTAGACATGACTCCTTTGTGTGAGCATAACGTCAAGGAGATATGTTTATTCAATTTCTATATCATCTCCTTGCCTGAAGTCTCAAATCTCGAGTGCACTCTTCCAGACAGGGTTTAGATTTTGGCGTTTTACTGACATGTGTACAGGCGATTTTATAGGTTTTTTTGTAGTGGTATCTTTTTCGACAGCCAAACTTAAGGGTAGTGTATTGGATACTGCCCGTCCAAATTGATACGGTTTTATAGTCACCAAAATATCTGCTTGTAGATCATCTCCATTCTGCCAGCAAGGTTGGTCCCACCCTACACCTGCAGACAAGCCGCTCATAGAAAACTCGTCGTAAGTACCAAATTCTTCCTCTTCACATCTTCATACTACGCACAGATCACTCGGACTAGGGAAATATGTAGTGTTTCCGGTTTTCCGACCGACCCTTGGAAAAATCCCTCAACCTTGGCCTTTTTTGTCGGTTGACCGATGACAAGACAATTACATATTTTCGATCTGACGTCTAAATCCCTCTGAAATGTTACTCCTCGCATTTTCAGATGCAAAACATCATTTAGTTAATCTGTTAAAGAATATTCTACCTTTCCCACATGCAAACAGAGGAACGGGTCCTGTAAACAACCCCAACCCTTATAATGGTTGCCAGACTTACATTGTTAAACTGTATTTGTTAGGTCACTTAAGCTGAAATCTAAAAAAGAGAGGGAAGCAAAAAAAAGACAGGGAAAAGAGAATACCTTCTTAACGACTATCTTACTTCGTGAATGACATTTTTTCTGGTGCTAAGGATACTCTTCGGTGTTCTTTATATCAGATGTGTAGTAGAGATTATATTTTCTATGACGATCTCGAGGTGCAGTTGAAAATTTGGTTGGCATGTTGTATGTACGTTCGTTTTCTCTTGCATGGACGAAACACAGACTTTTATCTGTTGGAGAGAAAGTCTTTTAAAAATTATAGACCTGCATGTTGACGGGATGGCATTCCGAAATATGCGAATAAGACCTCAAATGAGACGTTTTGCCGAAGTGCTATGCACAATACATTGTGGGGTTTGCGCATGCGCAGTGCGTTTTACAGAAGTGCTGGTTTGATATGCATTGTCTGGTATGAGAAGATGACACGTGGGCTGCTTCATCTACATTGAAATTGATTGACTTTGTCTGCCAATGACGTTACCTTACGCAAGTGTCTTTTGAGTGGGCCGTACAGTGTACATAGCCATATAGGAGTCAGGAGAAATATTGTTAAATATCCGGAGCTCCAATAATCAAATCATTTCTTGTATTAGGCAAAGGTGTTCAAGTAATCATCATCGCAGCATGTCAGAAAACGATATCAAAATGCACGCCAGGAACCCAAATCCGATGTGCAAAAATGAAAGTATGAACCCTGATTCGATGGACGCCAAAGACCACGTGAATCCAGTGTACCTGCAAAGCACCATAGGACCAGATGTCAGCCCTGGACCAACCGGGGATCCAAAACCTATGTACACACATAACACCATGAACCCTTATCCGATTGACACAAAAAACGACGTTAATCCCAATCCGATGTACCTGCAAGCCCCCGTGGAACCTCCCAACGCCAGCCCTGAGTCCATCATCAGGTCAGATGAGAATGAGGACATTCCCTGTACCCAGGCATCAGCCGATGCACATCAGCAAGGTGATGGAGCGAACGAAGGGGACGATCATTCAAGACCGTTCTCGCAGAATCAACCAACAGCGGCCTCAAACAACATTATTGATGCACATCATCAGCAGGCAGCCGCAACAACCAATATAGCCTCTGATGATGAAGTCATTCAACCGTATGCCGCTGCATACATGTGCCAGGGTGACAGGCCATGTAACACAGCTTCAGGGGACACTAAGACAGAACTGTCCTCGCAGAATCAACCAGCAGCAGCCTCAAACAACATCAATGATAACTTGAAAAACCCGTCGAGCAATGATGTCCCAATCGTCCTGACTCCGAATCCGATGTACGTGCCACACGTACCGCATCGTTCAGCTTGCGGTAAGATCTTTATGGACTTCGGAATATTTATCACTCTACCATCCCTTTAGGCAACACCGACCTAGTAGTACTTGGGTGTATTCCTAGGCCAGTTTTTTCCAGCCCAATCGTCTGATATTTTCTCAAAGATTCCGAGAACCAACAAATCAACTTGGTGTGGCCTATTTCAGGATGCACGCGTCGCCGGCTCCACGTAGCTGCATTATGTACGGCTCTGGTCCTTGGGTCGTGTATCGTCGGTGGAGTTCTTCTCTGGTTAATTTTTAACACCAGGCCGCAACAGGTATTCCTCTGTTTTATAGCATTGTCGACATGTCTCTTTGTCGGTCACAAATTTACCTTCATGAAAAATGGAGGTATTATTTTTGGCGTGTGTGTGTTTGTGTGAGTGTGTGTGTGTGTGTGTGTGTGTGTGTGTGTGTCTGTCTGTCTCCGGTTTGTTTTCACACAGTTGTAGTCATCATAAATTCAGAACGCCTAAATGGATTGTGATGATATTTGGTATATTGGTAGGTCCTTAAAAGACAAAGGCAAAAGACAAATATCCTGGTGGCTGACCTTGGTACCACAGCAGAACTGTTTTGTATCATTTGTCCTAAACATGCTATGAGAGAAGCAGTAAGTTAGGAATATTGTCTATTTCAATATAGTTTGAAACAAAGTACAATGAAGTGCTGACATCGCCTGTGGATGCTACTCCTACTACTACTGCTGCTGCTGCTACTAATACTACTGCTGCTACTACCGCTAACAGCTTTGTACCAATCAAATGCCGGAGACCTGTGGAAACGCTCCCAGCCGTCTCCAGTACCTCACAAAGCGAAGGTAAGACTTTATGTAGTCCCAAACCATGCAGCATGCATGTGTTGTAGGAATGGTTGAAATGATGATGCTCCAGAAGCGGGAATTAAAAGTTTCTTTGTCACATTTTGCATACTTAAATCCAGAACGTCATTGGAACGACCGAATTCTTGAAAGCCAAGCAGGGCCCTTTCAGTATACGTAATCCCACAGTTCAATGCGCCGTGTGTATTTTTATGGGTTCACCACACCACTTCGTGGTGTGGTGAAACCATATTGCTTTTTCTGATGTTTCTTCTTCTTCTTCTTCTCCTCCTCCTTCTCCTCCTGCCATTTTTAAATGGATTCAGCTTCTTCATTTTAGGGCCCAAGGTCCTGAAATTTGGTATGGAGGTACAGTGGGCAAATACCCCTAGGCGTTTTTTAAATTATTGTGATACAGGCTTTTAGAATGGTTTTATTTGAGTTTTTTGGCTGTATTATAGCAAATGTATTACTGTGTTAGTGTACCGTGTTTACCACGTCTGGGCATGAGTCATCACAATGGAATGCAGGGCATCAACCAATAGGCATGCAGCTTTCCTCTATACTTCTTGCTGATTGGCTGTTGGGATTTAACTTGATTAACACAAGCACAGAGCATTTCCACCTGCACAGAGCATTTCTTGCTGATTGGCTGTTGGAATTTAACTTGATTAACACCTGCACAGAGATTTCCATACTGACAGTATGTCTTTATTCAAGTGTTTTGGTAGGTATTTCAAGCTTTTCTGCTCCAGCATTGAAATGCGGGGCATGAACGTTTTTTTATTTATTTTGAAAATCAACAGTTTGCATTATTCAATTAAAAATCCTAACCAATAAAGTAGGAAATAGCTATCCAACTGTTGTTTTAGTTGTATGTTACTTCATATTATAGTTATATCAATGTAAATCATTGTTTTCCCTTGTGTTTCTCATTCTTTCCCTGCCATGTCGTAAAATGTGGTGAACCCATCGCTGTATTTGCTCCAAAGCAAATATTGGCCTTTCTAGTTTTTTACTGAAATCTCTGCAATATCACAAGGGCATAGTCCTCAAAAAATTTTATGTACCTTTCCAAGCAATAATAAATTGACTGCTTTCATTATAACAGCACACACCTTTAGCTAGAAATTCGGTCAGTAAAAGAGTTTTGTACATGTGTGTGAGTGAGTTTGGGGGTATTTGACCACCCTACCTTTATGCCAAATTTGTGTCATTTGGACAAAAAATTAATCGAATCCATTTAACGAAATGGCTGGAGGAGAAGAAGGCGAAGAAAAAGAAACACGAGGGAAAGCAATATGTCTTTCCACACCACGTATATGTAGTGGTGTGATGAAGCCATTAGAAATAGAATACAATACATTTAAGTATAGGAAATACTGTTCTTATCCCTTATAACAGAAAGCGGTGACAGAATGTTGGAGAAGATCACCTTCCCTAGGAAACCTCAAATCATCATGGGGTTAGGAGTGGCCGTGTCTGCTGACTATGAGATATTTGTCACCGGTTATCTTCAGAGAAAACTGCATGTCTTCAGCATGAACGGGACCTATCTCCGCACCTTCCCAACGGTACTTCCGGGTGAAAACGGTTCCGTCGATGTTCAACCTAGTGGCGTTGCTATTGGCGTAGCGCCTGGCTACCTGTGGGTCGTGGGGCAAAGAAACGGCGACGCACATGTTGGATATATCTATGTCGTACGGTACAGTAGGAACGGCGAGCCAGTAAAGATGTTCAAAGTACCCGTCGTGGAGCCTGGTTTCCATGCCGTCATTGCGGTAGACGCGTGCAACAATAAAATCATCGTAGGACACAGGGATACAGTAATGATGTTTCATACAAACGGCTCCGTCTATCGGAGTTTTAACGTTACGGAACGAGTTATGATAGGGGGAATCACATCGGACAGCGAGGGAAATATCCTGCTTACTCTTCATGACGCGAAAACCGTTATGGTGTATAGTCACTCCGGAGACAAGTTATTTGAATTTGGAAGCACTGTTAGACGAGGTACGAGTAAGCTGCGTGAGTTTAGTGGTATTTGTCTGGACACCTTGGGTCGGATTATCGTGGCAAATACTAAGGACAACCGGATAGACATGTTTACAAGCCGCGGTAAGTTTGTCCGTACCATCGCGCGCTTCAGAAGCCCGTGGGGTATCGCTATGGGACCGGGTGGAGAGCTGGTGCTGACCAGCAGCGTAGCTGGGCCAACCATTGTCACCATCTTTCCACGCCAAACGCTGCTTCCTTAACCCTCATCATCATCATCCGTCGTCCCTGTCGGGCGGGGTTAGGCCACACCGACTTAATTTTATGCATGACATTCTCTGAAGACCCCCAAACTAGTGCGAGCGGGCGAATAAAATAAAAATCCGGCCAAAAATAAAAATGCTACTAAACCACAGGAATACAAAGGCAAAGCTGGTATTGTGAATTTGCGGCAGAACTGCGGCAGAACATTGCGACGTATACGACAAGCCGGCACATGCTGTTTTTTTTTCGGATTTATGAATCGACACTGTACGTATGTACTGAGGTCTTGAGTCGTGGAGCTTTGGTAGCCTGGGTGACATCCTCCAGAGTTACCACCGGCTCCGTACTGTCGCTATCTAGCAAGCTACCATGGACTATCCAGGCCAGAGCCTCGGATGAGATTTTTTTTTTTTTGGTTTTTGGAGAACAGACGAAAATCAATGCGCGCGTGGATGTCATCCATAAAATTAATTCGGTGTGGCCTTAGCTGCTGCACAACTGCACTCCACATTGATCTGTCAGCCATAGTTGATTTAAGGTCTTCTATATGTATCAAATCCCGTGTCTCTGGAGATGGTTCTTGGGTAGGTTAGTTTTCTGGAATAGCTTTTCCCACTAGGTCTCCAGAGAATAAGTGAAGAGATGATTTCTCCACTCGCTCTAAAACAGTGACCTCATACGACCGACTGATTAAAAAAAAGATCCCGTTTCACTCTGTCACAGCGCATAGGGGTGGCGCCCATCTCCGTTTCTCTTGCCCCTGGGCCACACAGTTGCGGCAAGCACTAGTATCTACAGCCATCCATAGAATGTAGCGCTGGTAGTGTTGCTCTCATAGATGCTGAGTGCTAAGCATGGAAGGCACTATGTACTATTTTTGAACTCTTTGGTAAACCCGGCCAGGGTTGGAACTCCCGACCTCGAAATTACAAAGCGAGTACTCTACTGATTGAGCTATATTGTACCCGTAGTACATGCTGATGCTAAAACGTGTCTGTTCTTATCTTTTCTCCATCACAGAGAAGATAGGAGAAGTCGAGTTTGTAGTAATTCAATTTCACCAACTTATTAGTCCGTTAAGAAGGTATCCCTCCTGCAGGAGTATTGTGACAGTGGTCAGTCGGTTTTTCGCGTTCGCAGAAAAAGTCATTGTTGTCTCCGTCGTATTTCGCTGTAATTGGGCATGTGGTGTGCCATTATGTTCGTAAGATGCACTTTTTTCTTTTCACCGTAGCAGTTTTCATAGTGAAGTAAATGTATATTTCAGAAACACCCCTACTTTTACAATCCTGTGGAATAGGCCCTAAGTAGTTGTCTAGTAGGCGAGGTTCTCTAAGCAGATATTCGGTGGTTGTTTTGCGAATCAATTCGGCTCTATCCGGACAATTTATCGTGGTGGGAATCGGGCCATAGTCGTGGAATTTAACAAGAATTGCAGCAAACAATTTCTCTCTTCGTGTCACAATATTGAAGCTGGAACTGGAAATAAGCAGTTAACTGCTGCTGGTTTGGATACTTAAATCATGGTCTGACATTTTAGTAATGGTTAAATTTGGCCCATGGCATCATCATAGCATTACGTCGTGCAGTGCGTGAGGTCAACGTCCGACAGAGCGCTCACGCCGCGTCATCCCCAGCAATAGGCCTTACGTCACTTCCGGGTACAGCAGGACTTTATATTCTGCCCCGGTTTCTGACCACCGTACAGAGAATCACCGCGAGCTCGGCGTGTAGACCTTACCGTTCCCGCCCCACACACTGCAACTGTCCGGTAACATGGAGCTGGGCTTCCTTCCCGTGTCCATCCCCCTGACGTGGGTTCTGCTGGCCGTGCTGCCTGTCCTGTTTTACCTGTAAGTAACGTTACAGCTTAACGTTGCAGTTTTATTCACGAAATCAGCCTTGCAGCACAGTGTGCAGGTACAACGAGCTGATTAGTACAATCATTATGTGGCATTCATCATTATACAATCATTATGTGGCATTCAATATCACATACAAAACAGAGCATACACAAGCAAATGCTTCGGCCAGTCTCAGCTGGTGTTGATCAATTGTCGTTTTTCCTGTCCTGGCCTCTTAAGGTCAATGTTCCAACACCTTTGGGAGGCCACACACCTTTCCCTTTGTTGCCTCTTGAGTATTGTGTTTGAACAATTACCATGGAGGGTTCTTTGGCATATAATTAGCCGTGGTTATTATGGCTTCTGTCCATAAATATACTGTACTGTACTGTACGATAGATATACTGTAGGATAAATATAATGTACGATAAATGTATTGTACGATAAATATTATGTAAATATACGAGCCATCGCTATGACGTTACGGATAGCGGGTGGTAGGTAACGAGCGGGTGGTAGCGCTGGTGATTTGCCTGGCAATAACTTGCATATGCCTACCGATAATGACCATGACGCTATGACGTCACCGCCATGACGTCACCACCATGAAGTCAGCGCCAGTTTCCCATTTTTAAAAGGGAACAGATATCTTAGATAAGCCTTGCTCTTAAATTTACTCCTCACTTTTAATCAAATTCAATGCAATTATCAAATTAAACGACTATTATACTTCCAAACATGAAGATATTGACAATTGACTACTTGATGGTAATACAATGGCCCTTTCAGACAGAACTTGTTTGTGGCCTCTCAGTGTTACATATTAACAAACTAGAGCAAACAGTTGACTCACTTTACCTCGGTCTGTCACCATGTTTGGGCATACATGTAACACACATCTACAACAGCACCTTTGCCTCAGGGTCAAATGAGGGGACAAAATACGAAATGCAATCCAGAACTCAGGTCAAACTGGTCATCCAGAAATTTCCTTGACTTGCAATCTAAAATAAAACTTTTCCTTTGACCTTGAATTGAATGAATTAATGAAGCACAGTTCGACCCTATCTACTAGGAGGGGGGGGGGTCAATTGGCTCCCCTTCATCACTCGTGAACTGCATATGTATGTAGCGTATGATTATCAGATTTTGAGAGGATGGTGTACAAGTGGTTATGAATCATAATAATCAATTTGTTGTCATTATGACGTTTATGAAGGTCCAATGTTTAAAAATCATTCATCTTGGATTTTGTCCGATGACGTCTTAAAATTAGCATACTACTAGTAAATTATGAAATTTAATTCGTAAAAATTGCTTTAAATGTCAAAATATTATTAATGTTAGAAAGCATATGTAAGTTATTTGCATAAAAACATCAACGTTACGACTTTTGCGAAAAATGCCTGTCATAAACTTAACTATTAGTAACGAAAACTTACCAAGTCACCAAATTTGGTGGTAGTAGCGCAAGCCATAAAAAATAGTCAAAAAGTCCACTATAGAATAGTGTTTAAGTCAGAAGTAACAGAGCTGTTTTACTTTGCAAATGTTACCTTTCTCGTCCCTATTCTTTTAGGTACGCAATCCGACCCTTGCAGGCATTAAAGAAAATGGGCGTGTCTGGACCCAAACCATTGCCACTTATTGGAAATCTGCACCAGACTATGAAAGCGGTAAGGATTGATTTTTTTTTGCTTAACATATTTTCAAAATTGATTCTTGAATGAGTTCTTTGTATGGCTTACCACTCCTACGTTGAATATTATTACATTGTTTATGAAACAGACCAGATTTCTATTATAGTTAGCAGAACTGTTAGATATTCTCAACACCACCATATGTGTATGTTAACACCACAAACTATGTATGTATCATTTTGCCATACGTTGTACCTGCTACATCTGTTGCGAAATAAAGTTCTTATTATTATTATATTACCTCCTGTTTGTATTCTGTATATCATGGGTTCCCTTGGAAATCAGCCATTTTTCGCGATATCGGCTGAAGGGATTGGCAATATGTACACAAGATCAATGAATCGGTAAAATAAGTAATCAAAATATATTAAGCATATGTGGTCTAAATACACGTTCCATGTACTTCCATATACATGAAAAATAAGCGGCACAATGTTCATTTTCATTGCTGAGGTTTGCTTAAAAGAATATGTATGGGATCATCCTGATTTTAGTTCCATGCAGGAATTTGAAATAAAAAAATGATTCTTTATATCTTTACAGGGATTTTATAGTATCGAGGCTCAGAGAGATGGTATAACCACATATGGTACAGTGTACGGGTAAGTACTCCACATGCATATGACGCTCTGACACTTGACTCCACATTTAGTATACATGTACCTACAAGACAGTAGCTATTCGTCCTGTAATGCGTTCTAACACACAACACAACACGGCTAAATATACAAAACATACAAACATTGACAACAATAGCGAAATTATGCTGAAATTATGCTTGGCGGAAGGTCCAGTGTTTAACAATCTCTAATAAGCCGTTCTGATGAAAAAATATAATTACCGGTACGGTTTCGTTAAATTTCCACCATGGGCAGAATGCATAATAAACTTTATTGGCGAGACAAGTTACAAATTATGGCATCTTTTGCATACAGGAAATACATGCGTGAAACAATACACCTTATAAAGACTTCTAGTATTGAGAATGAGCTTTTAGAGGCATAGTCCGATTGGTCTAATTTGTAGCATTTAGGCATTTTTAAATGTTGTCTTGCACGTACAAAGCAAAGGTTATTACACATCAATATGTATCATTTGCACTTAAATTTGCTACTTGTATTCATTGATACAAATCCTGGTACAGAATAAAATATATACCTGTATACAGTGAATTACGCATATCGAACATATTTCGGACATACGATCTAACAGTGATTTTTGTCTTCTATTAACGCTGGATAAAATGGACGAACCAACTGGTCCAGATATTTCTGAAATCTCCCGGTTTCCATACTCACTACATTCTGTACTGATTTTGCAGTACCTCTGCAGGGAACAAAGTGTAATATTCAATAAGTGTCACACTCTAAATTGTTATAATAGGTGATATACATTGTAAAGCTGTTAAATTTTGTTGCATAGAAAATTCTCCGGACGTACTCCACACCTGATGATTTCTGACCCAGAGATGCTGAGAGAGATCTTCGTCAAACAGTTCCACAAGTTCGCTAACCGCGCGGTGAGTTAACATATCATTATAATAGTTTACTTAGCCTGTCAGCCAGACCATCGTAGGCTCGCTGGTATATCTACTGTGCACATGCAGGTTACTGAATATTTTGAGTCGTGTGCCGTAGCGATAGAGTGCTCGTTGAACAAACGTTAAAGCCTCGGTCACAACTCGCCGTACGTGCTTCTGCGTGCTGTCTACGTGCAAAAACGTGGGCAAACGTACGGCATCCGTGCGTGGTAAGTACCGCCTCCGCACGGAATCCTACGGATTTGGGAGCACGCAGACACGCCGTAGAACTTTAAGTGCATGTAAAACTTTTTCTACGTGCGGTCTGCGGATTCACCACCCGTGCGTGCGAGTACGAGCGACGCACGTGCCCCGTACGTGCCGTGCGTATGAAGCACGTGTGAGTATCCAACGAAGACCATAAAAAAGCCGGGTTTCGCACAGGTGCAAGGCGTTCTGTTGACGTGCACACATGTATCATGATATTGTATGGATTTTATTGGCTTAATCACTTGTATGTAATGCATTGTAGCCGGAAGGGATGTCTTTGGACGTCAAGCCGCAGAGTCGCATGCTCACGTCGCTGGTAGACGAGGATTGGAAGAACGTACGAAGTACCATCACTCCGGCCTTCAGCGGGGGCAAGCTTAAGCTGGTACTGAGCACGATTTATTTGTTTTTTATTATTTTTATTTATTTATTCAGTTGGTAAAATACATTATGAGAATTTTGAAACTCCTCTCCAACTGAAAGAATTACTCAACGAAATTTTCCTCCGAAACACTCGGTCTTATTAGGTGTTCAGACCCATTGCTGTCATCATGTGATTTTGTTCGCATATGATTTTGTTCAACAATTGATGAAAGTTATTGGAAGTCGGTATCACCCCCCGTCACGGTTGAGATGAGGGTGGTACGCCCCGATGTATATGGCCTCCCTTACACCTCTCATAAAGTGAAAAATCTTGGTATTATTATGTTTGGTTGGAGAACTGTTAAGGTACACATACGACAGTCCAAAACATATGAAAGTCTGTTGATTCAAAGGTCCACGACAGTAATTTGATATGATATGTTTGTATCTCTTCATTACATGAATTTTGATTATTACAAACAATGATGCACGTGCAACAATACAAATTTATGCAATAGAAATGAAGTAATGAATACACAAGCAAATTCATCATAAAGAATTCTACTAGAAGCTAATAATGATCTTGTCTTGGCAGATGACAGAAGCAATGAACAGCTGTGCCGACCTGTTGGTGGGAAATATCGGCAACTTTAGAGAAAAGGGTGAATCCTTTGACACGAAGGAGTGAGTATCAACCCACATCCCAGAAAAATCATACGAACAATTGCTAAATAGAAATGATTCAGATCACAAGGCGCTGTGCAACCTGGGAATTTTTACCATGCGTAAAAATTGACCGTGACCTGTGCAATAGCTCAATTGGTAGAGTGCTCGCTTTGTAACCGGGAGGTTGTGAGTTCTAACCCCGGCCGGGTCATACCAAAGACTTTAAAATGCTACACACTTCTTTCTCTGCTTAGCACTCAGCACATATGTAATGGGAGAGAGTGTGGGAATGCCAGACACACAGCACTACCAGCGGACCAGCCCCCTGCTGTAGTGCCCTGCACAACTGTGTGTCGCCCAAGGGCTACGGAAATGGACATGGGCACCAAACCCTATGCTCTGCATAGAGCACGGGAGACACCCAGGCGCAATGCGTCATGGGAATGGTAAACCGGTGAATGTAACTGTCATTCCTTTATTGCAGACTGACAGGTGCCTTCACCACTGACGTCATCGCCCGGACAGGCTATGGTTTGGACGTCGATTCACAGCGGAACCCAGAAGACCCCTTTGTCGTCAATTTAAAGAAGGCTTTCAGTTTTAACTTCAAGAATCCAGTTCTATGGCTCTTTTGTAAGTTCACATATTATGTTTTAATGTACAATTATTTTCAAAATAGGGAATGTTAAATGTGCCTCCAATGCTTGAGCTTAGTATGAAATGTGCACGAAAATTGGGTTTGTCAATGAATATTGAAATAAGCCAAAACAACCACACTATCCAATATGTATATTGACCATCATGGAGCAAAAATACTTAAAGTTCTGACGGAGAATGGTTACTGTAAGGACCTTTGATTGATTTTAAGGATACCACCCAGCAAATAACGGACTCATCTTGGGGCTTGTTTCTGCAGTTTTAATAGCCCAAAGTATACTAGTACTGACTCAAATGTGCTGATGTGAAGCAGTATGTCTCAATATCAAAGAGATTGCGAATATTTCCAGTTTTGCTGCCCTGAAATTTCATTGGATGCCTTTAATGCAATGTTATGTGAAAGCATTTCTCTCTTTGTCTCTGCAGGCATGTTTCCGAGCCTCATGAAGCCGATTTTGGAGAAGTTTAACTACAGCTTCATGGACAAGGATGCTACTGACTTCTTCTACAACATTCTTGAGCAGGTCATGGAGATGAGGCAGAATGGACAAGTAAGTGTCTGATAAATAAGTGGCTCAAAATTTATCTAACAAAAACCTCCACTTGTGCCTCCACTTCACCCTTTAGCACTATGCCTCAGGTATTTTTTTTAACTCTAAGAGTTTTTCTTTTAATACTCTTTTTGTATCTCATACACAGTGTTGCTTATAATGTGTATCAACGTAAGATATCAGGTACCAAATGCCATGTTAAGGCTGTTAATTGCGATATAAAGAACTATGTGGCAGCCCATTTATTGTAGATATACATGTAGAACAACTATACATTTGACCATTGACTGTAAAAGTACATCGTCGTCCCATGCTACCTAGTCTTTGTAAGGTAGATTAGTCTCATAGTACATTGTATGTTTGTTATTAGCAGTATATGTCGTGCTAATTTGTACCTTATATGTGCAATAACGTTCGTCTATGTTTTAAGGGTCGTGTGGACTTCATGCAGCTTATGATGGACGCCCACAAGGACGATGACGTTGACAACATAGACGCCAAAGAGACCAAAGTGCAAGAAACTAAGAAACGTATGTCTTTAATGATCACCTTTGTCTTCTTGAACAAGTGACAGTTTGTGTCCTGATCGGTATGCTTACCTTCGCTGAAGATGTTGTTTTTGCTCCTTCTTCTCGACAGTCTGTCTCCATGGTAACTGGTGCTGTAGCTGTTAGGTTACACTATTTATTGGCTGTTCTGCATATCACATAGACTAACAGGTATAGGAGGGAAATATACTCCTTTATGTGCAGTTCGTTCTTCCTCTCCTGCCATTTAGTCATTTTTTTTTTGCTCTTGAGTCAAATGGACGGTACAGGGAGCAGGCAAAATTTATACCCTCAGTTTCTTACACAGTGGGAGAGGGAGTGAAATACGCTGCATTTGCTAATGTTGCCTAAGCAACAAAAGGTTGTTTTTATCGGTGTTTAACCTTCGCACTGTCGTGATTATGATTTCAGCTCTGACCAAAGACGATGTTGTAGCAAACGCGTTCCTGTTATTCATCGCTGGTTACGAGACGACGGCAACCACGATGGCGTTCACCCTGTACAACCTGGCACTGCACCAGGAGGCACAGGACAGGGTCAGGGAAGAGATCAACCAAGTCATGGAGGACAGGGTACGTTTTTCCCTACAGAAAAATGTAGGTATTGTTTTTGGTCTGTGTGTGTGTGTGTATGTGTGTGTTTGTGTGTGTGTGTGTGTGTGTGTGTGTGTGTGTGTGTGTGTGTGTGTGTGTGTGTGTGTGTGTGTGTGTGTGTGTGTGTGTGTGTGTGTGTGTGTGTGTGTGTATGTGTGTGTGTGTGTGTTTCCGTATACACTGTACTTGTCAGCATAACTTAAGAAGGCACTTGTGGACCGGTGAAGAGGTTCATCAGTCACGTATTTTCGACGTCTACTGTACGTCTTGATCACGGAGTGACCTAATCTTAGGAGGAGCTGCCCAAATCTTACTTACCACTGTGTCGTAAAGAGGCAGGGGAAGCCAGAAGACCTGCACAAGTCTCGACCTAGTCTCGTGTTCTCGCGAGACGTGCTCACTCCGTGATCAAGACGTAGTAGACGTCGAAAATGTTTTACTAACTATCGTAATGTCGCTGATTGAAAAATGTTCTACTAACTGTTAAAACTTAACATTATTATGATGACTTGTTTTACAGGACCTAGTGGACTATGAGGCTGTCCACAACATGCCATACCTGGACATGTGTGTCAATGAGACTCTCCGCATGTATTCTCCTGTGGCTAGGTAAGTTTCACTGCAACAAAACTGACATTTGAAGAGGATATGAAGAGGGCATTTGTATAAAAAGAAATTGAAAAAAAAATCCCGTAAGCCAGATTGTACTTTAACGTACTGTCCCGATAACATTGAGTTTTCAGGTGTGCCTGAGTGTCACGTTGTCTATCCAAGCAAGCATTTTGTGTGTTTGTCTGCTTCTGGATAATTGTAGTTGCCAGTCGATGAAGGTCTGACATCCAGGTCATAAGACACACATGAAAACAGTTACTCAAACAGCTGTCAGACTGTTCAAGTAGCATCCACTACGTACTTTTCTTCATTTGGTATTTATCCAATTTGGTATTTACCCAAAAACTATGAATTGACTATCAATGTAACTATCAACTCATAGTTTGAGAAGCAGATCCCTTGTATAACTACATGTAGCTGTGGTTGTGGATTGACGGACTAATTAACCTGTGTTTCCCCAGTATCGGTCGCGTGGCAGGGGAAGAGGCCAAGCTGAAATGGCTGACTATCCCGAAGAACATGATGATTATCGTTCCTGTTCTTGGAATCCACTACGACCCCGAGCGCTGGCCGGAGCCAGACAAGTTTATCCCTGAAAGGTACAGTCTGTTTTATGACTCTGCAATGTTAATTATAAATAGTTTTTAAATTTGTTTTGAATGCTTCATTTTTGGGAAGCCCATTCTGGTGTGTGTGGTTCAAACCTTACAGTCTGGTCTCAGGTCTGACATCTTGAAAAGGTGGTAGTCACCTGTTGTGTCAACCCTTCCACAAATGTGATAAATCTCAATTTATAAATAAACATTTTGCATCAGCTGGCTATACATTTATGTACCTTCCAATCTTGTGCTACACCACTGTAGGTTCACTAAGGAAGAGAAAGAGAAGAGGGACCCTTTTGATTGGTTGCCGTTCGGGGCGGGGCCGAGGAACTGCCTCGGGATGCGGCTGGCGATGATGGAGCTGAAGGTGGGACTGACCAGGGTGCTGATGAAGTACCGCATCGTCACCGGACCGGACACTGATGTACGTTCTGCAGTTCTTTCTGTAGCTGTATCTTCACTTCTTTCTGTATCTGTGACTGTATCTTCGAATTCTTTCTGTATCTGTATCTTCTGTAGCTCCGGGGGGCTCCCTACATAGTCCGCCACTAGCGAGCCGGCGAAAAGCGAGGTTCAGTCAGGCTATATCTTCTGTATCTGTTGTATAATTGCACCAGCTTCCCAGGCACGTGGCCCGCCAGCAGACGCCCTGTTGTATTGGATCGAGTTATGTAGCAAGTGGCAGGACATAGTTGGAGGGCCTGGTCACCATCTACATGTATATGAGTGTGTTTAAGTTAGAATAAACAAAGCAGTACTTTGTTGGGCTAGACCATGTGAAGATAAATATTATGTTGTATCATTTGCTTTGGAAACTTTGCCCTTCTAGTTTGCTGTTTTACTAATTGTTGCTTCCTAATATGTGCTTTTCTTAGATTCCATTGAAGATCATGAAGAGCAAGCAGTTCCCCACCCCAGAGAACGGGATCCGGCTGAGGGCGGAGCTTCTGCAGCCTGAAAGTGACTGATCCATTTTAGTCGGAAAAGAAAACCCTGGGCGTTTTCAAAGTTGTTACATGATTATATTATAATGAACTGATGACATTCCAACTTATGAAGGTATAACGTGCATTAAGAAAAAGTTGAAATCCAGCTTAAATGTCAGAGTGTTTAAAAGCAATATGCAGAAGTTGATGATTGGGGATGCATTTGCGTAATTCTAGAGTATTTTCAACTGAATTGCAATACTAGACCATACTATAGGCTCCGCCCAAGGCTGTTGCCAAAACGTGTTGTTGCTAGATTAAGGCTTGGACTTGAGAAGTCCTGTTTGAAGTCTAAAAATACTATAGGTTTGTCAAATTTTAGATTGCTATACGGCTTGTGAAATGCCAAAGACTAGTCTGCTATGATGTATAAGCATGATTTGGCTGAACTACACTCATTGCTGTTTGATGAAAAGACGCAAGGTGGCCTCGTATCAATTCCAGAGGTCTACAACCTGCTTGCTAGTGCCCCCCTCCCAGCGTACCTCGGAACAGGTACTTTGTCCTCGCTCTGTGGCCGTATCTGTTGTTATCGACACAAAGAAAAACAGGACTCAACAGTGCACACCATGCGCGTTTATTCATCCTTTAGCACACAGCAATGAATTTAAGGAAATCACCAAAATTAAGAGTCTTGAAATAAAATGTGACGTGACTTTCAACTGGATCATATGGAAGGGCAAGAGAACACGTACAGGTCAGAAGTAAGGTTTTTAAATGAACCTCAGATTACACGTAGTTCACGTCACTGCTCATTTTGAATGGAATAGTCGCTTTCAATATATCAAATGTAGTACATGTAGTATCATAACATAGACAGGGTAGCTTTGTCATTGAATCAATGAATATGTTTTCAATTACAGAAAGCTTTGTTAATTACATCGCAATAACAGCTGGTGTTAGCTGTTTCTTGTGTGTGAAAAACTATGGCTTTTGATGATCAGCGTTTTGTGTTCACTGCCAAGGTTTAAAGCTATAGCCGAAGCTGATAAAAGTGAAAAAAATTCTAATCAAAAACATACGAGGCTTAAAGCACAATGGGGCATCTGACAATAGTGCGTTTTTGAGCTCGGTTATGTCATGAAGCAGGCGTGGCGCTGGGTAATGTTTCATCCTTCAGTCGTCACAGCAAATAGAGCCCCATACAACAATCTGTAGGAGTTATACAACAATATTGCATTTTAGTACAAACTGAGGTTAGTGTCTATTATATGAGGGGTAGACTAACAGTCGTGGAAAAAGGGATGAAGAAAGAACTTTTTTTCATAAAACAATAACCTTTATTGCATATTCATGCCCTATCGGGCTAAGTACAGGTGAACAGATGAAAGGGTAATATACATTTTGTAGTACAAATAGCTCTATAACTACACTAATACAGAGGTTCGGCTTCATATTGCAAGCAAAACAAATGTCCATCTTATTGTCACTGGATTTTGAGAAATTCCACAGTGCAGAGTTGAAAGAAAGTAATGGATTAAATAATCAGAGAAACTGTTGCAAACGTACCACATCAGCGTTTTCCCCTGAACTTGGCGAGGAGCAGATCATTTGCAGCCCACTCCTATGAACAAACACAACAGATTGTCACGGTCTTCGCCTTTCTGACGTGGGTATGACGTACTTCAACATGAACTGGTCTTCACTCAGGAGTAAATAAGTGGGGACTACGTATACATGACGTGACTGGCGAAGAAAGCTCGGCGTCTGGAATATGGCGTCACAGCACTGAGCGCTCTCTTAATCGAATGATTGAATATGAATGAATGAATGGATTTCTTTATTCTCGAATACTTGTTCGGCCGACCGGGCGCTTAGATGTTGCTTTACCATTACCTGCCTACATTCTCTACTTGGGATAGGAGAAAATGGATTCAATAACTAGAAATAATTTTCGTCGTATGATCACTACTTCAGACGTTTGCTTTATCCAAAGCCAATCTGTTGTTCTAGACATAAAGAAAGGCAGGGCTCAATTGTGCACATCATTTTGTATTTATTAATCTTTTAACACATCTAAATTTTAAAAAGTCAGTTTTAACACGCCATCTATCGACTGGAGAAGAAACTACAGCCTCCTTAATCTTTCCATAACCGCAGCGAAAATTCAGGTGTCAATGTTGTAACCAGCAGGCAAGACAATATCCAACAGACAAGATGCCATCAAAATGAGCCAATTAGACAGTATCCTGCCCATTGGATTTTGCTGTCATTTGCCGAATCATTAGCTTCAGTGCCGATATCCATGCCGGTCTCCCATGTGTTTTATGACGAACTACACGGTACTGTTCACCCTAGTAAAAGGCAGCTTATTTTGCCAAAATATGTCGTTATTGCTGAGAGGTACCATTAAGTTATAAATAATTCCCTATGTCTGTGTTGGTATAATCCATGGTTGTAAAGTTCAAGCTTTGGTCCAAAGAAACTCACCATAAATTTATGGTCGATCTCGTCAACCTTCGTCAAATGTGGGATGAACCGAGACGGGGGGAGATTCCGTCTTCCCGCCACTTTTGACGCACTCCTGACGTCATCACGCTTCTGACTTCCGGAGAGTCAGCGAGTGGATCACACATCTAACAAAGGTTGACGAGATCGATCGAAAATTTATGGTGAGTTCCTTTCTTGTCTTGTGCTTGAACTTTACAAGTATAATTCCTTATGTTGTAAAGCAACACGATAACAAATAGAGAAGTGATTAAGTGCTACATAAGTCCGAAATCATCACCGTTTATAGCTTAGTTATCTTGCCTTTGACACCTGACATTAAACGTTGGCATATTTATTTCCCCCCATAAAGTTAATGAAACAGCCATTAGCGTACAATAAAGGGACGTAATGTCACAAGTGCACAAATCAGCACATAGATTCGGCTGACTTGATGGTATGTGTAATATTTAGCCTCCAAGCCAGACTTTTGTTACAGGGATCTAGTGTAATTTCAGGGCGGCAAACAAAAATATTTTGGATGAGAAAATCTGTCTGATATTCACATTTGCTGCCATTTCTTAGCACATTTTGGCATCATTTTACACTTGAAGTGTTTGAAACAGCCCAGAAGAAAGCTACGTTAGGAGTCCATTTATTTTTGATACCACCAATAAATAGTTAGGACCGGCCTATGATACGAAACAAGCAACCATTTTCCGTCAGTAACATTTTTCCTCCTAGATATCATGTGTGCTATGATATAGGATTGATTCAACTTACTAAATTGAAAAAAAAATGACCAAAATATTGACCTTTAAAACTCAGATTTACTGTCCTGAAATCGCTTTGGGTGCCTTCACTGAAATTCCTGACAGTGTCAGATTCTAATTAACGAAATTAAATCCTTCGTATAGTCCATACGAATGTAGCTACGCCGCCTACCCCTTACTACAAATTGCACACGCCATGTTAAAAATGTCGCCGATAATGACCACTCATCAAGTCATCATCCTTCGGTCATTTCGTGCACCCTGAGCGGCCTGGAGATCCAGACTACAGGATACAACGTTTGTAGTCAACTAACAGGTCGGAGAAACCCAAGTTGTGAAGTCAACCTCTCAGTTAGAACCGTGTGACTGTTCGTACCATCCACTGGTCAGAACATGGCGACCTTGACCGTGGTAGTGGTCAGTCTTGTCCTGGCTGGGGTGGACAGCGCCTTGAACCGACCGTCTGAGATCGTCTTGGAAAATAACGAGTACAGCGGTGTGTTAGTGGCCATCGGCCCATCAGTGTCCGAAGACCAGCGGATCGTGGACAGGCTACAGGTACTGTTTAATAGAGCAGGGCAGACTTTACAAACAAAACTTTTGGCCATTTTCAGTCCAAATAATGTACATTTTGGGATCTGGAGCCCTAGTATTAAATCCGAATGACCTGAAATTCGGTTTGCGGATACCTTCGACTCATGTCCACAGAATGTTAGTCACGCTTTTGACATACACTATACTTTAAACTTGTGTGAAATAAGGCTTTTTGGTTATTTTTGGACAAATGAATGACCTGAAATTTGGTATTGGTAGTGTTAATGCCTCGAATGTATGGCTAGGGGTCGGGTGGCATAGTGGTAGAGCGTTCGGCTATGAAACGGCAAGACCCGGCCCGGGTTCGATCCCGAGTTGTACTGGACATGCGCCCCGACGTTGTGCCCTTGGAAAAGGCACTTTACACGACTTTCCTCGCTCCACCCAGTTGTCAATAATGGGTACCTAACTTCGGTTGGGGAAAGTCGTATGGACGTCACCTGGTAGCACCGAATGACAGTTCCACAAAAGTGTTAGGCGTAAATATGTTATATGTATTACGTGTATTATGTGATTGTAAACCTCAACCCTGCAACACGTCACCGCTTTAAAAGGCTGCCATTGCACGGGTAATGTTTGACCAATAAACCATGTAGGGTTAGTATTGAATTAGGGTATTTGAGTTAGAGTATTTGAGTTAGAGGTAGGGACAGGGTTAGAGTTGGGGCCATTGTTCGGGTTAGTGTTAGACTTAGCATTGGGGTTAGGGTTAGGACTACGGTCAGGGTAAGTTTCCACATTACGACCAACCCCTCCCACATCTTGTCTCGTGTATATAGGAAACCCATAAGTAGTGTGGCAGACGTGATACTTCTAAGGAATTGACGAAAACATTATAGATTTTCACTACACATATCGTTAAACACACACAAACGCTACCAAAAACATATTAACTTATAATACGATCTATCTTAATGTGACTACGGCGTTATGTAATTGCCCCTGTTTGTTTATTATATTTGTCATAACAGCATGATTATGATCTAAAACACATATTAACTACATGTATAAATGGTCTGACGAACACCGTCCTTGCAATGAAATGTAATCGGGATATTATATAACAATAATATATTAAGTGAAGGAATGAGAATAGCATTATATTATTGGTGTTTCTATGGCGTCATGTGAAGGGTCTATATAAAGTGCTTAAGGTGGTAGAACACAGTTTTCGCCCTATGGGGATTTCTATAGTTAAGCACCCCGAGGTGACTCACTTCGACGCGGTAAAAGATTATAGTATATGGCTATGTGCACTAGAGAAACTCGGCCAAGTATTAAATACTTTGAAAAATACGGTATAATCTACAAAATAACCGAAAAGAAATTTTTTCTTTTACATCGTGACGACCTCTTTTATTTGGCAACCTCAACGGGACTGCAGCCGGCTCACCCTGCAACGCAGTTGCGTAACGCGGTGTATTCATAAACGAACAGGAAAATCTTCACAATCCAAATCATACGGTGTACAAGCCGATACAATTCTATACAGCGCAGTTTACTCCTGATCATGACTACCTCTCACATAAGTTGCTCTAGCCAGGATACAAGAGTTTTGTCTGCACTATTTTCTATAGCCGCGTCATATACTCCTTGTTTTTTGACAGGAAATCTTGACGAAGACGTCCCAGGCCCTGTACGAGGCTACCAACAGTCGCGCGTATCTGAAGGACATCGCGATCCTCATCCCCAAGTCGTGGGCGCCAAAACCTGAGTATCAGCCGGCTAGGACAGAGCTGTTCGAACGGGCAAACATCAGGTAGGTTTGCGAAATAAATAAATTAGACAAGCCGTGTTTTGTAAGTTCTTAAATCTATATGTTCATTCATCTACAATTGTTTTAAGAAGCGAGAAGAAGTCGATCCTGTAAACAATAGTATTATTTAGTTTGTCTTCATGACCTGTACTTAGCTCGAAAGAGCATAAATGTGCAATAAAGGTCTTTCATTCAATAAAGATTCAACTTTCTCTGCGCTCCAACGAAACCTTCTCTCCGTGGCAAAAACTCCCTCGGCAGCAAATCGTCCCTCGCGGCCGCATATTACTCGCGTCGCTCAGAGAAAAAATAACGCCGACGCCCAACAAGACTGCGAAGGAGGCTAATAATGAATGGGGACTTTGGGGAAACGTGCAGAAACAAGAACGTGACCGTCTATGTGACCGAATGTTTTACTGAATGGGGTTAAGGAAAGAGCAGTCCGGTCCAGAGAGAGGAAAAGGCAGTCCTGTCTGGTCAGGTGGTGGAAAAATCAGTCAGACTGCCTGCAATTCTACTGCTTGTTGTCAAGGGGCGCAACTACACGCAGACATTGTCGGGCCACCTTTAACCACCCCTAACAAGACTAACAAGTAAAATCTGAGATTGTATACCTCCGGGCTTTATATTGTACATTTTAATATAGGGTTTTAAACAAAGAATTTATCGAGACCGGACACCCCTCTGTGTGAGGGGTCATATACGTGGACCAGCCCAAGAATAGCTTAAACACGCCAAAGGTCAACTGTCGCGACCACTTTCACACTTAAAGGGGTGTTTGGGGGCCACCGAAAGGCACCATTATCCTGCCCGAAAACACATATACAATAAAAACAAAAGAACGTCCATCATCTACAGCTCAATAGCAAAACATATACCGAGTCCCAAAAGAATCTGTTCACGCAAACGCGAGAAACAGCTGCGAACATGAAAATCTAAATCTCTCACAAAGCCCTTCCGCGGAAGGATGTCTCTTTCCCCGGAGGCAACAAGACTGGGTGGTCTTTTCCACCGTCCGGACTAGACCACTTTTTCTACTAACCCTCCATTGATGCTAATTTCAGGGTAGACCAGGTGAACCCCATGTATGGGGACAGTCCGTACGTGAAACAGAAGGCTGGATGTGGGGAGGGCGGAGACTACATTCACCTCACTCCTACCTACGTCATTAACGAGCAGTTCGGACAGGCCGTATTTGGACCCTACGGTAAGTTATATAAGACAATCCTTTAGCTAGAAATGCAAATAACGCCAAAACCTTCACATTTAAACGATTTGGTTTGAATTTTAGCATACAATGTCTGTTTTGCAGCCTGTAATGCATCTTTAAATCTTTCTCATAAAATATATAGATGATATGCTCTTAGGAAACATTACACCTCTTAAAACTTTAAGTTTTCATTGTACAAATGGTTTTTACGCGATGGGAACATCACATATACACAGACACCATCACATGTAAAAGAAATGAAATACATCACTGTATCAAAGTAAAGACAAATCACTAAATCAGCGTCTCCTCTCTTCATTTGCCATCCACGTTCCGACACATGGCAACAGACATCTTTGCTCATTTTCGGCATGTTGACTACTGTCAGAGGGTAACAAAATTGCTTGTTTGTTTGTTTGTTTGTTTGTTTGTTTGTTTGTTTGTTTGTTTTTTAATGGTGTCATCCGTAATTACTTGATGTGGCCTTACCACATTCCATCCAGGTAAGACTATGGTGCATGAGTGGGGCCATCTCCGCTGGGGTCTGTTTGACGAGTACGGCATGGACGGCCCCACGGGAGAATCCTACCCGTACTTCTACTCCTCTGCGTCTGACGGCACCGTGCAGGCGACCCGCTGTTCGGCACACCACACCGGCAGGCACATCAACATCCAGACGGGCCGGCCGTGTCAGATCCACCCCAACACCGGCCTACCCGAGTCCGCCTGCCGCTTTTGGCCGGACTTCACCCCCAACAACCCCGCTACAGGATCCTACATGTTCATGCAGTTCCTAGACAAGGTTAGTCTCTACCAGACTAACTATGCTGGCTATATATAGGAGAATATTTTCCGGGGGAGTTTGGCCGCCTTGGGGTTTGACTGGGCCGTGCAGGAGGGAAAGAAACTACTATTGCCACCCCGCGGCCGGACTCCCTTAGCCAATTTGATTCTCTTTTTTTGCCGAATTCTGCGATCCGTATTCCCGTAGTAAGGCCTGGTGGAGGCTAAGACAAGGTACAGTCAAACTGAGTATGTAGAATCTAAAGGCACCCAAAGCGATTTTAGGGAGGCAAAACAACAAAACAAATATTTTGGATGAAGACAGTATTTCATACTTGCCACCAAGCACAGTCGGGCATCATCACCAGATAGAATAGCAAAGTTCTTTCTATCACAACCATTTATATTCATAACTATCATCACCAGATAGCTTTAAACGATGTTCAGAGTTAGATGTTTAAAGGTTATAATTAGGTGTAACATGTCGTTCATGTCGTATATGTAACATATAGTTAGCTGCCGCCACGCCGCGTGCCTGTGAAATTAACTGGTGTGTTACGCCTAGGGGAGGTTATACGGGCTAGCTATACAGATACAAAAGGCTGGTGTGATACGCCAAGGGGGTGTTATACGGGCTATACAGATAGAGAAGCTGGTGTGATACGCCAAGGGGATGTTATCCCGGCTATACAGCTACATCCATGGTCTCCTTGCTATTTCCCAGGTTGCTTCCTTCTGTCACAGTGACCCGTCCGGTGACCCCACGTCCTTGCACAACGACGAGGCGCCGAACAAGCACAATGTCCAGTGTGGTGGCCGGAGTGCCTGGGACGTGATGGATGACCATCCGGACTTCAGCCAGGGTGCCAACCCCCCTCGACAGGTGGTGTCCACGCGGCCGGAGTTCTCTCTCCTACAGGAGGTGGACAGGAGGATGGTCCTGGTGTTAGACACGTCTGGGAGCATGAGGGTTTGTACAAACTTACACATCGCTGTCACTAAGTACAGTAGGAGCATTGTCATTTAACTTTTTAAGCTTTTAAGCTTAATGTTTAAGCTTTAAACAGTGCCTAGAGTTAGATGTTCAAGGGTTAGGTGTAACAAGTCGATCGGTGTAATGTAGCCAGCTGCCGCCGCGCCGCGTGCCTGCGAAGCTGGTGTATTACGCCGAAAGGCGGTTATACCGGCTATACAGATAGAGATACAGATACATCATTTTTTCTGTTTAGGCAATGTTGATTTGATTATATGGATGACAACCACTGGGAACCCCAAAACTGATGTGAGTGGGCGAATAAAAAGAGTTTGGCAAACACGTAAGACGTAATGTCCCACCTTTTCCAAAATTTGTGGATTTTGGGAAGTTAAAAGAAGAATAGTTTGTTTTCTTTGTCTGTATGTTTAACGAAATTGGGATAGATTGTAGAAGTTGTTTATTGCAATGATAATAATTTACCCATTCATTCATTCATTCACTAACTGCCTCAATGAATAAATGAATGATTATAAATTTCAACAAAAAATTGTACCATCTCATCTAGGGTGAACGGATCCAGAAGCTGAACCAGGTGGCGCAACATTTCATCAGGAGCACCGTAGCTGACGGCAGCTGGCTCGGCATCGTGGACTTCGCGACCCGGGCGACTACAGCACACGCCCTGATTCAGGTGGCAGATGAGTCCGCACGTGAACAGCTGGCAGCAGCTGTGCCCAGCGTCACCCTGGGGTGGACGTGTATCGGCTGCGGACTACTGGAGGGCTTACAGGTGGGGGAAACCAGATCATGACTACTTCAGTCTAAAATCCATCCGACGAAAGGAGGCGAAAACCAGACAGAAAACCAGCAGGCCAGACAGACAGGGAGACAGACATTGAAAGAGACAGACAGACAGACAGACAGACAGCAGGCCAGAGAGATTCCAGAAAATCAGACAGCGAGACACACAAGAAAGCAGACAGAGAGACAGCAGGCCCGGGCGCCCAGACAGACAGACAGACAGCAAAACAGACTGGACAGCATACAGAAAGCTTGGCAGACAGACAGCAGGCTAGAAAGACAATCAAACAACGAGAGAGATACGAAAGCATAGAGAAAGACAGTGAAATAGCAAAACAGACATACAAGCTTTCTGTCATCATTTCATACTTAAGGCATTTAAACGATTGCAAGCTACGTGAGGCGTCACTTTATTTTTTGGGTACCGTCGATAAATAGCTAGAACCAGCCAACGATACAAAACAAGCAACCGTTTTACGCCAGGGACATCGCTCTTAACTTTTGCCTAGCAGATATCAGTACACTTAAGGATAGGATTGATATACAATATACAAAGAAGGACCTGAAAATCAGGTTTTGCTGCCATGAAATTGCATTGAAGGAAAACATGTCTTATTTCTCAGATTCTTGAGGACAACGGAAGTCGTAACGCCACAGGTGGGATTCTCCTTGTCATCAGCGATGGCATAGAGAACCAACACCCCAACATCACAGAGGCCATGCCGACTGTTCTGGCCAAAGGCGTCATCGTCGACACCATAGCTTACAGTGACGCGGCGGACGCCAACCTAGAGTCTCTAGCGGCCAGGACAGGCGGCATGTCGTTCTTCTACCCAGAAGGCAACACTTCTACGGCCTTGAACGACGCCTTCACGACAACGGTCACTGCCAGGGCGTCGGAAGGGGACAACGCACCCATCCAGGTACGTTTTGAGGCAGTCGTGGTGACTCTTGAATCGGACGTTTTTGCTTTTTCTCGGTCCCGACTTTTGTCCCCACAGACGTAAGCATCAATTGCTACAAGAACAGTTAGCTCTTAGTTCAAGAAATATTTTCTTGTGGACAGAATCGTTTTCTGGATACAGCAAGAAAAAACAAGAAACACATGTGTTCCTTGAATTTTCTTGCTACGGGGATTCTTAAATTTCTTGTTCAAAGAATAATTTTCTTGCTATGGGATACATTTTCTTTGTACAAGAAAGAAGAAAGAAAAACAAGAAAAAGCATTTTTGGTAGTGAAGGGACTTGCTTAAGCCGACCACTTGTCCAAATGTACCGTGACCGGCACTATTTGGGTCCTCACATGGTCCATTCTCTGCCGGGACAGCCGGGATTCGAACTCCCAACCTCTTGGTTCTTAGCTTGGGCGCTAACCACACGACTTCTTTATTCACTCGAATTTTGTTTTCTTGCTTTCTCACTAAAATGTCCTTTTGTCGTCCATGAGCAGCTTGTAAGTGAAGCGTGTGCGTTGGGCCCGGGAGAGACTCACTCCAACACGGTGTACATGGACAGCAGTGTGGGGACCGACACAACATTCAACTTCTTCTGGCAGGACGGAACGGAGCCGGAAGTGGTGGTAAAGGACCCGGATGGAAACGACATCACCCAAGGACATCCACAGTATCACGTGATCATCAACATGACAACCGTCCAAATCAAGATCCGTGACGTAGCTCAGGTAAGATTTTGTATGAGTGTTTCAGTAGCTCTAAGTTAACTATCACTACTACTACAGCTGTAACTATTACTAATAGCTTAAAAGTTATTGACTGATTGATTGATTGATGTACTGGATTTTAAGGTGAAATAAAGTTCAAAGTACTGGATTTTAAGGTTCAAAAAGTTCAAAGTTCTCAATGTACGTAGAAGTGTTTTTCGTACCCTGGTATTCAAAAGCTAGAAAGCGCCCATTTCCGTTGGTACAGGTGGGTAAGTGGAGTTACAACGTCACCAACACCGGTAACCAGACACAGAAGGTCACCATCGATGTGACCTCTAAGGCCGTCTCCATGGATACGCCGCCCATCACTGTATCAGCACAGGTCAGTACCTATATTGACATTTACCTTCTGTATCGGTACAGCCGGTATAACCGCCATTCGGCGTAACACACCAGCTAAGCAGGCACGCGGCGCGGCGGCAGCTAGCTATATCACACTGAACAACCTGTTAAACTCAATCTTTGACTTTGCACATTTGATTACAGGAGTTTGTTTAGAGTTAAAACTTTAGATCCAACACAAAAGTTCTCGCACCTAGAGCTTTCGACCAGTCACTCTGGTCTTCCTCAATAGACTGACCCAGTGAGGCTTGTCACGTGGCTTCTTTGAAGTGTGGCGTCAACACTGGGTCAAAGGTATCTGGTAGACCATGCAGATGTGCGCACAGACGACGTCGACTTGTACTTGTCGGCCACGGTACTACAATTTCATGACAATCCATCCGTGTATCGGCACAGGTGAGTACATCGGACGTGAGCTACAGCGACACGGAGCCGACCTTCCTGACGGTGTTCGCCTCCGTGACCAGAGGTTACGTGCCGGTGCTGGGGGCCCGGGTAGTGGCGGTGGTGGAGAAACCGACCGGAGACACACACCACACAACTCTGCTGGACGATGGAGCTGGTAGGAAAACAGCAATTGCTTCATACGATGTATAAGCAGCATCTAAGGTATGGGGTCTTGTGGTGTAACGGCAGAGTGTTAAACTCAGAACCCAGGGGTCCAGGGTTCGAATCCTGCCCGATGTCACCGATTTTGTGAACTTGGGCACTTTACCATCTCCAAGCAGATCCTAGGGTGACATAAGACAGTATCAAATTGGCCAGACAGTATCCATTGGCCAAAACGGTAAAGTGGTGATCATGAGAGAAGTACTGGTTGTGAATAAGAATATTCTAATGACCTACTCTTCACGATAGGTGCTGACGTGACGAAGAACGACGGCGTGTACTCGGGATATTTCCTGGCCTTCTCTGCGGACGGCCGCTACAGCGTGTCGGTCCGAGTGGACGACGGGGACGGGCAGGCGAAGACCGTGGTCGTTACCGGCCAGCTCGGCGGGACTGCGGGAGCTCTGCCGATGAACCCAGGTGAGGCTTAGCCTCCTTCGCAGACTTGTTGGGCGTCAGCGTTATCATAAAGTTTTTTTCGGAGAGAACATCCTCTCCGTGGCAAAACTCCCTCGGCGGCAAAATCGTCCCTCCGCGGCATATTACTCGCGTCGCTCACAGAAAAAAATAACGCCGACGCCCAACAAGTCTGCGAAGGAGGCTAGGTGAGGCTGCACGCTGATGGAAATATCCTGTAAAAATGAAAACTACAAACACAAAAGGTCCATTGCAGTGACGTAGGGACCCCCACGAGGCCCATTTTTATACTTGATCTTGGTCTTCCCAACGTAAACCTGCCTGCAAAAATCATGAACATCGAACCATGCCCTCAAGAGTCTTCCACGCTTTAGCAAAGTGATTTCATAGCCTTCTCGACGAAGGCATTAACGTGGTCAAGACAATGACCTTTGATTTTGACCTGTTTTTTTCGCACGCGCAGGCTGACTTGGTACGATACGACTAAACATTAAAATATTACGAACCTAAGTAGCAGTATCATTTTGCATTATGTACAAACACTTTACGACTTTGCGTGTCTTTGTTCTGCGTTCCAGCTGCCAATCTAAACGTGACGGTGGAGCGACAGAAGGCCGACCAGTTCCAGCGTATCTCGCAAGGTGGCGTGTTTTCTGTGAAGGGCCTTTCCAGGGTGACTCCAGGCAACGGGAGTCTTCCCGACATCACGCCTCCTTCTCGTATAACCGACCTCAGGGTGTCTTCAGTCTCGTTTGAAAACTTGACCGTGACTCTGGGCTGGACCGCTGTGGGTAATGACTTGACTCTGAATGGCCCTGGTGAGATATTATTACTTTCTCTGTGTTTGTGTGTGTGTGTGCGTGTGTCTGTACGTGTGTGTGTTTGTTTGTGCGCGTAAGTGTGTGTGTGTGTGTGTGTGTTTGTTTGTGCGCGTACGTGTGTGTGATTGTGTGTAGTGTGTGTGTGTGTGTGCGTGTGTGTGTGTGTGTGTGCGCGCGCGCGTGTGGAAAGCATAACTAGAGAAACCGTAGTTTCTGTATCGAAGTATTACATTCTGTGTAGTCGATGCAACTTTAATTACTAGATGCACACATCTTGACGTTATTTCCAGCTGCCAGGTACGACTTGCGGTACAGTCGGGGCTTCCTCTCCAACTTCTCTGACTGGTCCAACGTGACAGCCGGCATGGTGGTACAGGGCGGGCCGCTGTCTCCCGGACAACCGCTCCAGGCCGAGACATACGTCATCAGGATGGCAGAGCGAGGTGAAAACGTGACGTATGTCTTTGCTGTGCGCGCCTGCGATGCGGCTGGGAACTGTGCTGACCAATCCAACAAAGTGTCAGCTTCACTAGCCTACGTCCCTCCACTCACCACCCAGCAACCAATCACCACCTCGGTTACGTCGCAGACCCCGGGAAAAGCGGACGCGTCGACTAAATTTGACTCGTCGCCGAAGCCCGCGGGACGGTCTCAAGACGGGACCACCACCTGGTTGGTTGTTGGCAGTGTGGTGGGCGGAGTTACAGTGGTCGCAGCCGCTGTTGTCATCGTGCTGAGGGCTTTGGGCAAGGCGTCGGTCAGGAAAGTCAATACCACCCCCCGTCACGGTCGAGCTGATGCAGCCGACACCGCCACTCCTGCCAGGGCGAACCCCGCCTTCAGGCCTGATGACGTGTAACAAGTTAAAGGGGCAATATGTAACATTTTCGCGCCCTAGATTGAAATATTTCAATTGACAAAATCTTGATGTGATTATAATTTACATCCACTTTTCAACATATTTACACATTATCAATATGTAACATTTTCGCGCCCAAAATTTAAATATTTAATTGACAAAAATCTTCATGTGATTATAATTTACTTCCACTTTCAACATATATATTTGCACTTTATTATCTCATATTTCTAACATTTATGGTTGGCGATAAATCAGCCCACGTGCACTTAATTGAGACGCTTTTATTTTGTGGCACCACCACAAATTACCAGAATGTAAACAAGTTCAGCCATGCTGTCTTTTTTCTACCTCCATGGTTAAACACACTTGTAAGATGAAACATTTCGGCAGCTTACTTCGTAAAGAAATGGCCATCTTTCTATTGTTCGTCCTTTTTGTATCGTCCTAATGCTACATAATGCAAGATTGAAATTTTGCCAAAGCCAGTGTAATTTGTTTCTCTGTTAAATGAAATGGATTTTTTTTGTATAATTTGTTTAATAAGTGGTTTATATTATTTTGATTATTACTCCGATTTTGAGTTGAGCTTACGTTATTTTTAATTTAACACCACTGTATAAATTGCTTTGCATTTCTGTTGTTATATTTTGTAATGTTTTAATATGATCTGCAGGAAGACTGGTGACTTGTCAATGTAGATCGAAATAAACCAAACCTAACCAAACCAAAGCAAACCAAACTGCTTGTCAGCAACACAACATTTGTCCCTATGTAGGTCTAATCACTGTTGAAGATCGAGAAGTGAATAAAAATGTAGGTCATCAAAAAGCAGACTTGTGTTTGTCTTTATTGAATAATATACGGTTAGTTACAGAACCCTAATTTTTGTGGGGGTATATATCGCTTATCCTTTGGTGGTCGTAAAATGCAATATTCTTCGGGTTGCCCAGACTGTTACGATGCCCAATACCGTTTATCACTTGGGTCGTGTATTGGACCCTTACTGGTCAATGGATACTGCCTGGCCAACTTGATACTGTCTTTTGCCACCCTAGGATATCAGCTTAGAGATTTACAATACCGTTTTGTTAGCCTGAGTGCCATCCTCCATAGTTTCTACGGCTTCCTAACGTCGCTAGCTACGTGAGTCGTGACAGCAACATTAGGGAGCCGGCGGAAACTACGGAGGATGGCACCCAGGATAATTTTTTGTCGAAAGAAATCAAAAGTTAATACGAAAAGACACATCGAGGCCAACCTCAGTAATTAATTACAGAGATTATTCCACAGGACCACACATCCTGATGTTGATAAGCACGAGGTTAATTCAGGATCTGTGAGGGGCCGGAGACGCTCGATGATGCTGCATCTGGTGAGAATAACAGTTGATAACCTGCAGACCTGGTGGTCTGAACCTTAGTAGGGGCCTATTAGGAGTGATGAAGACAAGTACATACGGATCTGCACGGCTCATGGAGTTCATATAGTCTATTAAGTAGGAATTCTATTAAGGCAAAAGTGTGTGAACACCGTTTTCTTGCTGTACTTCTACTCTGCATCTCTTGTGACTTTTCCTTCCATCTGCCCTTTACCATCTTCGTCAGGATCAGCACATACACGACCAAGCCATTTTAGTCTTCTTTCAGTAACTTCTGTGAGAGTCTTAGACTCCTTACACGAAACGCAATCCATGAAGTCACGTGAGCAAACTTCATTGATGAAACGGGGCGGGGGCCGCTACAGACTTCCAGCCATGTTTGACCTCCTGCTCACGCCACACTTCCGGGGGGTCACGTGCTTTAAACAACTGGGTCCTCAGTTATCCAGAAGAAGACCAATTTGTTAATTTCAATCTTTAGTGTTAGAAAAACTTTCATAGCAGACATAACTTAAACTTAGCAACAAAATGACGAATGAGACAGGACAAACTTCCGGACCTTCTTCTGTATTTATTTGTATAAGACAAATGCGGCATATATCGTCCCGAGAATAGGAGATTACTCTCAAAAGAGCCGAATTACAACACATACAATCCTCGAGTTTCCTTCCTGATCAATCACTTATACTGCATTTTTCTTGCTTTGAGAAATATAGATCTATTTTCCTCCAGATACCCAGATGTTGTATTTCATTAACAGGCTGTATCGATGAGTTGGTACCTTATGTGAGAAGTTTTCATATACAAAGACGACATAAATACAGGGAGAATTGTTCCGACAAATAATACAAAGACGGGACAATTATGCCGTTGCATTGCATTCTGTACATCAAGATGAATAAGGAATTCCCCAATGTACAAGTACCCATATTACAACGTATTTACAACTGTAATGTCGTCTAGTAGAGCAGCATGTATTTGCCGGAAATATCGGGTTATACTGACTGAATAAAGGCGGGGTATGTAATAAAAGGTGGCAAAACACCGCCCTTAAGGTACTAGGTCTGTAATTTGAAACCGCTATTTTTACCAATTACTGGTGTGTTAGTAATACCTTTTCCGAATCTAAAGGCATCCAATGCAATTTTAAAGCCGCAAAACAAAAGAATATTCTAAGTGAGAAAATCTGTCTGATTTACTGCAATTTAGCACATTTTCGTCACCATTTCATAGCTACCCTAAAACAAGCTAAGTGAGGAGTCCCTTTAGTTTTTGGTACCACCACTAAACCAGCCTACGGTCAAGGAACCATTTTCCGTCAGCGACATCACATTTTGCCTCTCAGAATAGAGGATAGGACTCAACTTACTCAAAGAATTACCAGAAAATTGCGTTAAAAAATCCAGTTTTATCGCCCTGAAATTGCATTGGATGCCTTAAAAACATATACGTTTTAGTTCGACTGCTACATGAAAAGGCTATACTCTTACAACTACTATCAGGCTAGCCGCATTGCGAAGATAATTAAAGATACAGTCCTCTGACAATACATTAACGTTTTCCAAAGTTATAAAAAGTACTACATGACATAAGTTCTACCTAACAACATCTCTCATGACAGCAGAAGAAAAGACGTACGTTTTGGAACACTGGAGTCCCAACCCGCCTACAATACACGGACAACAAATATATATAAGTAATACTGCATTGCGCGCATGGATCCTATGCTAGTATTTAATGACGAACATGTCTGTAAACGACCGACTAAAATTTTCGAGATGTTCATTTTGTAGACACACTCTCTCAGACTGCCGTATTCTCCAGCCTAGCTACACTTATAAAATGTGAAATAAAGACCACTTCGAAGCGACACCTTGCGGCCGACGGTAGAACACAGGTCTACGACTAGACGAAACTCTTAAAAACTCAGTAAATATAAATCATATAATGCTAACATCATTATATCCTATATATTAAAACAGGACGTCGACATAACCTGGCATAAAAGTCGCCACACATTGTGGGCAAAATAAAAATAATATCTGTTGAGATACGATATAAATACATGTAAAGCCTACTAAAGGATTGCCGCTAGTGACTGCGAAGGATGTAAGATTTGAAGCCCTTTAAGTCTGTATGTAGCTAGCGCTTTCTTCCTTATAACATTTGCGTATTGCTGTTTCTTTGCAGAGCATTATTTACAACAAGCACGTACGTATAGAGAACATCATTTCTGACACCTATGCTAGAACTGGCCAAAAGTCCCTAGCTCTATCTATCCCCAAAATTACGCTTGTCTCAAAAATACACGTCAGATAAAAATTCATTTCTTCTTTCTTATCATTTTAGACCCTACACGGACATTTTCTCTTTATAAGTACAGTGATACGCTATTACTATCTATTTATCTAATTATCTATCTTAAGTATGTATGTATCTTTCTACCTAGATAGAAGGTGTTTATTTGTTTGTTTATTTGTGCTAGACTTTGTTAACTGATGCGATTGGCTCGTAGCTACTAGTGTACTTGAGTTCTTTACATGTCGTTTCTTGTCCTAACAGTTCTTAATAGTCAAATGTTAAATTTGTATAATTCAGTTATGATTGAGTAAAGTAGGATGTAAAAGTTGTTCATGTACAACGACTTTTATACAAAGTGCAGCAACACTGCTCCGTAAGCAAATGTCACACATGGAAGCCATTTTATAACCAAACGGATAATACAAATGTGTTTGAACTACTCAGAATGACGGGTACTGGGGTTTATTTTTACACAACTGGTATAGACTCTTACCTCTAGACGTTTCGATGTCTGCCAGACATCTTCCTCAGAGCTTATTGTGACTGGTGTACTTCTTCTGGTCGCTGTACGTGAAGTAGGTGGCGCTTTTGCACAACCCCAAACATGGCTACGTTTGTATCCCCCCTCCTCTCCTTCATCATTGGGATTGAACTTGTGTTTCGCCGCAAAAGCGCCACCTACTTTCAAATTAGCTATATTCCAGTCATAAGCTCTGAGAAAGATATGCCTGACAGACATAGAAACGTAACAGGCGAGCGTCTATACCAGTTGTTTAAAAAGAAAACCCCTAACACCCTATGATTGACCAACCAGATGAAACTATATTTTGGGCTGCTCAGAATGTCGCTTGTGTTCGTCAGGAGCACCTGTCCGTGGTCATGTGTAGGACGCCGCGGTTGTGAAGACTGCGCAGGACAGCGAACTCTTCCGGGATGGAATGTTGGCGAATTCTCTTGTGCTTGGCGGACATGGTGACGTTGTCGTAGTAGTGGTGGGTGAGCACGCGGCCCTGCCTGTCGTGGTCGAACGGCCAGAAGCCGTACAGGTGAGTCTCCTCGCACAGGCTGAGGGCGGTACCCGCCAGGTACAGACCTGGGAACGAGAGCAAAGAACGAAACGGATGTTAACGCTACGTCATTTCCGGGACTACTATCAGGCAGTGGTCCTGCTTTGAAGCAGTCAAATTGGTCGTTCGTGTTTTTCTTTAGTTTTCAGCAAGTAACAGCGTTAATTCAGCAAGGCTACGAAAAACACATGGCATATCCTAAGCTGAAAGCAAAAGAAAAAATTCTTTGACGATAATCTAAATATAACATTAATACATGTAAATCTAATTAATTTGGGTCTGTTCTAAGCACGATGCCGACTCAAATGCTGCAAAAGGCCATCATGTGCTGGCTTGTCACAAAAGTACTACAAATAGTGTTATGTACTACCGCAGATTCGCAATACCAGCTTTGTATCCCTGTGCATTTTTGGACGGGGGGGCGTCACTGAATGCTGGATTTTTTATTCACCCTCTCGTATGTATTACTTTTGGGGTCCGTAAAATTTAGTCAGTGTGGCCTTAATACAAAAATAAAAACATATCTCACCTGACGTTAACCTTCTTTCGTTGATCTTGTACTGTCCTTTCCAGAATTTTGTAGCCAGAGCTAGGTGCTGCGGGTGTCCGAATATGACAGTGGCATTGGTTCGTTTTCCCTTCACACTTTGCACTGTTCGGTAAGCGTTGAAAGATAACGTTGTACACATCCTATACGTGAACGCGCTAAAATACATGAAAGCATCTTGAAAGTGTGACGTGTAGTTCAGAAAGGTGTCCCTATTGACTCGAAACCGGAGGCTCCGAAATCTGCAAGAGACGAAAAAAATGTTCTTGTAAATGTCATTCGTCAAAATTTCATCATTTTTTAAAAATCTATTCACATATATTTTCTGAGGCTTGGACAAAAGTAATTACTAGTATGACATTACTCTTTGAATATTGAAAATATGTCCTACAATTTTCTTTTATATTATTTTACTCTATATATTCTTAATGTCTTCACTTTTTCAGATGACGTTATTTAAATCCTTCCTCTTACTATCATTCCGTTTTGTACACTTACCTTTCTTTCAATATTGTAGGATTTGCGGTAACTAAGTTTGTCTTCTTGCCTACATCTCTAGAGTAGTTCCCCATATATGGCAGGTTTAGCCTGAAACAGAAAAAGAAACAGCATTTACAAAAGGTATAAATGTTAACATTGTGACAAGTGGTGGACACTGAAACTCTTCTCAGAGGAGAGGGGGTTTATATCAGGTGGTCATTTTCAGTTGAAACATTTTATATATGAAGAAATAATTGAGTAACAAAGTAAAGAGGTTCTTTTTACACACCGTCTGTCACCTTCCTCAGAACAATTCCGGCATCTGTTCTCTGTAACTGGTTTTGTTTAATAACTGACCACACTTATGTGCGTTTGGGACCGCATTGTAGATACAGTTCCCTGTATATGTGTAGATATGTAAATATTGTACGTTTGGAAATGCATCTATAGCAGCGACACCTGTGCTGCAGTACAATGTGAACCAGTCAGAATGCCCTGAGGAAGGTGACAGACGGTCACCGAAACGTTGGCTGAATAAAAGACTTGGTTGTGTAAAAACCATCTCTTTACTCAGTGACTTACCAACCTGGTAAAACTATTCACGGAACAGTACGGACAGCACGGTATTACCTGATGACGAAGTCTGCAGAGTCGATCTTCTCCCCACAGCCGCTCTTCAGCAGGATGCCGCCGTTCCCCACCACACTGCACGTCTTGTACTTCTTAAAGCCGAACGGCTGATCCTGAGGAAACAGGCTCATGTCTTAAAGACCCTGCCACACATTAAGAACCTTCGCCCGACCAACAATCAACCATGGTTGGCTGAAGTTCGGAAGCAGTCTGACCAGATTTAAACCATGTCTACCGTTTCATAAGAATCGAATTTGAGTTAAATTTGACTCAAATTTCACGGCCAAACACGTCGGATGTCAGGGATGTCAGAGCTCACTCTTTGAGCAACTTGAGGATTTTAGCTGTGTGAGGTTCGTAGCCATTAAAGACAACAGTACTTTCATGTAATCCAACAATAAGTTTTGGTATCCCTGACAGTATTAAGGAATGCCTGTTAGAAGAATATTAAGTATGGTAACTTGAAGAAATTTGCAAAAAGAGATCTTAATCTTACCCTGGGTAACCAGTTGTACAGGTCTCTGGTAACGTTGATGTAATATTTCTGCGCCTCGTACTTCAGAAGTCTGTTTAATTGCACGTTTTTCTGTGTCATCACAAAGACGTCCTGTGTCTTTGTTGCTTCTTCCACAAGAGTCCTGTGGGGAGGAAAGATCAAGAATTAAAAACAGAAAACTTAGATCACGATACGCTATGAATAATGAAAATCATGCCCTCATTTTGTCATGCATATTCTACAGCACAACACAATCTACAACACCGATAGGCAAAGGATTTCATATCTTTATATCAGACATAAAGTTTATAGCCTGGTTACCAGACATGTTTTTGCTCCTGAGTCATTCCTTAAAGACTCGGAAGCTAAAATAAGCCTGGCAACCAGGCTATAAACTCGTTATCATCACTTACTGAGCACAGTATTACCACAACTGTTATTCACTGCATGTACTAGTACAATTTTATGTTTTCCCTTTTATAGATGCAGAGGGAAAAGAAAGAAATGCATAATTAAGTGCAATGATTGCTATCAATCGACAGGAGGGCCACAGTGAACAGCATTTCTAAAATGTTTATGAGAGCAAGTATGTTTACGTAGACTATGGTAGTCCAAAAACAGTCATATCATGTTTCCCATTGCCGTCCTTTCATTCCTTTGTATTGAAGATGTTATGTTTAGATTTTAATGTTTATATTTACTACTCAACGTTTATATGTAAATAAACTGGATATTCTTTCATTTACTTCATATTTCATTATGAATATTTTGATGTTTTGCTGTTATTTTTACATGTATGTGAATATATAATCATGGCAGAAGGCACACTACATCAATCTGCAGTGCTGCTTGGGTGGCCTTTACATTGCAATTTCAATAAGTTAAAATAAAAATAAAATATAAGCTTTGAAACAGCTGCAGATATACCGACCTGCGCCAGTCTTTATAAACGTACTTCTTTACTTTCAGTTGATTTGAACACAGATAATATAATAGCGTCCTGCAAATATTGCATATGACAATGAGAAAGCTGTCATTTTGAAACACGGTCCATAACTGGCCAAGTTACACATGTCCGTTACACATTTTGTTATTTCAACCTGTATTTTGTATGAATGAATGTATGTTTTATGTTCTTGAGCAGAGGATCTCTTATAAGCACATTTGTGCTTGCTATCTAATGCTCATAAATCCATGTGAATAAAATAAAATAAAATAAATAACTGGCCAAGTGACCGAAGGTTAGCCATTCCCGCACGTTTAACCGCGACCCGCTGCCCCCGAAATGTCAGACGGAAATAGTGGCGATGCTTCCGTGTGCGGAATGAAAATAGCTGCTGGCAAACTATCCCGCCATTCGTATCTGACAGCGTGCAAATCTGGCGGGTTAGAAATACCCATCTGCAGTCTGCATTTTGCAAAGACATTTTCAATATTGCAGAAGAAAAATTAAGCAACCTGCAATTTTGTAGACGGAGAAAATCAGGCTTAAGATCTCAATGGTGTTTAAGCACTTTGCGTTTACTGACTCTATAATACAAAAGTAATTTTGCATGTAGTTTTCAAATTCCATATAAAATGTTTGCCATTTTGTACATGCTATGGGTTTAGATATAGACTTTTAAGTGTGTATTTGCAAAAGGTATTTACGAATTACAGAATAAAATTTTGATATTCTGCAATTTTGCAGAGCACTGAAAAATGTATTTCGACCGCTGCCCCGTGTGATCTTTATCTGTAAATGGACTCAACATGTTTTTAACATGGCATAAATATATAATGACGTGTGCCTGCTATATCCACAGATCCATACCAATAGATATCCTATTTCATCTTTGCATTGAAAAACACTTCTGAGTCGTATTCCCCCGGGACCAAGATAACACTATCGATTGCATTACGTTAAGTACCCTAAACTGTAGCTAACGCAATCACCGTAACGTTATCTACGGCTCTGTCGGATGTGGAGAAACGAGACACAAGGTATGTGATAAGCCTATTGGCCGATGTAATGTACGTGGGTATGCAGGGGCGACAAGCCCCATGGGGATCGTGCATTAAAACAGTTGATAAAAAAACAACAACAACAAAAACACGCAGCTACAATATGCCTCTGTCGGAAGAATCACCATTTTCGGCAAATAGGATAAGGTCGATCTATTACTATAACGTAAAATTGCTCGGCATCGTCTAAGTTAAACATTCAATCACACTACTGGCCGGTAGCTACTGATATCATTCAAATAGACGGTGGTTGCCATAAAACCTGAATATCTTTTAATGTTGTACATGTAAGCTACTGAACGTGAATCGAAAATTGTACCGGCAGAGACTCCGATTGGAATCTCTACCGGTAGAATCGCTGATTCAACCTAGTTTGAGTTCACTGTTTCCAGAGCCTACACAGGCCAGTTTCTCGGCTCAAGGAAATCATACCACAGCCCCCCTCAGTTAGACCCTGATCCACTCTGGGCCTGGCGTGCTATGGGTCTGGCATCTAGGCTAATCCAACCAGATCGGCGTCTCTATCCTGACATCTATATATTCAGGAGATGAATTATGTTGAGTGCTGAACAGTTCAGGCCCGCCCCTCCCCATTATTGGACATTTACAACATCAATCAATCAAGCAATGGAAAGTAAACATTGTGTACAAAACAAGTAACTGGTAATACAAGTCCTCTCTACTTGTGTGTGGTACCACTTTGTGATATATTTCTGTCTTTAATGTGTATTTGCTGGGTATGACGCCATAACCTTACCAGTGGCGATTTAATGCCATGAACACCGTCGACAGATTCACATCACCCTGGGCTATATGATAATAAACGGTGGATAATAACGTTAATGACCCACCTACAATGTATTCCTCTGTGCATATGGTGTTCATAAGGCCTGGTCATTTCCACGTCTAAATGAACTGCCTCCTTCGCTGCGCTCACTCGTCGGTTCAATCGGTGGTTATAGGAAACGACCTGGCCTTATGATGCCATGTACACCTCAGGCAAGTCATTAACTGTTAAGTCATGGTGTTCATAGGGAGAGATAATGTTACCTGAACTCATCTGCAGCTGTAACGTTGAAGACCCAGTTAGGATTGTCTGTCGGGATGGCTTCAGGTGGTGGGGAGGTCGTGGCGGGAGCCGTGCCGTTATCCTTCGTCCCCGACTCATGAAACACGTTCTCCTTCCCAACTTGTCTCACCACCTTCTCATCATCCTCCTCCTGCTTAGTGTCTACATTGTCTTTGTCATCAGACTGTGGATCTTCTTCCTCCTCTTCTTCGTTGTCAGATTTTTGAGCAGATTCCTCCTTTTCTGTCCGTTGGAAGTCCAGAGGACGGAAGGCTGTTTCGTCTGGTCTGGGGACGTCATGGCTTTCGTCATCTGTTAATCTATGAAAAGTCACAGGTTTTATTTTAAAGTAAAGTCACTTAAAAACTAGAAAGGTGACACTTGCAAAGCAAAAGCATACTGTTTACCTTGGCATATGGTCTGCTCTGTTAATTCTTACTCGAACACATTCATATACTATGGTGACACTGATGTTTAAATCCCTCCTGCTATAAAACTGCAACATGATGTAACCCAACACTAGTTACCATGGTGATAGACTGTCTGGTTCAGGTCATTGACCTTTTGTGTTTGGAGAAGAGGAAACTGAGCAAAAACAATGTTTTCCTTCAGAAAACATAAAAATTAGTATGGCGATTAGTATAATATGGCCTATAGAAAGGACTCGCCCACATACCTGCTGGGTGCTTGCAAGGCAGCTGCCCGGAGGTCCTGGAACTCGCCTTCCTTGCGGATGAATTCCGTCACGTGTGTTTCACGTGGCTGCATCACGCGGAGGAACAGGACTACATTGCACACGATGGACACGCCCAGCACCAGGACGCATCGCCGTGACCGCAGCTGCATAATACTACTCAGCCTCTGCAACACACACACACAGGAACAAACATTAGCGTCGGATTTACTAGTATTTATTTCTTTTTTTTATTCCAACATGTAACACCAGACGTGGTGACGGCACACTCAAGTTTATCAACTTCATATTAATTATATTAATGTCACCACCAACACAGGGGACAAATACATGACAGGACAATACTCATTTTCACCTGAGCAAAGTGAGGAAAGTCGTGTTAAGTGTCTTTTCCAAGGGCACAAGATCGGTGGCATGTCAGGACTCGAACCCGGGACCTCTAGGTTCCGAGTCGCGCACTCTGCCGCAACGCCACACGACCCCACCCGTGTTTATTTCTGTGTTCTTTATCTAGGGTCGGATTATCTATCTATTCATTTTTTGTGTTCTTTATCCGGCACTCATCAATGATTCACCACTGCTGTGCGGGGTGGCCCTGGGTACATTCATACACACAATACGACAGTAGTAGAGTACAAAACAATATCTCTCCATATAGTCTGGCCTAGATAAAGGTAGGCCTAGGGAATTTAGCATCGAAGTTCATCTGATGCGCCAAGAAACATTACTCAAGCAACTGAGTTGAGATATGATATGATTTTGGAAAGGTAGTGGGTGCTACCTAAAACGTTCAAAAATTTTTAAAGAATGTTTACAAAATTATATGCGGTTGCTTGAGTAATTGTTTTTGACGAATGTTATTGAAGTTATTACCTGGACGTCTAACCTTCATCGACGTATCAAGTTCATCTGAGTTGGTAAAAGTTGGTCAAAGTTCGTGGGCAGTCGGTACCGCCCGGGTACATCAGGGCACACCGACCCTCACTCAACCACGGGGGACGGGGGGCGGTACAGACTTCCGACGAACTTTGACCCTTGCTGATGTCACAAATATCTGGCGATCAATAAGGTTGCATAATTGTACCAGTTCAATAATTAGGACTTAAATGACAATCGTTCAACAATCAGAAGTTTGTTAATAATAATTTAACTATAGTAGTGTAATGATAATCATTTGATAGCAAAGAGACAAAATGAAATGAAAATGGACCCTGCTGAATAGAGTAATAATTTTAGGACCAAGAAAATTCAGTAGGCAAGGCAACTCCCCCCCACCACCACCACCATTCCTTATTCACTTTCTAAGCAACCTTTCTACAATATATAAATAATTGGCCCCCTGAATTTGACCCTGAGCAATAGTCCCTCCAAGTAACTCAAACGACCGTGGTAAAATTTCCTTCTGAGCATGGCCTAGGAACTGGCCCTGGAAACAGTCTGGCATCCAAGCTACATGTTCCGCATAACCTTTAGAATTAAACTTGCTTGCAAGTTTTAATATAAGAAGACCTGGTATCCGGTACACATCGTTGGGGAGCGAGTCTAAGTTTCACGAGGCTGGAGACCAGGCTAACACCGCATACCATGACTGAACCCAGCTGAAAATAGCCGCTCAATCCGAGATCAGCCCTTCTGTTAGTTTACACTAGATACAAACCGGTGTTCACTTACCAGTTCCACGATAACAACTCGTCATGGCATGTACCTACAAGCACTATCGCACGACAGATATACCCTTACACTACAGCAACCTGCGTGGAGATGGTATATTCAAACGTGCCATGTATACGTATTTCGTATAATCAGGACGTTTTGAATTCAAGCTAGCCAGCTGCTATGGGTAGCTACTAGCCTCTACCAGGCACCGCGGATTGCTGGAAAAATAGTAGAAATTGGCCGAAATAAAGGGATAGTATACCAGAGAAGATCCAGGG